AGACGTACTTTTGTGGCCCAACCCCACTTGGCAAGGCTGTCCGGTCGGCGTGCCTTGCGAACGACAGCGACGCGGTCAAGTTCTCTTTTGCGAAGGAGCACTTCTAAGGTTGCCGGGAGCTCGGATTAACATACACACTATCATGTTCCACCTCGCTCTGCCAATGTACGCGTTGACGTATACTCACTCCTGATATACTTTGAATACGTGAGGCAAACTTGATACTTCCTTCGGACCATTTCAGCTGGATTGCGTGGTCCGGGTGCGATATCAATGACATTTTGGTGCGCTCCCACTGGCAGGAGTGCCAGAAGGAAAATGGACTCGACACGGCACTGTCCCATCCAGGAAAGCAAGACATTATATCTCATAGGGTCAGAATATCGTGAAGGCAAGAGCGATCGAGATACGCAAGATAAGTTAAACAGTGCGCATGACGCCAGAATGAAATGCAGAAATCCGCGGCTATGAATGAGTGCAACAACTCTTATCTCCGCACACCAAGCTCCTTCTCGCGCGTGCAGTTACACCTCCGCACGCTGAACACTCATCGGCGCGGCGTTCGTGGTATGCGGATATGAGCTCGGAGATGTAGGGCTCGCGCCCGATGTCGCGGTCATAGGCACGGGCTCCGACTTCTCCTGGACTGGCGCGACTGCGGGCGTATCGCGGACAGATCCCCTCCATGCGCGACGACCCGTGAAAACGAAGACGGCCAGGGTAACGGTATACGCCAGTATAATGATCCATGTCAGAAAGGAGAACGCTTCGACTGCGTCCCACTCGCTGCAGAACCTCGAGGTGATGGCTGCAAGGCTGTCAGAGTCGCGCGAGATGGACACCAATAATCCACGTACTGTTGAACTCGCTGCAACTGATGGTGCCGAATACCATTTGGTTGATGTCCGCGGCATATGCGCCTGTCGCCAACCAAAGGATCCAGAGAACAGAGAGCCAGCCAATTTCAACGACGACGAGCGAAGTGAAGGCACCCCGGCGAAGAAAGTCAATAACGAACCTGTTCTTCAGTTAGTAAAGCTGCTCCTCCTGACGACTATTGATGGCTCATCGTCACTCACATAGGCACGATAGAGCAGATGGTGATGATTGAGACCGCGAGCGCCAACGCGTCCCAGATGAAATACGACCCCTCATACGTCTGGGTGATCGAGAGAGCATCCGCGCTGAGGCCTAGTACGATCACGGAGAAGACTAGAGTGCAGCCGAAGGTGACGAGACGAGCAAACGGGAGCGACAAGATACCCATGGTTCCAGTTGGGAGTGAGTGGGCCCGTATAGACAGGGATTGTGAGTTGCGAGGACGTGCACGAACCCGGGCGCTAGGCAGGCAAGGCGAGGGGTCGGCTCTTAAATATCTCAGACGACGTGCCAAGTAGCACCGTCGCAGGGTTCGTTGACGCGTTGACGAGGCGCGGCAGGTAGTTTGACAGCGGTCCCTTTACGCATTCATTATGCACGTTACTCCGCCCTGGCCACAACACAGATCGTGAAGTTTGTGCGCCCTCTCTGGCTGGATTCGGTATCAGCAAAGCGCCTTCGTGAGCTGAGCTGAGATGAGACGGTACCTCAATAGCCAGTGAACATGTATCGTGAAACGCTACCGACCGTGGATACGATAGAAGTCGATGTCAAGAAATGCCACCTCCGGCCTTTCGGTCCACTATCCGCGCGGCAATCTGTTGCTGGTAGAGATCCGCTCGAGCGAGTCACAGTCAGCGTAAAGAGCCTGATCTCGAAGGAGGAAACCGCGTACCGCGTTTAACCTTATAAGGCATGTATTCAGGTTGCTCACAAGCGCTCATAGCCTTTTGACTGTTCGAATCAATATTCCGACAGGTCGGACAGGTACGGATTTAGAAGCCTAGCACAAGGATGGGATATTCCGCCGATCAAGGGGAGCGGGTGACCGATTTGAGCGTTTTTCGGGATAAGCACGGAGAACAGTGGAGGATGGGCCTGCAAGCGATGCGATACAAGCGATGCAGACACGTACAAGAGGAAAACGTGTGACTGATACAAGCCGTGTCAAGACACGCGGTGATCGTTCACTTCGTCCGCCAGGAGAGCACTGGTTATTATCTGCACGGCAGTCAGTACTACCTCGACCTCTGCCGGCTTAAGCGACGGGAACGCGGAATCGAAGGGGATCGAGGACGGTGCAGAGTGCCGACGTCTTGGCAATATCATGACGAGGACCCCAGAAAACACCGGACCAGGCTGGACACTCAACCAATTGACGAGCATGACCGTCCACATCGCTCAGGATGCGACCCATAAAGGTGTGGGGTAATAACATGTTGAACGAACTATATGGCGGTCAGGAAGAAAGCGGGTCTGGCACGCTGACGGAGTGCATCGATGTCACGGTCCGGGCGCCTAGACTGGCCCGTGGCGACTGCCGAGATGAGATCAGCGCTCGGGGTGGATGGAGAGACGCCCCTTGTTTCCGACCTTCCGCGTCGCCATCTTCGCTCTTCCGACCTACTCTCGCCAACCTACCTGCCTCGACTAGCTTCTGAGCCAGTACCCGGAAGAGATTGCCTGTCATTCTCTACCACCCACATTCTTTTTAAACACACTCTTTACCTTTGTTCACTCCCGGCTGCACGCGGCCTTTCCCTGGTACACCGCTCCAGCTGGTTTATACTTCAATGTCTCGTCAAGGTCTGTGTCCTGCCCTCGGCGCCCTCGCAGTGCGCTGAAAGCCACCAGGTCGCCGCCATCGTCTCCCCCAGCACCGCGACTACGTGCTCATCCCAGCACCGTTAGGTATGCTGAACGCTCGTACGGCCTCTCCCACGCGCTTACCCATCACGTCCTCCGCAGACTTCACGCTACCCGACGAGAAGTCACCGTTGCCTGCGATCATCGTCACGCCCTCGTCGCCCCAGTGCTCGGCTGATTTTTCCATCGCTTTCATTGCGCCTGAGCCCAAACCGACGCTGCTCCAACGTGCGGCCACCGTGCTCTCGCCCGTGCACACCAAACTGGTCGCCCCCCTTCAAACCAAGGCACGCCTCGCCTTTGTCCTCGCCCTCTTCCTCTTCATCATGGCCGCCCACCTCTTCGCCCATCGCCTCGCCACGCGCCATCCCCACCTGCAGTTCGATGCCGGTCCGGCAAGCATCTCATCCGCCGATATCGCCGCCCTCGCCCCTCTCGAACACACACACCGTCTCGGACACGGCCATGGTGGCGGTTGGTTTGACTGGCGCGCTCTTTGGGATGAGAGCGAGCCTGTGGAGCGCCAAGACTTCGTTGTCACCGAAGAAGGGGCGAACGTGACTTTCGACGACGAGGGTCATGCCTCTCGTGCGGCTGAAGCGGACATAGAGCTCAAGCGCGCGGAGGCTGCCGCCCGCTGAATCTATTACGGCTGTTTATATTGGGCTTGCACGTCAAAGGGTTACGACTGTCACGATCGTCATCTGGATTAGGGGGCTTGGGCGATAGGTCCACGAACACCCTCGATGGTGTCCACCGTCCACGATAGCTTAGTCCTTGGGATTTTTCATTCCGGTGTAGCTTGAAGTCACGTTGCCTTTCTATTTGAACTCTTTTGCACAATACTACCGTATAGAACTACCTCTCCGTCGCATCGGCCTCTGCTCGGTTGGGTCCATCCTGCCCGACCGACCTGCTCTATTCGCTCTGCTCAGTGTCACTGCTATCCTATTATCATCGCCCATCATACCCCTTAGCGAATGTATTCCGTGCATGAAGTTGACAAGGTTTATGCAAGTGCCGCTTATGTATGCCCATTTCCAGGTGTTGCTCACACTATTAGGTTGGGCTCCAGTACTTTCCCACCTTGTAGGTGTTTGGATCTTAGCCGGACCGAGATGGCGAAGTCCCGAGCCAACCCGAGCCCGAATCAACCGAGCTATTCGTCGCAGTGGCACAGCGCTATAAAGGTAAGCTCGCAAGGCTACGCTCGTTGGCCTACATCATTTCCGTGCAATCATCACGACATGGATGGCCCCTCCGAGTCGTGTTCGCTCTTTCGATCCGCTCGCCTGACCTACCGAACCTTTCGTCCTGATGACTTCGATGTTTTCTACGCAGCATTCAACGATCCCGAGGTGTTGAACGGCATAAGGCCCGAGCCTACAGCAGTCAGTAGCGGCGATATGCTAGCGAAGTTCAGAACCTGGAGCGAGACCTGGGCGCTCTGCCTCGTTGTCGTGAACACAGAGACTGGCGACTTCATCGGTTCGGTCCGCATGCGGTGGGTTCATCCACGCGATGGGGAGATCGGCATGCTCGTGAAGCCGAGCGAGTGGAGAAAGGGGTATGGTACGGAGATTTGTACCTGGGTGATGCGACACGCTTTCGAAAGTCTTCACGCACATCGAGTATCTCTCTCAGTTTTCCAGTCCAACGTCAAAGCCATTTCCCTATACAAAAGGCTGTACGTCTCATACTTGAGTGCTGGTTGGTGCGAGCGCTGATTGTGATTACAGAGGGTTTGTTCAAGAAGGGGTCAAGAGACGGGCTCGTTTCGCGCATGAGCAGTGGGAAGATATAATCTATATGGGGATCCTGGATGATGAATACTCCGACAAAGGGAGATACGATGTTTGAGCTCATGTGATGTGCGTATACCCAAATGGACTTCGGCCGGATGCAACCTGACGACCTTAGCAGCCAACATGCCGTCCTCGGTCGTGCACGAGCACTGCGATGGCTCGCGCACTACCATACAACGAGTATACAGCGCAGGAATCCCATCCTTATCAAATTGTTTGACTACCTACATATTATATGGAAAGCTCCCATCCCCATGCTTGACGCGGTACACCCTTGTTCTCTGAGTACGGCACACTTGTTCCAGCGCTCGATGCAACAGCATGCCGAGCCTATCGACTGGGGACATGGTATGCCCAGTATTGCGGATTGGGTACATACATCGTCAAAGACACAAATGGACGAGTCTTGCATTTGATCCGAATGTTGATCCGAAAGGATGGGATGATAATATTCAGCTTTCATGGGCTCGCGGTTCTCGACCTCGACCTCGACCAGGATCACGTCGCTCGTGCGACTTGCCATGCGCGACGCTCTGCTTGCCTCATCGAGCCTTCCTTGTGTCAATGTCTTCGCGAGTACATCTTCACTCCTTTGGTTCGTATATTGAGAAGATCGTTGCATACGTCACCCAAGGGATAGTCATACCACCATCGCGACGGCAGGGTCGTAGACTCTGAGATGTTGCAACTTGATCTCATAGCGTACGCATTATTTCATGTAACATGTCATTCGCCGACGTCATCCCTCTAGTCTCCACGAGGCCGACGAGTACGGACATGACCTATGTGTGTGATCCATGACTTCCTGCATCGCGCGAGCTATGACCCCCGTGACACGATCTACTAGGCTAATACACATACAAGGGGGGTGATGTCATCAAGACCTACAAGCCCGAGGCGCCCAGTTGGTGTTTTGATACGCGAACACAAACCATACATGGTGTTTTATCGATAACATCGCGATCGAGGAATACGCTCTGTGACTTTCCATCATGGCTTTTCAAGCCTGGCAGCGCAGGACTGGAACCTCTTGCACTATTGCACAAGTGTATCAAGACAATGCGGTGCTGTAGTGGTTCTGCTATTCCTCTGACACCGAGTCGGAGTTACCGGTCACTTACCGCCCCCAAACACCGCCCGAACGTCTCGACATGCCGACCGACCGCGTCATTTCCTCTCGACACGATCATCCAGTGTACTTCAACAAAGCTTCCGGTGAGTGCTGGCGCAGTCCTTGTTCGTGCAGTGGCCACTGGGTTGAGCAATCTCCGCGCACTCAGACTGGGCTGAGAGAATGTTCTTCATTACAGCAACCCGCGTTCCGCCCTCTGCATTTCCACCGCCAGTGATCCTTGGCCGCTCTTGAAGTGAAAGGATCTCCTTTCCGAGAGGCACAGCTTAGCCGCACGGTCACTGAAGATTGACCGAGAGAGAGCGCTCGATACATCGATAAAAGCCTCACGTCGTAGACCAAAGTTACTTCTCTCATCGTCATGGACGTGCTCTATCTTCTCGTCTCCCATCTCATCGGCCGCCTCAGCTACGGCTCCGACTCGTGGGAGAACTTCAGCCTAAGGAGTCTGAGTACGAACATCCTGCCCATCGCACTCTTCGGAGGAGCGGTATGGCTGCTCACGCAGCACTGGGACGAGATATACGACCGAATCGTCGACCAATTCCTCGTGACAGCCTCATTCGAGAGTAGTAACCAGGCCTACGGTGCGTTTTCTCCTTCACACTTTCATGATCATCTTCACCTCATCTAGTCTCATAGGCTGGATTCAGACATGGGCGTCGTCACAACCAGAGTGGGGTATGTTCCATAGCCCTAAACTGCGCTAAATCTTCAAGTTGCTCATACATCACGAGGTAGCCAAACTGCGGCGAGTACAGGTCGCAAGCATCAGCGGCAACGGCGATATGTTTTCCTGGATCCACCGTTATATGAGGTTCAACGAGACGTCCAAGTCGTACTGGTGCCGCCCGACGAGCCACACGAAGATGACATGCCGGTTCGAAGGCACTTACGTGCAGATTGTGTTCTTCGATCCTACCAATAGCGGTGGCTTCTACGTTCCGGCCGTAATGATTGTCCGGTAAGTGTATTCGCTCTGAAGACACCAGGGGCGCTCGTTGACGCACAAGCAGCGTATTGGGGTTCGATAGAGCTCGTTTGGATCGATTGCTGGACGAGGCTCAGAAGATGTACAAGAAGACGCGCGAAGGCTTACAAGTCTGGACGCACTCGAAAGCGTGAGCGATCCTCCAAACGCATCTGTGAACGCGTAAAACTGAATATAGATCGTCTCGCAGGCATGGGGGTGAGGTAGAGTGGGAGAACTGGTGCGTATTGGGGCGCCGCTCCATCGAGACGCTTGTCCTGGACGAAGAGGTCAAGGCTCGTTCGCTCGAGGACGTGCGCGAGTTCTTGAGTCCCGAAAGCAAGCAGTGGTACAAGGACAACTCGTTGCCGTATCGTCGAGGCTATCTCTTTGTGAGTGTACAAGGCGATCGGGCGTGTCTGATGACTGACGAACCATAGTATGGCGTGCCCGGATCGGGCAAGACCACCCTCATACATTGTATAGCCAATGAGCTCGATCGCGAAGTATGCGTTGTGACACTTTCAGCCGTAGACGACGTGACACTGTACGTCTGAGCACGCATGTTATCCAACTCGCCGACTGATCATCTTCATGCTTGAAGCCCAAAGCTTCTAGGATCGACACCGGAAAAGTCCGTGGTAATCATGGAGGACATCGACGTCGCAATCCAGGACTTCAAGACCGCCTCCGAGTCTCGTGCCGATGCCACCTTGAACCGGGATAAGCAGGATACCAATCGTCCTCACAGCGGGCTAACGCTCTCGGGTCTTTTGAACGCCATCGACGGCGTAACCTCCCAGAACGGGCGCGTCCTCTTCGTGACGACGAACAAAGAAGCCGCTCTTGACCCTGCGCTCACGCGCGCCGGCCGCCTCGACGTCCATATCGAGTTCTTCCACGCGAAGAGCGCACACGCTGCACAGCTCTTCCGCCGCTTCTACGCGATACCGTCTGCAAAAGCGAAAGAAGCTGGCATCAGTCATTCTTCCGAGACGATAGACGTGCTGGCGAACCGTTTTGCAGAGGCGATTCCTGACGGCGCTCTTGCGATGGCGCAGTTGCAGAACTATCTCATGTCTCACAAGCATGAGCCCCAGAAGGCGTGTGACGGGGCGCGCGAGTGGGTTGCACGGGAGTTGGAGAAGGCGGAGAAACGACGAGCGCAGGGTGGGTTGGCCACGAATGTGCAGATCGACACGCAGGCCGCACCCTCTCCGGAAGTTGCCTTGCTCCCCTCCGCGAACTTGACAGTGAGATCCATCGCTGACGAGGACCAAGTCAACGCGGACGTCCAGGCGCGCCAATTCCGGGACTCTGAGATTGGAAGTGGAAGTTCGACTTTAACGTTGCCCTCGCCCGTTGCGTATACGGACAGGATCTGCCCACAGGGAGGCGAGCGGTGCCAGGATCCTGCGAGAGGGGCTCTTTCTGCAGCCGCCGCTTCTGAAGAGACTCTGGCCGGCGATGGCGAGGCCGAACCAAAGCATACGGAGCTGAACGGCTCTGCGGCAGAAGCTGAAGGCGCCGCGTAGATATTGTGCAGACTCGCTGAAGTCAAGCTTGTATCATCATATTCATGGACGTATCGCTACAGTACTCCCCACTCGTATTCGCTTAAACTTGAACACTCCATATCTGTTTTGCCTCGCGTATCGATGCTACATACACAGCCTCTCCGCTTGGCACTTCACGGGATGATGGGCGCTGAAATGTCCTTGACACGGGGCTCGGCATTCGAGGTGCCGAGCTGGGGGCCGTGTTGTAGTCAAGGAGAAAGGTTCATGACGGTGGATTCCACTGCGCACTCTTGTCTGAAGAGAGATGTCCGAGAACCGCAGAACTGCCTTGGGTGTAGCGTCGCTGCGTGGCGTCTGCGCATCGTACGGCCCACTGTCCGCGCCGAACTGCGTGCGTTGAAGATCCATTTTCATGGATGACGGTGGGTCTGATGAGAAGGGTATCCAGCGAGTCGCGCGTGGAGTGGCATCTTGTGAACTTGTTATGGACAAGCGTGGGCGACGGGCAAGTCAAAAGCTTCAGGCTGAGACAGCGGACTTTCGGATGGGCGCTCCGGTGAGAGGCGCAGCCATTCCACCGTGTCGTCGACGTACGCAGCGTCTTCGGAGGTGGAGAGTGCACGCAAAATATAATTCGTGTTAATTGGCCGGAGGGGACGGAAGACGGCATGCGAGGCACGGGTGACGCGGCTTAATAGTGAATTGAGGGCCGGGCGGTTAGGGAAGGCCGGTACGTCACTGATCGGGGCTGAAGCGCTGAATGGCAGGTTCGCATCTTGGACATGGCCAAAGCGACGTTTCTGCAGCGGATACTGCAGCGGCCATCCCAGACGTACTACGAGCCAGCGCCGAAGCGCTACCATAGCGTCAAGAAGGATTTACTGGAGCAGGCGGCCGAGGTAGGAGGGCCGAGCAGAGTGGGAGCTGAATCCAGGGCAGAGAGGAATGTAAGAAAACGATGTTCCGGAAGGAGTGCATGGCGTATTTATCATCATATCTCTCTCTGCAGATCAGCCATGACATCGTTCAAGACGTTGCTCTAGAAGCCACCGGGAGCGAGGACGAAAGCGAGACGTTCTTCACGCCGCTCTCCACGCCGACGAACAGCATGCACCTCGACTCGCGCATCATCGCCGCCATCTTGCCGATCGACAAGCTGAAACACGCGAGGCCGCCTCTGCCGTCCACGTCGTCGAGTGCGAGTGGGAGCACGGCGCCGAGCACGGCGACGGAGGACTCGCTCTTCTCGCGCCAGTCCGAGACCACGGCGGGGAGCTCGACGTACACGGACGAGGACTGGGCGCGGGACGCCAAGAAGCCGCACCGGTTCTCGACCGTGCCCTCCATCCCAGAATATGTCGACCTGCCCCCGCGCGAGCCCAAGCCGAAGCGGCGGGCAAAGACGGCCCGGGCGGCGACGGTGCGGCCTGGGGGGAAGAAGGACCGGATGAGTGCGCTCTGGGAGGAGGACGAGTCGGGCGACGGCCAGCCCCCGCGTCTCTCCCGCAATAACTCGGCAGCGAGCACAGCGACCGCACGCACGGCCATCACCCGCTCCTCCTCTTCGAGGCACAAGCGCCGGCAGACGGATCCCCTGCCTTCGACGTCATCCACAACCACCGCCGCCGCTTCGACGGCGAGCACCCAGGGCGGCTCCGGCGTCATCGGGAGCCTCAACCAGGGCTACACCTCTCTCACCCTCCCCCGCGCCACCTACAAGCCCGCAGACCCCGCCCACACGCTCGCGAGTGGCAAGGTCGACCTCGCCCGAGACGGCCGGGCACAGGTCACGATGGCCTCCGTCGAGGTCGTCCGCGGCGTCGCCTCTTCCTCTGCTTTCCGTACCCTCGGCCGAAGACTGTCCATCCGCCCTTCCTCGTCCTCGCGACCGAGGTCTGGCGTCGGAGGGAGCACGGTCGGCGCAGAACTCGCTCTCACCAGCCACCGCGCTCCACCCACCTTTGTCCCCAACGGAAGCGTCCTCGTCCAAGTTCACGCAGTCGCCCTCGAAGGTCTCGATCTCCGATTAGCAAGAGAAGAGGGCGCGGGTTTCGTCCCCGGCCGTGCCGTCGTCGGCCGCGTCGTCGAGGCTGGCGTCGGCGTTCCCCGCGAGGAAGGTCGCCGCGGCGAGTGGGTCATCGGCCTCGCAGACCCAAAGAAGGTATGCAAAACATGTTACACGTCCCATTGCCATGATCTAATACCAGTGTCTACAGTGTGGCGCTCTCGCCGAATTCATCCTTCTCGACCGCCACCGCGTCCACCGCGCCCCCGCGCCTTCGATTCCATCATCCAATACTTTGTTTCCTCCCTCTGCTGCCTCACGATCCGGTTCGCCCACTCCATTCAGCCCGTCGACCCCTCACGCCGCCCGTTCGCGCCGTTCTTCGGCTTCCTCTTCTCGTTCTCTCGCTGCTCTTCCTCGCGGTCCTTCATTGACCGAACTCGCACTCTTACCACTCGCCGTCTCCGTCTGGCGCGCGCTCCGCATGTGGTCCCCTTTCTCTCCGGAGATCACAGAGACGGACATGGACAACGCATTTGACGACATCAGCGAGCTCGAGCTTCCCGTCGCGCTCAGTAAACGCCTCATGATGGCCGGCGCAACCGCACGCGGCAACGCAAGTCCGCGCGGGAGTGGGAGCCCGTATGTCGCCAGCCCACTAGCATCCACGCCAAGTCTCGCCAGTACATCACATGGTACCAGTCTACGCTCCCCAACGCCGCGTATACCCCGTGCAGGGTCCGCACCCTGTGCGATGGTCCTCCAGGCCTCCTCAGGCGCAGGCGCTCTCGCGCTTGTCCTTCTCCGCGCTTCACACCCGCACGCACGCCTTGTCGCGCATATACCACCCGGTGCGCTTGGTCTGGCACCGGATACCCTCCCTGCGCCTGTATGCATCGACTTGCGGGATTGGGCTGCGCTCGCGGATACGGGTCTACCTCTGGATGCGCGTGGTGCGGATGTACTCGCACGATTGAGAGGGTTGGGCGCCGCCGCTGCCGTTATCGGCGAGGCCAAGGAGAGCCTCGAGGCAGCTGCGGGTGCGGGCGAAGTCGGCCCAGCCGTGGACTTCGTGTTGGACACCGTCGGTGGTGCGGGAGTGTGGGCCGCTGCGGCTCAATTGCTGGGCAGGGGTGTGGGCCCCGAACGAGGTGAGGCGATGTTCGTCACCCTTGTTGGCAGCGGCGAGAGTACACGCGCGGTGCCGGGTGCGCAGGACCATTGGCGAGCAGCGAGGGGTCCTCCAAAGGCACACAAGACGCGTAGGAGAGTCGGATGGGCCTGGGTTCCTGTCAGCGCCGAGGTGGACGTTGAGGGTTTGGACGTTCGCGCGGGGATGGAGGCTGTTATGACGATGCTTGGTGTTGGCGTTGGCGAAGATGCTCTGATTGGGCTGGCCAAAGCTCAGCAACACCGCTGGAGGGCTCTTGGAGACGTGCTAGGCGGAGAAGAGAGCGAGGAGGTGTTTGAGCGCGCTATGGATGCGTTCGGCCCGAGATTGGAGGACGGGCGGTGTGTTGTTGTCAAGGTCGCCGGTGCATAGATATCTAGACGCCGTTTATCTGGAGGATGGACCATGTCTCTGCTCGCAAGCTTTTGTATACCGATGCGCATATCCCACATCATAGACGTTCCTGCTCTCGTTTCCACACTCTGTAATTTCTCGACATTTATCGCGGACATCGTGTCTCCTCGTATTATCTGGTCACTCGCGCTGCGCTGCCCCTATTTCCCTCTCCTTGCTCTATTTGTCCGGGTCGCCCTACCGCTATGATATGATTCCGCCTCCGATCACTTTGTATACGGCGCCATGCCCATAGCCAACGTATCACGCATACATGCACGCATATCTTCTGCTCCTTTGCCAATATATACACACGCTCACAAACTCTTGGATGCTATCGGGCTAATTCTCTGAAAAGCAGAGGCATTACTCAGAACCTGTTAGACTGGCCTGAACACGCTCCAACATTGAGTTGTTTATCTCCGAGCTCTCGGCCCGTAAGCTTTAGTACATTAAGCTGGAGCCTGCACGCGCGCACGCCGCAGGGGATCTGGGTTACCTACGCGGCAAACTCACTTTCAGAGTTCTGCTCACTTGCACCTTACCTTCATGTGCATCGTAAACAACGACGACTTTCTTGACCTCCCTCGCGAGCTACAGGTAGCCATCTTGAGCTTGCTTGATATCCGTGACTCAGTGGCCGTCACACGGGTCCGTCTCTCATCGCTATGGATGAACTGCACATCGGGACCGAAGCCCTTAGGTCTCTCGGTATCTTCACGCTCTCGTACAAAACACGCCGGCTCTCCAGTATCCCATTGAGCTCGCAGCATGTGGGATGTCTGACAATCAATCGAGCGCCACCGCCCTCTGCGAGCGCTTGAACAACCTTCGTCGGCATGATCGGACGTGGCGGACGTTGTGCTGGTCGCACGATGTTCGGCTCTCTGTACCGTCAGGCGGCCGAATGGAGAGTAAGCAGGGCTTGATCACGATCACGAAGGAGAGAGACCATCCCGAGAGGGCTATGGACATTATACAGCTGCCTTCCAATGCGAGGAGCATCGCACTCCGACGTTGGACCATCAGGCCAGGTCGCGAGGACGACCCGGCTGGGAATGGGCAAGTATACGACGTACGCTGACGTCATGATACGCATCTACTATACTGACCCAGGCTGGTTTACGGTTCCATAGGTCGACGCTTCGCAGGATCTTCTTGTCATTCGCCATGGTGCGGCAGCGTATGAGCCCATCTAGCTTATCCACTCTTCCCCCACCAACCACTTCTGTACCAGAGCGCATACAGTCTTCAACGTATACTCGTTGTCAGAAGGCTTGCCACATTCTCTGGCAGCTCGACCAAGATTCAGTATATCCAACGCAGGAGGCCCTGGGGTGTTCAATCGCTCGGTACTCGGCGCCCACGTCTGTCGGGAATGGGTGTATCTACCGGACGAGACCTTTCAGTTCTACAACTGGAGAACAGGCGCGCTCAGCGGAGATTATGTGCGTCCTCGGATCTGATCATGCCTGTTTCCGCTCCTGACCTCGAACCTAGGACAAGCGCGGAACGCTGACCGAACCGGCCTTCCTGAGCGATAGGTTCATTGCTACGATTGGAGTCGGCCTGGACCCCTCTCCGGCAGTTTTGCTCGTCCACGAGCTGCCCAGTTCAAACCCTCACGCGCCCCCGCTCTATCCTACGAACGTCCCAATCCTGGCACTCTTCCTTCCCGAGATCGATGGCGCGTTCACGGACGATGACGACAGTGAATGGGAACTCGTGGGCGGTTCTGCACATTCAGCAGCCCCAAGCGCCCGCGCCAGTGGTGGAGACTTCTGGTCAGACGCCGACAAAACGCTATTGCTCATTCATTTCCGCGTCCGAGGGCGCCACTACGAACTTCTGCTTCCAGCGCAGCGTGTGCTTGAGCTACTACCACCTCCGGAGAACATCTCAATGGGGCCAGGATCCTTCGCTGCCCGAGATGTTCCCTGGCCAGATTGGGGACCGGAGCTATCGCATGTGCGAGAATGTGCGCCGAGCGGAGGAGACATGGAGGCGCTTCAGTCGAGCGTATTTGGGATGCGGCATGTGATTCACCATCCGGTAGAGTGGGAAGAGAAGGCTGTCATCCGCGTCAATGACTACCAGTCTTCTCGAGTGTCCCGCGCAGAGGCGCACCAGACACCGTCGTGTGCCGTACGCCGAGTTCACATCGCTGAGGGCGAGTGGGTCGATGGTCCGGAGATGCAGACCGAGCTGCCGTATATTGAGACGAACATCGAACTGCCCGTATCGTGGAGGGAAATGGCGCCCGCCAATATCTTTGTATCTATCAACGAGGATGGCATACTGCTCATCGATGTGAGTCCTTCAGGCATATACTCGTAGTCATCAACTGAAGCCTCTTGCAGCGAGAGAGCGGAGAAGTTGAGCACGGCGAGGCACACACGTTTTAGGTATACCAGTCGGTAGTTCCGATTGATCTGACTTATCACGCATCGTACTTACCGGTGTAAGTCTTTGTTTCTCGATGTATTCATGCCTCCAATTGCTATCTTCTGTTACCATGCAAATCTACCACTGGATCTGACGTCCTGAGCATGATGAGCGATTCATTGAGTGCGGGCTGTAGTCGCGATCATGGGGAAGTCGTCCAGGCGCTAGACGGATTGAAGCTTTTAGAGGAATGCCATGTCGATCTCATACAAGTCTTGACATTCAGGTTGGAAGGTCAATATCGTCATTAGTACATGTTGGTGCTACAGTACATCTAGTGTACACATGATTTAGCCAGATTCAGCACACAAATCCTTATCGGCATAGCGGTCAGGAGATCCCTCTACTTCTTTAGTTCGTTGTAAGCTTTAACCACTGCCTCGAACTCGCGAGTGCCCTTCTCGAATCCAGTTATTGTGACGACCGCATCCTCGATGCCTATCTTCTGCACCTTCTCCTGAAGCTCGACACTTTCTTCATCTTCCTTGAGATCAAATAAGAAAGCTGCAGCCACGGAACGGCAAAGGTTGTCGATGGGCAGATCGTATAGGCGTGCCATATAAATGGGACCTAGGAGGCGGTCGCGCCTTCCGAGCTTGCGCAGCGGCTGTTTGCCGACTCTTGCGACCGGATCGCCCAGTGCCGGGTTGGCGAAACGCTTGAGGATCTTCTCGATATATTCAGAGTGCTCCTTCTCGTCAAAGCCGTGCTTGCGAACAAGGGCAGCGCCACCTTCTTGTAGTGCGGCACGCGTATAGTTGTAGATGTCCTTCTGCGAGATTGCCTCGTGAATTTTCTCGATGCCACGGACAAAACCGAGATAGGCAACAGTGGCGTGACCGCAGTTGAGAGTGAAGAGTTTCCGTTCGCTGGATTGCAGAGTCAGGGCGAGTCCGTTGTTGCCAATCGCCAGACAAGCTTACATGTAGGCGTCGAGCTTATCGGTCAAGGTGAGGTGCTTGATTGGCGGGTCGACAGGTGCGACCAAAGCCGTCTTATCTACCACCCACTCCAGGAAATCCTCTACAGTGACTGCCAGGATTTCAGAGTCATCGTCGCCTCCGCCGGGCACGATGCGATCAACGGAGCAGTTCGCAAAGCCTACATGCTTGGCGCAGTAAGCTCGAAGGTCGTCGTCCAAGTGTTCTTCGACATGTTTCTTCAGTTCGTCCGTCTGGTGCACCATGTTCTCGCAACCGATGATATTCAGAGCCGGCGCGCCAGCGTCACGACGGGCGCGTAGACCCCGCGCGATGGTCGGAGCGATCTTGGGAAGTACGGCTGGCCCGACTGCTGTAGTGATGATGCGCGTATCTGGACTGGGAAGTCGGGTCAGTGTGCTGTATTTCTCGACTCACTAACCGATACAGAAGTGCGTACAGAGCAATATAGTCGACAACCTCGTCCTCACTCGACATCACGCCGGCAAAATCGGTTATATGCACTTCATGCTCTCTGCCATTCGCGAAGACGACCTTTACAGGATATGAAGGTTTCGCGTTCAGTTCGTCGATCGTCTTCTTGTCTACGTCCGAGAATACGACGTGGTAGCCGGACTGAAACATATATGATCCTGCAGCTGCATACGATGATGATGCTGTAGGACGCACCTCGGCGAGCAATGCCCCGATGAATCCGCGACCAATATTTCCGGCACCAAAGTGAACGGCAGCGGGCTTTCCTCCGTCGTCTGAAGAGACCATCGTTGCAGTGGAGAAGAGAGACAGAGTACGTCGGGGGTGACGAGTGGCGGAGGACAAGGATAGAGCTATCTCAGCCAGACGAGGCGGGGATCATTGAAGGGAACCAGTCCTGTAGTGTCGACGTCACTGTTTGCGTCCGGGTTGTAGTCCTGGGCGCTATTGTTCCTTGGGGCGCCGGCTTTCTCATCTACCGCAAGGCCGCTCTTGGGCATGACAAAATGCGCTGTGAGATCGCATCGTCTCAAACCGACGCAAGGGTTGTCCGAATGGTAAGAAGGGAGTGTTGGTCGTCGCAGAGAAAGCGTCGTTCAAAGACGCGGCGCCAGTGCAGCCGACGAGTCGCGTCGCTCTTAATCATGTGCATCGGAGTATACTGATCGCAAATACAACCTTATTGTTGCTCGTATACGTATTTGACCGGGACGGGACCGTGATAGAAACTCATAGCGAGGACAGAGAATGTCTAGTTCTGCGAAGTCGCATTAATACTCAGCTCGGGTACGACAGCGTCAGTCGAGCGAGTCGGAATCAGTACAATGGTATGGTTGAACAGAACATTGCAACAACAGTAAGTTAAGCAGACTACCATATTTTCCCGCCATTCTCCTGAGCCACCTCTACAGTACCGGCAGTTTCTTCTCGACTTCTTTGATACCGGCATCGACAGGCGGTACCTGCATCTGCGGGTACTCATCGCCCTTCTTCTCCTGAGAGGGCGGCACAACACCGGCAGCTTTCTTGATGCGCAGAGTCTGGACGCGCTTAAGCCATGCGCGCCCGCCACCGTAGAAGAACGCGAAGGCGCCGCCGATAATCCATAACCCGTACCAGTTCACGCGCCGCCATGCCTCGAGACAATCGTGAAGATTGAGCAGGATGAATGGTACGGAGGCAAAGTTCAGGATCAGCGCCGTCACGAGTATGCCGATAAGATCGTAAGCGCGCTTCAGCGCAGTAGGGGGCGGGGAGACCGCTTTCTTCGATGACTCCGCCGCGTTCGGTACAGGGAGAACCAGTGGGCGAATGAAACCACGAGCGAGGCGACCCACAGTTTGGACGAAGCCGCCGTATAGGAAGGACATGTAGTATCCGGGTGCGATGCCGTGCTTGAAGTGTGTGAGCCTTGAGTGTGATCATAGAGAAGGGAATACTGACCCAGAAAGCACTTGTGCCGAAGGTCAGCATGCTACTCTTGAAACCCGGCTTCTTGCCCTTGGGCGTGACACGTTTGTAGATGCACTCGCGCAACCAAGTATTCGTCTTCATGTTCCAGCTATCCAACAATACTTTGAAGTTGGGTGCGAACTCGACGTTGAGGACGTCCAGGTTTGCAGCACCGTGCCAAGTCGACTTGCCAGATGGCGTGTAGCCAGTGAAGCCAAACCCGGTCAGGATCGCGGCGCCCTCAGTAAGGGTCCACACGCCATAATACTTGGTGCGCGCGATGACCTGGCAAGCTTGCATAAATCCGATGCTAGACGTGTATTCAGCACTGACGAAGTTAGGGAAAGCGTGTGACAACCCCACCGGTACCAGAGCGGCTTCTGCAGGAACCATGGTTGCAACATTACGGGTGCGCTATAGCTACCAGCCATCACCACATATGTGATCAAGAAGACGAGGCCGAGCAACCCTTTGCCATAGGCGACACGTTTCCGGCCGTCAGGTATCGCGCGTCGGGTACCAGAGATGGATGTCGAGGACGACACGCGGGAGATGGCTGGAGATGATGCGGAAGTGACAGGTTCTACTGGGATACGGAAGAGAGAGCCGTCGACAAGAGAGATGTATGCGCGATACTCGAGGTAGGGACCGACGAGGATACCAGGGAAGTAGAAGCTGGAAGGGACCATGAGTACCAGCATTGACAGCGACTGTCTTCAACGCACGCGTATCCAAGAAACTCAAGGATGCTTGGGTATTCCCGAACAGCCATCTTGTTCTGCCACGAGTCCAGCTCCTGCACGTGTACACCAATTAGCGGACGAAGACCAGAGTCATGCATTGGACGTACTTCTTCTGGACGCGCACCATCATAGACATTCCAAGCGAAGGTCGTAAGTTTCATAACAAGTACCATCTGGCAGGCGGTAATGTCGAACGGCGCGTCCTCTCTTTCGAGAACGACGCGCATGACATGGCTGGAGCACTGTCAACTTTCCACTTTCCATTAGACGAAAGACTCGAGCCACGTACTTGTGGGTAAGATGCGCCATATTTACCCTGTAAAAGTCGGTACATAGATCTGAGACATGACCATGGTATGAACACACCAAAATACGATCCACGGCATATTTTTGCGGTTTTTCATTGCCCGCGCAAGGAAATATGTGACCAGCACGTCCGCCAATAGTTCCAGTGTTCCTCCGTATAGATTGAGGAGGGGGATGAGGTAGGTGCCCGCGACGATAAGATTGAAGACATGCTTCAGAGTCTTTCCGGGGACGCGTATGAATACACTACCGAGCGGGTAGGAGACGAGCAAGCAGAAGATGAGCTGGTGGCGCGCGTCAGACCTCGATCTGGCCCCAAGAACGTCTTGCGCACCTTGAGCTGCTCGACGGGTGCACCGAGCGCGTCGGCCGCGGGCTGGAAAACGGCATCCATGGGGGGATGAGGCCAAGAGCGCTCTGCCAAAGCCGGTGAGCTGTACAAAAGACGCGTCTGAGACGTGCTCAAAGTCGGATCGTTGGGGCAAGCAACCAGGCCGCATTCACGCGGCCACGGACGTCATCAAGCCACGCCCAGCTCTCAAACGTTTGCAGAAGATGCACACTTTTCAACGTTCTTCGTCATCATGAGTGTTCTCGAGGAGAGTGTATATGTGCACATGAGCGGCGAGGTCAAGGCTTGCGAGTACGTCCGACGCGCTCACGGGCAACTCCCCCGCAATGTGTCTCTCCATGACAGAGAAGCATACCCGTGCGCGTATACATAGGTACGGCCTACGTGGTGGCACTGGTGCCGGGCCTGGATTCGGACACGCTGACAAGCGGCGATCTTTGACTGCTGCTTCTGCGAGAACAGACTGCCTCCAGCACTGATTTCCGATTCAGTTCTGGCCCCAGTGTACGCTGTGAGGGTTTGCGGTTATATTATTATATCTGAGAACAACCAAACGGCAAATAAGACCGCGGTACGAAAAGAGGGCAGATATGCGAAGAGCAAAGGCACGGCGGCATAGAAACAAATCCGGGAATAACTAAGTGAGGGTAAGTATGACTAGAAATACATGTCCGTGTGCGTGAGATAACGATATACAACAGCAAAGCGATAGCAAGAGCCAAATCATAGCGAGACGTGAACCAATGCCTATGATAAGCTGGGTTGTGTACCAGGGCGCTCCGAGTAATCTGGCGGGAGCGTCACAGTAGAGCGCCGACGCTGATCTGGCGAATCCAACGGGTTTTGCTCGCTGTTGGGCAATAGTGGCGTAAGCCCGCTACCACTTGCAGCGTCATCGCCACGTCTGTGCGCCTGCGTTGTGTGTAGCGCGAGGGACGGAATTGACGGAGCCATTCTATCTGACGGCCGCCGAGTGTCATGTGCTGGGAGAGAGAAACTGCTGCCAGATAGAAGGGTCTTCACTTCGTCCATGTTCACAGCCGGTCCAGGGGCGGCGAAAACGAGCGGTGGGAGGCGAGGCGTTTCGCGCACGGGTGTGAACCAGATCGGGTGTTTTCGCATATGGTTAATCACGGCTAGGGTAAAGAGTGTGTTCGAGTACAGCATGACTGGAGATAGCGCCCGCGGTCATTAGCGACCGACTAGAGAAGGCGGAGGCGGACATACCGATTATCCAGCTGATGAAGGAGCAGATTTCGAGGAATTCGTACATCAAGCATTGGGCTTGGCGGGAAGAGTGGAAGGTTAGTTCACACACCAACGGAAGGGTGATGGGAAATACTCACCCGGCAGGGTTTGGCAACGAACGAAATTCACATACTGAGTCTGGCTACACCAGGCGGCGTACGCAGCGCAAGTGAGCCATAAAACCCATACGACAACTGCATGAAATGTGTGAGGTCGTTGCGACGGTGAAATATTGTTTCACTGACACAGCCACGATGCCTCGACGGCGATGGAAGACATGACAGTTTTCCGTTTAAACAAGTCCGCAAGCAGCCTGCGTCTGAGGTCAGTAATCAAGACGTCAGGGTGTATTCGGATCACACACAAGAGGGGTACGGTGACAATGTTGATGATGGCGATGGACGTCGCGAGGAGGGTGTCGGTGTCAGTGCCAGTGGGGATACTGTCAGAGGAGACCGTGGTCAGAGATTTATATTGCAACGGAATGAGCCCGGGGAGGCCATTGAGCCTCGCAGGATCACGGTGGGACACTCACTATATTGGCCCTTGCAAATGATGTGGATTTCCTGAAACCATAATGTCGGGGTCGGGGCCAGGTGGCTTGCCGATGAGCTTCCCATATCTCAACATGGCGATGTCCACTACATCTCGCTGCACTCCTTGCTTTGGTCCTCCTGGGTTGCTATCGCTGTCGTATACATCGAACTCCAAGGGGTAGGTCATTCGATGGTAGATGAGGATGGCGCTAAGCGTCAGAACGACGGCCGAGAGCAGTATAGAAGAGATGAGTACACCGGCGCGGACACGACTGAGGAAGAGCATAGCGATGGATGCGCTCTCGGCACAAGCGGTGAGAGAGGGAGACAAGTCGGCTCAGCCTCAGAGTATTGGTCAATCGCGGCGCTCTCACGCGCCGACTCCGAGCCACGCTCTCGCTGCCACGCTAAGTCCGAGCGGTTATTCTTGCCAGCTTTGCCCATCGTCGAGCAAAGCATTCGACGCGGCCAGAGGCGACCACAGGTCGTGGTCCAAGTTGAAGGTCGAATGTCGTAGACCGCCTGCCAATACTTGCTTGCTTCGATACTGCGCTTCTCCACATTGATCGCTCAACGTCCGAAGCGCGGCAGCGTCTGCTGCCCTTCGCAACTAGCTTTCCTCTTCTTGCCATGCGACACAAAATGATATACATGCTACGACGGTTCAATGCGGTACTCGTACAATAACTCCCAGTCATATCGCCTCGCTCATACTCCTGCCGACGTGCTCTTCCTACCACGGGTCCATCTGAGTAGAGAGGTCAGACAGGTAACGCCGCGATGCTAACATGACACCCACTTCTGGTCAAAGTCTTGATTGATGGCCATCATTTTGACTCTGTCGTTCTCCCGAACGCTATTCCAGGGCTGCGGGTTCTCCTTCGTCCAGACGACTGCATTGCATCGTCAGTGAGCGCAGAGGGGTCAATGGAGATATCGAGCGCACCATGAGGACCACGGGCGAGGCGAGTGAGGTATAGGCCGGCACCGGCCATTGTCCCACCTACGATCATGTATCTGAGAGAGAACGCTCAGTTCCCCGTTGTGCGATGAGCGATGCCGTGCAACTCACATAGGGATCGCCTGTGTGCCGCCCTCCTATTAGTACGCGTTCATACAGTCACGTCGAGACTTGCCTCGATGGCGAACCAGTGCTTCGAAAACCCGAGTCTGGACATATTTCTTGCGTTGGATCGATGGTCTGGGTGTTGAGCAAGATGTGCGAGGTGGCGGTTGCGGGTTATGTCCCAACGCTGGCATGTTCCAGTATGACGAGCCCTTCGCTCCTATGCATGCGAATCCTCGGCCTACGCGGCCAATCAACGTTTAGGGTGGGTGCAGAGACAGTGCCCGTTTTGGGATGCGCCTGACCCTGTTGTGACCAGGTCTCCTGACTTTCTTGCAGGCGCTCGCGAAGGTTGCGCGGACATGGACGGCGCCTAAGTGCTCAGCGCTCAGCGCTCAAACCCGACGGCTCTGAATGCGACTTACTGTAATGCGGCGACTTGACGCCACTTCACTCCGAATGGATGGGTCACGAGGATAGTGTCGGGCTCCTAAGGACGACGAGGGCACCGGTCTCGGGTACCAAGCAATCCAAGATCTTGTACAGCGTCGTACTTCCGAAACAAACTTAGCTTCTATGCTGTCCTTTCGCGTCACCCAACATCCGAATCGCTCGGCCATCTGTCTTGGGAGAACATAGTATAAAGGGTGGCCACCCCGTCACCTCGCGCGTATATCAACCTCGTCTACAGACTTCAAACAAACACGCGCGGAACCTGCCTAACCTGGGAATCATGCTTGTTGGAGCTTTACACAACCACGCCGTCGTCGGTGTAGCAGCACTCATCTTTGCCTGTATACCCCTCACCGTCGGTTATGGGCCCGCTCTCATATGCATTGGGGTGTCGGTGCGTAACCTTTCAATATATGGGAAAGCTTGGACTGACCGTCTCGTGCATCAGCTGGCTTTCATCGTCGTTATATGTCTATCCGCGCGTTCGATCAACCGCGCAGCATCACAAGTCTCTGGTTTCGCTCAACCGGATGCACGAAGCTCCTCTGGCGCCTCTTTACGTTTTGGTTCTCCGACCATCTGCATTCCAGATGACGAAGATGAGGACGAGATAGAGAGCGAGTTTTTCAACATCGCCAATCTTCGACGATCCGTTGCTGCATGCTTTACCAACATCAAGCCACGCCGTGCCCGATATCCATCCGAGGCCTCGACGGCGTCCCTTCAAGATACCACGAGTCCATCGGAGTCCTCTATTTCCGTAGACGACGGGTCAACTCGCCGGGCATCGGACGACTCGAAACCTCTCACTGTCAGCCCGGTCTCTAACAGACCCAGAGCGAAGACATTCCCTGCTCCTCCGAGAGACCGTGCACCGTCGTTCTCCGGGTTTGCCTTCCCTCCGCATGAGCCAGAGTCGGGACTTGAACTAGAGCCTACTACCCCAGACGTCTTCGAACGGAAGCCCTCTAGACCCAAGCTTGCCGTCCGCATCCCGTCCACCCTACGGTTGGGTACTCTGAAATCAGCAACTAAACCCTCTCCATCGCCTGTCATCTCTAGCCCTTGTGCACGATCTACGAGCGCGAAAGCACATCCTTTCCGGCGGTATCTTCGTTCATTGCGAGGGATGTCAGCTCGGTCAAAGCGCGAAGGCTCTACAACAATGGACGCCTTTGATGACCTGGATCTTGGGCCTTTGCAACGCTCGACTTCGGTGAAGGGCGGAAGCACAAGCTCAAGTCATGATATGTGTGCAGATTTCATGGTTCGCTGTATTACTGTTGCGGCCACCTGATCTCCCATCACAAACCTCTTCGCAATTATTTGTATCCATGTACCACCACCCCGAGAATGTCACCGTTGTGAATATACCAGTTGCAGCCTTGAGACCCACGACATGCAGTGCGGATGCGGATGATCCTGTGCGACTGCGCATGCATGAAAGTACAACATGCATTAAGACAGCTCTATATGTATTTGCGGCAGATCGAGTTAGGCCGTGATACTAGTATATGGTACACATCTGGAACTATGTGCAGTCGCCCGCGACGCAGGACTCCGTTCAACACCCCAGGCTATCAGCTCCCAGTGTCTGCCTCCTCCATTCGTGCGCAGTTCACCCACGCATACCACATCATCTCCCTCAGCCTCAGTCCGTCTTCGTGCCAAGCGGGACCTTGGTTCTGTGCGCGGCATGCTCGCATCAACTCTTCGCAGCGTCCAATACCCTCTGGGCTCACGAAGTCGACCGCGACCTTGATACAGTCCGAAACGTTCGCAACCTGATGAGCGACGCCAGCAGGGATGAATACCGCTTCGCCTGCGCGCTGCACAGTGCGATGACTTGTCACACCGTGTTCGGTCCACAGAGCGTGTCGCAGCTCGTGATCAAGGTAGATGGCGCCCGCGAGTAATGGATCCTTGTCTGCGCCCTTCTCCCCTGCACGGCGCGCGAGGAACCGGCGCACAATATCCGCGTCCTCTGCCCGGAATAGATCCCACACGGCGCCACCCGGAGAGCCACCGGGGGCCGGTTCAGCATGCAGCAGCAGATTCACACCGTCTGCTGCGTCTAGGTGCAAACGCGTGCTACCTCTAGAGCCAGCGCCAGTATGCGTCTTCGTCGCGGTGTACAGTTTAGGGCCGAGTTCGGGACCACGACCATTTGTAGAGGACGGGAAGTGCGAAGCGAGGTTTAGCACGCCGTCGCGCCGACAGAAGCTCCCCAGGGGTAGGCCTCGTTGTAGCGCGTCCCAGAGCTCCGGCACGGCGGAGCGAAATCCAGCACCGCCCGGTGGAGGCCAATCCTTGAGTTTTACGGCTCGCGTGCCCGACACGGGGTTCGCGTTCTCCGCATCCGCATTTGTGCCACTATTCTCCTTATTCGCATTGCCGTTTGTGGCGGTGTCCTCTGGCGTCGTGCGCGAGGGAGAAGACGAGCCAAAGCGTGCGAAAAAGTCGGCGACGGTGCCGCGAGAGGCAGAGTCGGTTTGTGTTTCCACGACCGCACACGGTGCCCCGCCATACTTCTCGCGGAACCAAGCTGGCGTGAACGATGCAAAGCGCGCTGGATCAAGCGACACAACGATCGGAGTGCCGCTCGCGAGCAGTGCACAAAAGGCGGGTTCTGATAGCTCTCCTTCTGCATAGCGAGCTATGGGGCGTGAGGGAATGGTGTCAGGAGGCAAGGGCACAGCGGTTGTTGGATTGATAGACGGATCGGACGTAGAATCGGAGTTTCCACCCTCGGCGACATGATCGACGGGGACTGGCAGAGGTTGAGGTTGTATGAGCGGTGGTTGACGCGGAGAGGGGTTCTCAGCTGGACGGTTCGTAGGGCGAAGTACCGTAGTCCGGTGGACCGACTTTGCACCTTCGTCCTCGTTCTTGGCCGAATCCCGTAGTGACTTCTTCTCCTCTTCGATCTCCTGTAGGAATCTCTTCATTCCCTCGACAACCACGACAAGCTCTTTCTCCTCAAAACGGGTAATCGGCCCAAAGTCAGCCGCCCCGTGCTCGCCGCGTCGCATGCAAGTAAGATATACCGGATTGGCGCGCGCGCGCGCTTCACGGTCTGCCTGTTGCTCCACTGTCGCGTCTGCGCGAGGTGTGAGAGCGCGTATATTCGCGAAGCACGAAGGGCAGGCTTCACGACCACAGAGACGGCATATATGTGTCAATGCGAAGAGTGCGGTTTGGCACATGTCTATCCAACATTGCGCAGAGTCAGGTCAATGCGGTCTATGAGCCACAGAGCACGATGAGGCGTACCACACGTTGGGCGCACGTCGCTGCTTTTCGAACGCCGCATACATCCGTCCTGCCGCAGGTGGATGAGCTCCGACTCAAGCACCTCGATGAGTGACCGCGCAACAACCTCCATTACCCTTCTCCGTTCAGCGCGCCCCATAGGCCGATTCCAGGTCGTAGGGAGTCGGGTAACATCTGGAAGTCGGGCTGCCGTCAGTGGCTCGGAATCACTCTCTGAAGACGCGACAGCAGATGCCGAGAGGGCATCTGGGGCGGAAGGGTCTGGTTTCGGGCGCGCCTCCACGAAGGTTACGCCGCGGAAGGTACCCTGCGCGTCGCGAAGAAAGACACGGAGGCCTTGGAACCGACAGGTATCGCCCGCCCAGCGGCGTGTACAAGCTACACATCGGGGATAAGGGGACGTGCGGTAACGAGGTGACATGCAGCGCGCGAGTTGTAGCTCCGGGTGTAAGGGGCCAACGGGGACTGCGAGGTTTGAGTAAGTGCCGACCACGACAACTTTGTAGATGCGACATACCTGTCGGGTCCTGAATGTCTGACGGTGCGTCGGTCGCTCCCTGATCTGTACCGACGTCTACAGGCGCAGGAACGTCGGGGCCGCCCGCTTTCCCCCTTCCTTTACTCTTGGATCGTTTCTGTTTCTGCTTCGGGGGTGCCTCATCGCCACTGTTGGAAGGAGACCTCTTCCCGGAGGTGGGCGGGTGCTGAGGTGCCGGAAGTGCAGAAGGGCCTTGGGAGGGGTAGCCAGGGTAGTTGATGGGCGCGGCGTATATTATGCTCATGGGCGGAGGGTAGTATATAGGATACATGTGTGGAGGAGGATACGCATGCTGACGGAGATGGTGATGCTGGGCGACAGCGAAACCTGTCAAGCGTGAGCCGTTCTGCAGATTTGCCATGTAGGACAGCGAAGAGTACCTGGAGGATGTCCGTACACAGGGAAGGGTGGGGGATGCTGAGGAAACGGAGGCGGGGGTTCCCCACGATAGTAATCAGGTCTTGGTGCTGAGGGGTAGCCGGTAGGTGTTGATGCGCGCGTATGAGAGGCTGCAGACATGGTTAAAAATATCGATAACAGACATGATTATTTCTCGAGCACTTACGCGATGGCTGCTCGCTTATGGGCGTGGACGGGGGTGGCTGGGGACCCGGGTAATAATGTGGCGGTAAGATACAGTAAGGTGCATGCCAGTTCGGGTCCGGGTACAGCGGGTATGGATACGGATAGACATGCTGTTGCGGATATGGCTGATGCGGGTGGGGGGCTGGCTCGGGCGGGGCCTGGAGTTGCTGGCGCTGAGTAGAAGGGTCAGGAGAAGCGGGGTTCAGTAGCTGGCTGATCGACGTTCTTCTGCGAGAAGACATGCATGTGGAAAGGACCGAAGGAGGAGAAATAACGACCGGAGGCAGGAGACAAAGCACGAGATCGTTGGCCGACGCAAAGAGCTGCGGTCCCGGCTCCCGGCATTCGCGTCCGCCTGTGCCGTATTCTGGCTATCTCTCTCTCTCTCGATTGATTTGTCAGCACATATGTCCTGAAAGTGGCAGGAGAAGGGATCCTGAGCGCGTGAGAAGGGCGGGGGGCGGGTGCGGGCGGCTGACGTGTTGGCGCGGGAGTTGGACCTCAACGACGAGGAAGGTGGCAAAGTCGTCGTCGATAGCGCTAGGTCTGTCTCTACTATGCTCGCGCCTGCGCCTCTCTCATCCATGATCTCGCTTTGTTCTATATTCTTTCATTATTTTTCCACTCCTTAGTCTGCTGCCATGGCTTCCTACCTGCCCAACCCGCGTCCGCGCTCTCGCTCCCGCTCCCCGTACCGCGCTCCACCCGCTAGCTGGCCTCCCCCGGGCGCGGGCCCCGCCGGCCGCCCGGGCTCTTGGGCCGAGTACGCGCCCGGCGCCGACGCCCCCCGGGGCGAGTGGGACGTCTACGAGCGCGACAGAAGCTACTACGACCGCGGCCAGTACGACTACGGCCGCCGTGGCAGGAGCAGGAGTCCACCCATCGACGACGGTACGTGACTCAACAATATTGTCTGTACATACACTCAGGTGAACAAAGGAAACCGCAAGCGCCGGCGCTCTCCCTCCCCGTACGGCGCAGACCGCTACGAGCCCCGTCCGCGCTATGCCGACGACTACGGTACGCCTTTCACTCATCTTCCCCCGGGCGCGCCTCATCGCGGCCACCTGATTTAGACGCCCACACGCGTGGCGGATACGGCTATAACCGCTCTCGCTATCCCGCCGGGCGCGCTCCCCAGAATCCGTACGAGCTTGACTATCCTGCCTCGCTCCGCCAGTACGCGGAGTGGTTTAGGTACCATTACCCCGACCAGGCCGCAGAGGAAGATAAAGCGGACCGCCAAGCCGAGGCTGAAGCCGGCGACGGTTCCCGTCCTCGTAATGGCATACGCTCGCGCTGGGAGAAGTACAAGAAAGAGTTTGCTGCAAGCCAGGTTTGAAATTCCCCGACCTTTCATGATATACATAACTGAGGCCTTTACTTCGTAGCTTCAGACAATGTTCGACCACCACCGCAAGTCACCCTGGTTCGCGGAAAAATACGACCCCGCTCCCGAGTTCGCTTACCTCCGCGCCCGCATTCGCAAAGAAGGTTGGCGCGGCCGTCTTGCCGCCTTTGTCCAAGATCTTGCATCGGGTCGCTTTGACCCCGCCCTCGATGCGTACGATGATGAGCCTGAACCCACGCTCATCCCCAACGATGCCTCGCGCAACGAGATTGATGGTCCAGACGACAAGCCCAAGATCGAGGCGACGCAAGATGAGGAGATGAAGGACGTGAAGAAAGAACCAGAGCCTGTTCCCGCCCCGGTCAAGGAGGAGAAGAATGGGCCCAAAGACGAGGATGACGGTGGCATCGCGCCGACGGACGAGAGCATGAAGATGGAAGAGGACGATCATGAGCAGGACGACGCGGACAAGCCTGATGGCGCGAGCGTCAATGGCAAAGGCGCCGGCTCGCGCGTTATACGAAGCGATGAGATCGCTGTAGACGCCGAGGGTAACCAGGTCATGATCCGTACCATTCCACCTGATATTGGGCGTACGAAGCTTGAGAAGCACGGGGTAGGCGCACATAGCCAATAATCGTACTTCCCCTTTGTTGATCCACGATCTTTGCAGAACTTCCAGGCGATGCCGGGCTATGTCTATCTCGCTCTCGGCGACCCACTTCAGAAGCGCAACTTCTATCGAGCTGGCTGGCTGAAGTTCCGCGAGGACACTGATATGACTACGGTGATGCGCGAGCTCAACGAGAAGAAGATCGATGGCTTCAAGTTGCACGTCATCCACAACACTCAACCGTTTCGCAACAAGGTTCGCTACACTCCCGAGGCCGCGTCTCGCCCGGAACGTATATTCGCCGATCTGGCCAATGTGCGAGCACTGGCGGCAAAACTGGACGCAGACTATCGTCATCACCGTCGTCTGCCAGCGCGTCCTGCAGACGCCGGTGAAGATTGGGAAAAGTCGGCCATGGAGGAGTGGGCCTCCAAGAAGGAGGGCGAGGGTGCGGAGACGGAGGATATCAAGATGGAAGGAGCGGAAGGAGAAGAGGAAGACCCGCTGCCAATCGAGAGTGGAGCAGAGGCCGTTGAGAAACGGGTTGAGATCGTCATGATGGACTTGAAGGAGGCTGGAAAGGTCGACGAGGCCGACGAGAAGGCGTATGAGCTAAAGAAGGTAAGCCCCACGCAGTGCCCCTTCGCGATAATGACCGTATGACTGACGCTTATCGCAGAATACGGTTGCTCTTGATCTGTATCTTGCTTACCTGAGAAATGCGTACCACACATGCTACTACTGTGCTATCGTAACCGATCATCTTGAGGAGTTCCAGCGCAAGTGCATCTCGCATGTCCGCCGACCGCTCACGTACGCGATGCGCCTGGATCTCGAACGCGAGGAGCAGAAGAAGCGCGAAAAGGCGGAGAAGGAACGTGAAGAGAAAGAGCTCGCCGACAAGGTCAAGGACGAACAGGATATGGAGGCCGATGGACAAGCAAAGGACCGCGCGGAGGGTGAAGAACAGAAGGAGGAGTCGAAGAAAGAGTCGGTCAAACAGGACAAGTTGGCCGAGGCTAAGGACTGGAAGCGCAACGGTAAGCAAGAGTCTACTTTTGCCTCACTGCCAGTGCACTGACGTTGACGACACAGATGAGCGCTGGATTGAATGGCTTGATTCAAAGGTCGCGTTGTTGCTCAAGCGAGACGAAGTCGACCCGCGCGAGTACGGCGGGAAAGCGTATGAGGAGGAGCTTTCCAAGGTCGCGGAACCGCATATCAAGCAGGAGGACGAAGGAAAGTTCCGATGCAAGACATGCACAAAGTTGTTCAAGGCCGTCGCCTTCGTCGAGAAGCATATCGCGAATAAGCACTCTGAACTATTGCACGCCCTCGACGAGCTGCCCTACTTCAACAACTTTGCGCTTGACCCTCACCACATCCAGCCGCTCGCGCATCCACCTCCTCAAAGCTCTCAACAACAGCCCGCGCAAGCATACGGTGCACCGTACCCACCCCCTGGGGATTATGCCCGTGGTGGCCCGGGCGGATACTATCCCCCGCCGTACGGTGGATATGGTGGCCCACCTCCGCCCGCTTATGGAGGATACTGGGGTGGTGATCCATATGCGTATCCCTATGGTGCGCCACCATTCAACGCCCCGCCAAGCGGCAAACGACTGGGTGATCGCATCGGTGGTTACGCACCTGGCTACGGCGAGGACCTCCCACCTGCGCCGCCTGGTGCGGGTCTACCTCCCAAGCCGGAGCACGGAGGAGCTGGCGAGGAACGCCGTCGGGGTGGTCAGCGAAGGCGCACTGGCGACCTCCCGCCTCCGCCCCCTCCGCCAGACGCGAAGGAAGACCCGCGCGCTGCGGCGGGAAGGAAGCTCAGTTACCATGATATGGATTCGGTGGCCGAGGGAGATGTCGAACTGCAGTACTGATATACTTGCTTGCTGAGTAGGATCGCGGTAGCTCCTGTTCGTATATTATCTTGATGCTTAGTCCCGCGCGATGTCGCACTTGCCGAATAATATTCAGGAGCGGTTGAGGGACTCGTTGGGTGTAACGCTCCCGACATGAAATGGCACAATGAATAATAAGAAGCACGAACATATGCGTAGCAATCTTCTGAGTGTGTCTTTGGGACGTGTCATCAGATAGCATGCAGCCATTAAGGTTTTTTGTACTCCTCTCCTTCACGCTGCAATGTGAAAAGAAAGCATACTGCAATGCAGACAGTCTCGCACGTTACCTTGCGAGGTACGAGCAAGGTCCTGCACCCCCTGAAATGGCACCAGGCACGGTCTGCCACCGCGGGAAAGTTGCGGATGAGGCCGCGGTTCAGCGTCGGTCAGGTGGCTCTTCGTCGCTGCTTCCGTCTTTCGCTTATGTCTCTCGTCAAAATAGTATACGTGATTTGCATAGGTGAAAATGTACATGCTCTTCGCCAACCAGCCAACATGTCGTCACTGGTATTGTCCGGTATTGCAATTATGAGCGACGTTGGCATTGGAACGTCTCCTTCGTGCCGACGCGTACGCGAGGACAATACAAGCCCGCGCTACACAGTAGGTTCATCGTCGCATTCTTTTCGTGCTTCCTTGTCGAACGCGTGTTTGACTTCTGCGCAGACCTCAGGCGTGTTGGGATTCGGAGGAGAAGATTCTGGTAGTGATGATGATGGGGGAAGCCGCCGCCGCCGGAGCCGTTTCCTGGCGGTGTGTCTGTTCGTTCCGTATATACGATCGCGATACTTGAAATATGAGCCTTGGCTGAATAGTGCTCCGAAATAACGACGTGGGCCGGACCGGACCGGGTGGCAAGCGCCGAATGCGCCGCGCCACGCATTTGCTGCCTTCCATCATGCGAATGAGGAGGGTACTGTTGGTTGTAGAGTCTGCGGTATCCGTGAAGCGTACGCGTGCGAAACACTACCTGCACCAGTTGCGTAGTCATCCAAGTATCGTCCTCGCTGGCCCTGCCGTCGCCGAAGGCCACCGCGCGGCATGTCACAGCTAGTCGAATCAGGCCTGCAAAGGCGTCCGCGTTGAAGACCCTCTTGATACGCCACGGAGCTGGGTGGTGCGTGGCAGTGCCTGTATACGTGCAATGCGCACCCGCTTATCGCAGTGATATACTCCCAAAGTCCCACAACGATAAAACCATCTGGCGCAAGACTGGAGACCTCTACCCTGAGCGTGGGTGGTCAGGACCCGTGCGCGTCATGAACGACTGGACATGGGAACATTGGTTTGGGTATTTGAACATGGGCGGCGAATGTCTGTCCCTCACCACTTTGCCTTGAACTTCCACATGAACGACGCCACTGTCACCAGTTTTACCAGCCTTCCACAAGAACTTGCTGTTCTGATCCTAGGCATGCTCTGTCTACGTGATCTACTCGCTGCGACTGAGGTTTGCTCAAATCGGGTGCGATGACGAGATATCGATTAAAGTGGCGGTATTGTCAGGTCTCCCGGCACTTCCTCTATGTTGTGCGCAGCACACCTATGCTGCAGTATCGCATTGAGCTTGTCGCGTGCGGTATGCGTGATAACCCGAGGAGTGAGACCACCACGGCGAACAAACTGGAAAATCTCCGTCGCCACGATCAAGCCTGGCGATTGTTGCGTTGGTCGGACGATGTCCGATTTCGAATCCCAAGAGATGGACATGTGGAAAGCAAACAGGGCGTGATACTGATCACGAAGGAGAGGGCTCGTCCTGACCATGGCGCAGAGGTACAACTACTGCCTTCGGATACTCGAAACATACCACGTAGATCATGGACCATCGAACCTGGTCATAACGAAGAGCTCAACGGCGACGATAGAGAAATATATGAAGTGCGTCATCCGATCCATGAGACCGTGCTAGGGCGATCACTAAGAAGTGATAACACCGACGTGTCAGGTGGACGCTTCACAGGATCTCTTACTTATCCGCCATGGCACGACGCCGTGCGTTCAACTACTTAGCCAAACAAACGTGCTCACTGCTGAAACTAATTGCGCAGTGCGAACACCTTCCTCGCTGTGTATACCATCTCTGATGGCCTACCTCATCCTCAGGCAGCTTTGAGTAGCTTCAGAATTTCTAATAACGGTCCACTAAGGGGGTCGACCGCAGGGGCGTTCGTGCGTCGGGAGTGGGTGTACTTGCTCGATCAAAGCTTTCAGATATACAACTGGAAGACCGGAGAGCGCAATGGAGATCATGTACGTGGTCGTCTTCACTTGCTGCCGTCCGTGACGTCCTGACTATAAGTGTAGGATTGGCGCGGCACGTTGTCGCAATGCGCCTTCGTTGGCGACAGGTACGCAGCAGCACTCACACTCTCAGGCGTCTTCAAAATGAAACATGTCCAGATACATAGCGGCCGTAGTCGTCGGCATCCCACCATCGCCGGCGGTCCTACGAATCTACGAATTACCTAGCGCGGATCCGGCGGTGCCACCGACATATCCACCCACCGTTGCCGTCCTGGCCTTCTTCCTTCCGGCAATCGCCAATGCTCTCACGACCGACACTGAGTGGAAGCTGGTGGGCGGTTCTGCTCAGTCCGCCTCTCTCAACGATGCTCTCGGGGGTGGAGACTTTACAACTGACCGCGACGAAACACTGGTCTTGATCCCTTTCCGAGTGAGAGACCGTGACTTTGAGCTTATCATTGCGACGGAGCGCCTGCTGGAGTTCCTCCCGCATCCGGGAGACATCGCATCAGGCGCTGGCTCGTATTCACTTCGCGATGTGCCATGGGACGAGTGGGGTCCGGAGTGTACTCATTTGCGTTCAGTCGCAGCCAACGATGACGCCGTGCATGAGATGCAAGCAAGCATCTTCGGCTCACGTCATGTACTGCCTCACCCCGTTCAAGAGTCCGGCGGACAAAGCGCCGTCCGTGTGGATGATTACCAACCAGCTCGCGTCCGTCGGGCCGAAAATAACCAGAGCCCATCCCACAGAGTTCACCACGGGGAGGATACACAAGGGGAGTGGTTTGAAGCAAATGAGCTGCATACGGACCTACCATTTGTGGAAACTAATATGCGGCTGCCTGAGGCGTGGCAAAACAAGAATCCTCATGACGTGCACGTCTCCATCAATGAAGATGGTGTCACTCTCATAGACGTCAGTCGTCTTGCTTATCCTAAGCACTTCACGCTCACTCAGTCTTTTTGATTCCCGCATAGAAATCGGAGGAAGGGGAGTATGGGGAGGCGTACACCCTGTGAACGGGTTCTCTCTGTGCAATGTCACCTATGTGTCATGACATGAGATATGTACTACGCGAAACAATCGCTGTTTGATCCCTGAGCAATGGACTGTCGCGCGTTAAGGAACCTGCATAGTAGGCTTGGGCATCAATAGCGTATGACGCATGTCGATACATGGGTCCATGAGACTTGCTTGTGCACTAGAAGAGAAATCGATTTGCTGAACGTAGACATAGAGATCCTGAAACTCGAGGCGCCCAATTGATGAGAAGTTGCATATAGTCGAGAGATCGAGGTCACACGTAGCTCGGTGATTCGCTAATACATGGACGAACGCATGGGAGCTATCAGGCGCGTATTGACTGACGCGTCCCGTCAATAACACACCAGGAGTGCACAGGCCCTGTGTGTAGGGACTAGCACTATGTGCAACCACGACGTGCCTCACGATGCAAGCGGGGGGTATAGTAGGTAGTGGTGGGAGAAAGGAGATGTAGGCGAAAGCGCGTCTACTATCTTCGGCACCTTTTGGGCACCTTGCCACGGGACCGCCATGTTTCTCACGACGAGAACATGGGATGGGATACAGACCTTGACGTTCGCCCTCCACTAGGTTATTGGGATGGTGGATCCCGTTCTTCATGGCTTTCTTGCAACTCCCACTTGAGATCCTTTCCATCATTCTAGGAGCGCTGGGCGTGCAAGATCTGCTGCGATGCGGAGAGGCAAGCAATGGGCTGTATTCCCCAATCACAGACGATTGACGAGTCTCAGACTTGTCAGGTATTACATACTGCAGTCTCCAACATCCCTACCCTTCAGTACATTCTTGCATTATCTGCATATGGTCTTGTCGATAACGTGTCCAACACCAAACCCATCACCGAGAAACTTGAGCGCGCGCGCCTCACCTATCGCGCATACCGCGACTTCAGATGGATTCCGCATCTCGCCATCTCTCTAGATGGACAATACATCGAACAGCCGAGCTCTCCGATGGTCCTGAGAAGCGCAACGAGCACGCGACTCACCCTGATGCTCTTCGGGTCCCTCGTGCGTGATGCTCCGGATCGACAATGGACGGTGAATCCGCAACCCGCGGCGGCGTTTTCTCGCACGATCAACGTATCTGAGGACCTACTCGTGCTGCAAACGCAAAACATACAAGGGTATGTCATCTCACACATACCAAGGACGGACCCATAGACCGGGGCGCTAGCTCATGCTTTCATATTCGGACCGTATCCGATGGAGCCGCACACCCTCAAGCAGCTCTCCCCTCCTTCCCCGGTGGAGTGCTGGGTGTCGCTCATCAATCGTATGGGCCATATCTGCTGATGCCGGGGGCCAATAATGTGCATACTATCTGGAATTGGAAGACGGGAATGGTTGTGTCTGTATGTCCTTCAATGTCTTGTGATCGAGGTGTGCCTTTCCTGACTCACCGTATCTCTTACCTAGGCGATACGCTGCCATTACTCCGCCATCGCTTTTCTGGATGCCGAACATATTGCACTACTATGCCTCACCGACTTAGGGCAATTCATGCATGTATATCATTTACCCTCCATCATCTTCGATGTCAACGCTGGGATCATGCACCCGCCACAGTATGCATTCGGTCTTCCAACGCTCGACCCAGCGGTCATGCCGCTGGCGTGTAGCTTACTTCGCGGCCCAGCATCTCCATATGCAACTGCTGGCTCTCCTACACCGACCGGAACCTGCTATACCGATCCGGAGGACGTGTTACTGATGGTGAAGTACGAACAGGTACTACCGCGACGTCAGTATGCGCTCGCGATCCGCTTGCGTTCTCTTCTCCAGTTGCTCACACCCGCACATATGACTCACACTACGCCATGGGGGGAATGGGGTCCACGACATGCGCACGCGTTCAGGCTGTCCCAGCGCCGGACAAGTGATTGGGACAAACACAGCATATTCGGTATGCGCAGGGTTGATATGTATCCTACTGTGACGCCCGCTGGTATATTGGTAGTCGCGATACGTGACTATCATAAACGCCGCGTAGCTCTTGCTCGGCAGGAAACGCCTCCGGAGAACGGATCTTGGATCCTTGTTGAAGAGGGTAATCTGGACGGGGCCTGGCTCGGGATGAACACCCTCGATACTTGCATGCCCTATGTGGAGACCACAGTGCCATTGCCCCCAGAGCTTCAATCTCAGCGCAATGCGGCCATCGTATTGAGTATCAACGACGACGGGATCATCGCAAGCACGGTACGTTCAAGTTGCTTTCAGGGTCTCCGCACCAGACGTTTATGTACCGCAGGGATTCGTTGGTTCAAATGCGACTATTGCGCATGTTTATGCACTGTGATTCCCCCGCCTGCTTCTGAGTTGTGAACATGTATCTGCGAAACGATCTTGACTGGTTATGACAGACGACTACGTCTCTCCGGTGAGTCTTCACGTGTCCGCCATGGCCCTTACTGACCAGATACTCAGTCTATTTCTCCTCTCATACAATGTATGAAGCTCCGCTCTGCATTCGCTATGTACTCTATCTACACTACGAGATTTGAACAACGGATGTCTGGGATAGTGTTTGCGAAAATACTACGCCTGATTATGATGATGGTGCCCTTTGCGAGGGCCTATGATGATCACGAGTCTGAAGGAGCATGTCATTACACATGTCAGGGTCATTGCAGTACACACGGCGAAGTAAGGCAATGCACCGATCAAGATAAACATCGGTGTACTGAACAAGTATTTGCTGAAGCCGCTATAAGCAAAACTCTTGCCCGTGACCTATCACGATATTGGTGCGCGATGATATTCCATTGCGGTATGGTAGAGTACAGCTTCGGTAGTGTATGACAGGGGATTGAGACCATGACGACGAGGGGGCCGCTTAGAATATACTCGATAGCACTGTTTCCAGGTTTGCTTTCTCATGTCCTTCGTCGGGGGCCTTTTTATGACGCTTCTTTTCTCTGGGAGTAGCGCCGTCATCGAGGGTCGCGTGTTCACGCTTGGCGGCATTCTTCGGTTTTCGCACAGTGGAAGGATCCTTGCCGGCAGCCTGTGCTCGTTGTGCGCGCTTATCGAGCACCCGCGCAAGCTCGACGTTAGCGAGATAATCCCGCTGTTCGGTGCGGCTTTGTCCAAGTTCGAGTCTGAGTTTGGCCTCCCGTACAGCCCCCTCATGCGCTAGCGACGAATATGAGAACGGGGACGGAAATTGAAGTGATTGATTGCACGCACCGACTTGTTCTGTGAGCATGTGCCACTTGAAGCGGGGAAGATATTTCATCGTCCACACGTCTTCTGCCCAGCGACTACCCTTCTTTCCACCGATAGGCTGGGCGTTAAGCATTTCTGCGACTGCTCGTGCCGTCTTCTTATCCTTGAATTCCACCCAACCCTCTGTATAGTGCGCCTTCTTGGTAGATGTGTGTTTCTTGCGTAGAAATGCTCGTTTGGGATCTATGAGCAGGCGTGAGGATTGCAAGAGACCTAGAAGGAGCATATGTAGCGCACCTTCACGCTGCAAATACACCCTGCCGACCTCCCCATACTGCTGCATGAGAAACTTCACCTTGGGCGGCTGCATTCCTGGAGGAATTCTCGAAATGTATACAACACCCGTACGTGCGGCCGCTGCCTGCGCAGCTGCCAGAGCTTCTCGCGTCAGAGGCTGCACGGTCTTTTCCTCCGGTGGGTCCGCTTCGTCTTCAACAAGTTCCTCCTCTTCGGCCTCTACATCTTCCTCGTCCGATGGTGGGCGTATAGACGCCGCGCCAGCTTGGGAGCTCTCAGCCGCATCCTCGCCAGAGAACCGTTCGTCCAGCCCGAATCGTGTGTCTGTCATGTATAAGCGTGTCTTGATGGGGTCGATGGAAAGGAGGGCCAGAGGGATGCCGGAAGAAAGCAAGATGAGAAATGTCACAGAATGTCACTTCGGCTGCGGAGCTCGGGCCGTTCAAGCCACGCTCGCCACGCGATCTCAATATAACCAGCCATCGCCACGCCTCGTCATAACTCGAGCCTTGGAGCCAACTCTCGTGTGCAACATCCTATCTACCGCACCAGCCAGCTAAATGACGATACAACTCACTCTCCTGCCGCGCGAGCTCCAGGTTCTAATACTGTGCAGGCTCGACCTGCGAGATTGCAGTGTTCTGACCAGTGTCAGTTCCCTCAATGAGATCGAAACTTGCTACGTCTAAGTATGTCTTACCATCTGCTACTTAGGTATGCCATTCCCTGCACGATCTGGTGCGAGGTACTCCGTCACTTCAATACCCCATCGAGCTCGCCGCAGGTGGCATGTGCGATAACCCCCATGGCACCGATACTTCCATATCCGAACATCTGAAGAACCTACGACTCCATCTCGGAGCTTGGTTTACACTGCGCTGGACGAGCGATATGTTCTTCCATGCGCCACCTGGGAATGCTTTGCTTTGCGAGCAAGGGCTTGTGATGTTTGAACAGAAGCGAGACAGTCTCATTAAGGGCATCGGGTTCAACGTGCATCAGCTCCCTGCGAGCACTCGCAATGTGGTCTATGGACACTGGACAGTGACACCTGGCATCGATAAGGAGTCTTCTCTCGGGAGTGAAGTCTACGCTGTGCGTGCACCCTCTGGTCTGTCATACGGAATGCTGATGCGAGGACGAATGGTGGACGGCGATTGCAGATCGACGCCTCGCAAGACCTACTCATTCTTCGGCGGAGTGAAACACCGTTTGGACTTGCTACTGAAGGATATCGTCTCAGTCATTGACACATAACCTCTAGCTCCGAAACTTACCTTGACGTCTACTCATTATCGGAGGGATTGCGACACCCACTCGCAGAGGTAAGCAGTTTCAGGATACCGAGTAATCTCGGGATGGATGGTGGGAGGCTAGACAGCACCAGTGCCCGCGCGCAATTCATTCGGGGAGATTGGATCTGTGTGCTTGACCGAGACGTGATGATCTTCACCTGGAAAACGGGACGACGGAGCACGTACTACGTAAGTGGACCATCGTGGGCTTGTAGCTTGGTCGCCTGGCTTTCTGACTCCAGCTGCAGAGCACGCAGGCGAGGTTGACAGACTGCATCTTTCTAGACGACAGTCATCTTGCCGTCATGGTCGCAGGCATATCTCCATCACCAGCCGTACTACTGGTGTACGAGTTGCCCAACGCGTCCTCAGATGGGGATGCACTCTATCCGTCGAACCTTCCGGTTCTCGCTTTCGTCTTCCCCGCGATCCATGACGCGTCCGCGACACGGACCGAATGGAGACTCACATGCGGTTCGGCCTCGTCTGCTGCACGCAGTTCTCGCGCCGGCGCTGGTGACTTCTGCGCCGATCCAAAGGAGACGATGATCATGGTTCTATTCCGCCTGGGAGATCTCGGCTACGAGCTCATCGTACCGACGCGAAGACTGCTCGAGTTCCTTCCAGGCCGCATAGACGACATACACATCAGCCGTACGATGTTCTCATCTCGAGACGTACCGTGGTCCGAATGGGGTCCGCGGTACGCGTACCTTCGGTCGGCAACCTTTGACGAGGGAGCGCTTCGGGCGACCATCTTCGGTATGAGGCGCGTGTTGCATCGACCCATCATCTCGGGCGGCAAGCTGGCCGTCGTCGTCCAAGACCTCTTCCGACCTCGAGTACTGCACGCGGCGGCGACGTCCAGTCTGTCGTATGCTGTCTGTCGCAGTCAGCCTGTGGTTGGACCGTGGCTTGACAGCGCCACGATACAGACGGAGGTGTCATACGTTGAAACGGTGCAGGAACTGCCCATCTCGTGTCAGGGTAAGGATCCGCAGGACGTGGGAGTGTCTATCAACGAAGATGGGCTTGTCATCACGGTTCGTGTTGTGCTTTGCTTCTGTGCCAACGGAAGTCCTGATTGAATTACATCCGACAGGGATCCAACGAGGCGATTGTCGAGACTCATACGTTCTGAGTAACATGGCATTGAAGGGTATCCGTTCTTGTGACAGTAATGCAAAACATGTAGACTCGGGCTCTTGGGGCTACAAAGAAAAGTACACGCCGAGCAGACCCAAGAACATCAGTGCGATTGACGAGGGCGAGATAGAGTGAGCCCCGTTAGCTGGGTGATCAGAGTTGTGTCAGTATCAGATAACGACATGATGAACGGCCTCGCGCACCATCCTGGTTCGTATTCCTGCTCGTACCCGGGTTTGCCGCGGGTCCAGAACCGGGTGTCCCAGAAGAGCCACCAGCGGCATCCGAGAGCTCCGCAAAGCCGACCGAGGCCGGGTTTGCGCGGAACACGGAATACACGTTCTTCTACAATCAAAGGCTTCAGCCACAGCATCGAGGTGTGATCGTGAGCCTACAGTACATACCAGGAACGTATCCCCAACGATCCACGCCGGATTCGAGCCACCGCTCGAGCTACCCATGGAGAAGATCGCACCTACGCACTGGCCGTTACCGATGCGGCCAAAGTTGAGGTCGTTGGGATTGATGGGATACGAGCGACCACCGAAGGAGATCGTTACGTTCAGCGAGGTGCTGCAGGCTATGTCCGGTTAAAGTTTGATCAGGTTGCGTGCTGAATGCGCGTTGCAGGAGGTAAACGCACGGTATGAGTACATTCCCTGGCCAATCGACTGCGAGCCGGAGACCTGGCCCCAAAAGTCGGACACGCTGTCGGAGGGGCCGCCCAGGAGGGTCGTCCCGGTGTCAATGGCAGCCAGACCAGAGTTGATGCCAACCGAGTTGCCGTTCACGGTCAGAGCTGCACCACCAGTAAGCATATCTGCGAATGATTGCACAAAGAGCCAGACTCACAAGCGACGTTCTGGTACCAGAACGCGTTCCCGACTCCATTCGGGAAGTTCTGAAACTCGACGTCCCCTTGGAACAACGAAGTGTTCCTCCCGCCAAACGTGATAGACCCTCCATCATTCGCGCTCGACGACGAGCTGACCCTCTGCTGGTTGCGCGCGAGGTAGACCGAGAACTCGGGGTTCGAGAGCTGGTTCCCGTTGAGAAGCGCCTGCCAGAACGGCGTGGCGCCGGTGCGCGCGAGGGATTGGAACGCGAGGCCCATGATGCCCGACGCGGTGTTCGGCACGACGTTGTCGAATATCTGGGTCACGGCGCCGAAGGTTTGCGAGCTGATGGTGAAGCCGGCGAGGGAGACGGTGTCGGTGGCCATGGTCCCCTGCGCCTGGCCTTGGCCGTACGAGAAGGAGACGCTGTTGGATGAGGTGCTGATCGAGGAGGATTGGCCGGTGTTGAGTTGCGCGTTGCCCTGCGGACAGTTTGTGCATTCTGTGGTCTCTATCCAGAGGTCGGACGAGCCGGTGTCCATGACCACGTCGAACGTTTGTGCGCTGGATCATGGTATCAGTTTCACTGACATCGCTGTGTTGTTCGAGCTTGACGCACGGGGTTCCTACGGATACAGAGGCAAAGTAGCTGACATCCTGACCCTATGAATAGTTTGGCATCAGTGACCGGGTGATACGGAGAGATGATATCCATACAAAGTCGGTGAGATTCGCGTTGCCCTGATTCTGCCTCCGCTGCGGTGTAGAACCGCTCGGCAGCATCGTCGAGCAATCCGCCGGATCGGTGTAGTTGTACTTGACGCGCGTGCAGTTGGCCATGGTGAACATGACGTTCATATCCGCGTCTCCATCCCAGCGCGCGGCCAGGTTAACACCGCGGCGGGCGAGCGGGACGTGTGTGCCAGGCTCCAAAGAGCGCGGGTGGGGGATTGAGAGGGCGTGAACGAAGGAAGGTGCGACCAGCGCGAGAGAAATGAAAGAAGAGAAGAACATGATGTCGTGAGAGAAGGTCGTGAAAAGAAGAAAAAAAGGTAGGAGGCCGGCCCAAGAAGAGGAGAGGGGAAGGAAGGCGAGCGCGGTGACGATGCGGGGTGGGCTTTTGAGCATTGCATGTCGTCGAGGCTGGTGATGCTTGATGCACGGTGCACAGCCCGGGAGCGCTCAGCCTCGTCTCTGATCACTCTTGCTCGCCGACATCAGGCGCCAAGTCGGGGTGCCGTCCGAAGCGTTTGCTGATTGTGCATCTACGTATACGTGTGAGGTTGCTCTGCACGATGAAGGATCCGAGGTGAAATCCATGGCCCAGTCCAAGTAGATGCGCATCACGGTTACCCGCCTTGTACCAGTCCAGTCAGACCTCATGATCCTTTCCAGGGTGATGGGAACTTGATGGCTATGTGCGACGCGCCACTCGCGGTGCAGGTGTTTGTAGGCGCGTGGCTACCGTGGTTTGTGCAGAAAACGACATATCATTGCATAAGAGTAGCGTACGGTATCTGCGGTGGATGAGCGAGGAGAGCGATCTAGACGGACAGTTGTATGAAGTGCTACGAGTAATAAGGCTGGCCTGCGCTGCGCCAAGGGTCCTCGTTGTGCGATTATTCTTGCGCGGGGGCCGAGTGCGCGCAGTATGAAAGTGTGAAGGCGAAAGAGGCAACAAGGTGCTCGCATCAGGCTCACCGGCGGCTATTTCGAGGCCGGCGGCAGAGAAAGGTGGTGGTTGTGAGGCAAGGAGGTTGAGCGGAGGACGTGGAGTTTTCTTCCTGCGTCGACACTCTGCTTTCGCTTGCTCGCCGCTGGACATGACGGGGCCGACGCCGCCGATGTTGGCGTCCGTGCGACTGCCGGAGAAGCTGCCCGGGCCGGGAGGGGCGGACGAGGCGGGGGTGGTTGTGGAGTTGCCGCCGGCGAACAAATTCAGCATCGCGTGGTCGGGCGAGACGCTGTCGCCGCCGCCGATGGCCGCCGTTGCCTCTGGCTCGGGCTTATCGGACAGCGAGGGCGAGAGCGGACCGGGGATGAGCGGGCGGCAGAGCGGGGCGAGCGAGGACGAGAGCGTGGTGACGCCGCGACGGCACCCGGTCGAGCGGCCGGCGGCGAGCACGTCGGTGCCGAGGCTGAGCAGGGCGTTCAGTGCGCCCGTCGCGTCGCAGATCGGGCAGCTGCTGAATCCGCGGCGCAAGGCGGTGCCGAGGGACGTGTCCGGATTGGGAGATGTGTCGGGGGAGGTGGCGGACAGCGTGGAGATGGCGATCGCGACGTTGCTGGCGATCTCGCCGCCGCAGGTGCTGGACCCGGCCAAGGAGCAGTTCAGCGCGTGCTCGCTGCCCGTCCCGACGCCCTCCGTCGCCGCGCTCCTGACGCAGATGAAGAACCTGAACTACATCGCAAAGCACATCCGCGCCTTTGCCCACCCCGCAGAGCACACCGCCCCCGCCCGCGACGACCACGACTTTGACATCGGCGAGACTGTCCAGAGCGTCGGCGACTCGCTCGCGGGCATAGCGTCCGACGCCGGCGTCGAGCTCGTCCTCTTCCACGCCGACAGCGGCATGAAGCACGTCGCCGTCCACGCCGACGAGACCGCCGTCGCGTACACCGTCCAGCACGTCTGTCGGCAGATCATCGCCGCGGCATCTCCCGGCGACGCCCTCGAGCTCGGCCTCTTCCTCGTCGCCCCCCTCGCCGGCGTCAACACGGACCCCGGCCTGGACGCGACCGACGCGCCGACGACGCACTCGCCCGAGCCGGATCCCGACGCGCCCCTGCACTGCACCCTCCAGCTCACCCACTACCCGGCTCCGAACACCCCGCCAGCGCCGCCGCCTGCACTGGAGGGCCCCATCCTACGCAGGCTGTTGCACGACATTGGCGCGACGCTCAGCACCGACGGCGGCAGGACGTGGAAGCTCTCGCTCACGCTCCCTCGGGGCGATCCTGCGGTGGTCAACCCTGCGGTGGTGCTGCCCGACGGCCAGGACCCGCTGTCGTCGATGTTCCCAGACCTGCGCATCCCGGGCGAGCCGACGTTGGCCGACCTCGCCGCGTTCACCGACACGCTCAAGGGAAAGCGCGTCCTGCTCTACGCATCCGCATCCGCCCTCTTCCCCCGCCACCTGACGTCCTACCTCACTTCCTGGGGTCTCGACGTCTACCCCGTCTCCCGCGACTCGGGCTCTCCAGAACGCGGTCACGAGGGCCAGCAACCGCCCGCGTTTGTGCTCATCGACGACGACGTGGCCGCGCTCAGGGCCCGCCTACGCGCCGCACGGGCAGAGGCACAGTACCCGCTCCACCTCGCAGGCCGCAAACGACCCACGCTCGCCACGCACCACAGACCGCGCTCGTCGCCCCAGGTCGCGCGCGCAATGTCCTCCGCAGGCGCCACAGCTCCCCCGCCACAGCGCGTCCCGCCGCCCGTCATCATCCACTTTAGCTCCCTCGCAAACTTCAAGCTCGCAAAGGGCGCAATGCACACCCTGCTCTCCCCATTTGCCTCAAACGGCTCCTCCTCCCCACAGCCCCCTTTCCCCGGTCGTCTGCCAGAGGTCATCATCTTGCCCAAACCCGCCGGACCTCGCCGCGTCTTGACCGCCCTCCATACCGCCGCCACCAAACCCGCCGTCGACCCGTTCTTCAGCCCGATCGCCACCAGCCCCATGTCTCCCGGACTCGGGCTCTACACCCCTCGCTCCCCAGCCTTGACCAGGAGCTCGCCCGCCCGTTCACCCCTCGGCGACTCTTCCCACAATAGCTCCAGCTCGGGTTCTGGCTCGAACATGAACGTGGCCAGCGGCGAAAAGCCGGGCGGCGTAAGCCCGCTGCGACTGAGCGAGGGCATGGACTACTTCTCCGAGGCGGCCGTCAAGCTCGGCACTTCGCCGTCCTCCGGCCTCGTCATTCAATCGCCCGACGGACAACCCGCAGGTATCTTCTTTCACCCCCGCCTGCGCGGCGTACAGCGCTCCTCGACCGACCGGAGCGCCGGGAGTGCAGGAGGCGATGGCATGCCTGGCTTTGGCGCCTTTGGCCCGCCCTCGAGCAGTATACGGCGCGAAGGGAGCGGCGGCGGCCAGGCGAGGAGCAGAGAAGCCAGCCGTGACGGTCGAATCGCCGCCCGCGAGCTCGCGCAGGTGCCTCCGCCGCGACGTTCCTCCAGCAGACCCGCGCCCGTGGCCACTCCCGTATCCCCCGCGCTCAAGACCGTCGATGTCAGCATCACGGCTCCGACCCCGCCAGTGCCGCCCGTCGACGGCGAGACACGACCGCGCAAACGGGCCGGTACGGCGAGCGGGCGCAGTCCGACCGTGCCACCTATTGGTCTAGGTATCACCGAGAGGCAGGTCGTGGAGGAGCCTGGACCGATGAGCCCTACGTCTTTGCGCAAGGTGCGTTGCAACATATTTTTTTTTGAGAGAGACTCATCCATTGCTTAGGTCTCGCCCATCGACGCGCTCAGGAAAGGCACACCGCCGGTTAGTCCGACCCCTGCGGCTGGCGTGGGCTTTGTGAGGAGGCAGAGGAGCGGCGTCAAGTCACCCATCGATCCCGGCTCAGCGCAGGGCGCAGACGGTGCGTTGCACTTTCATCGGGTCACATTCTGCCTATTAATATTCATGTATAGGTACTCCACCGCCGAGCGCAGGTCCCCGAAAGGCTTCCAAGGCAAAGAAACCCGATACCGGGATCGTGCCGCCCATTAACGTGCTCGTCGTCGAGGGTGCGTAACGCTATCTTCATACACCCGCTCGCATTGCTTACATGGGATTGCCTATCAGATAACCCTATCAACCAGACCATTCTGACGACGTTCATGCGGAGAAAGAAGATCAAGTTTGATGTGGCGAAGAACGGCGAGGAGGCGGTGACAAAGTGGAAGAGCGGGCAGTTCCATCTCATCTTGGTGCGTTGCGCTTTTCTTTCTGTGGGCCCGCTGGTCGATGCTCGCGCGCCATTTCATGGTTCAGGCAGAATCGTTCTGACATCCGCCTTGTAGATGGACATTCAAATGCCCGTCATGGACGGTATTGCCGCCACCACCGAGATTCGCCGGCTCGAGAGGCTCAACGCCGCCGCGGGCTACCCCACCACACCCTCTGCGAGCTCTGAATCCTCGCACCCGCGCACACCAGAGACCCCATTCACAGCCGCTACGACCTCCGCATCCCCATACCGCTCCTCCGTCATCATCGTCGCTCTGACTGCCTCGTCGCTCCAATCCGATCGTGTGGCCGCGCTCGCGGCGGGCTGCAACGATTTCCTCACCAAACCCGTCAGTCTCGACTGGTTGAACAGCAAGATCATCGAGTGGGGCAGCATCAAGGCGCTGCAGATGTGGGCGGATATCAAGCCCGAGACCGCGCGTGGATTCGCCAAGGGCATGGCCGGTCAAGCGCAGAATGTCGCGCGTAAGCTGCGCGTGCCTGAAGGTCGTGCAACCGCCACCGCGAGCCCTACGCCTTCAGATCCACAGTCGGGTTCATCGACGAGAGAACGCCAGCCGAGTGCGGGATCGAGGGAGAGGGAGCGCAAGCCCAGTGCGGGCGCCGTGGACAGGGACAGGGAGAAGGATACGGCGAGCCCTGCGACGCCCGTCGGCGCCGTCTTTGGCGCGCAAGTGCTGAGGCATGCACCAGGCGGCGGGCGCGAAATGAGCGCGGCTCAGGAGGCTGCTCAAGCGCTCGCCTCGGGCGCGCCGTTGCTCTCGAGAACATCGTCATCGTCACACGCGGCGTCGCCGCCGAATGCGGGACCCACTCCGAAGCAAGGTTCTGGTGATGCGGGGATGACGCCGAAGCAGACCCTCGGCGCTCCGAATGCACCCATGCGTGCTTTGGCGTCGATGCGGGAGCCGGAGCCCGAGTCGGTAGCGCACAAGGCGTTCGAGTCGATGGTCCCGGAGGAGCACGAGCCGGTGCCTGCACCGGTCCCCGAGTCTGAGCAACAGGCCGCTGCCGACTTGCAAGACGTGCTGGTGGCGGAAGCACTCGCGGGGCCACCAGACGACCCGCAGATAGAACCTACTCCACGAGCGACGTCGGTCCCTGAGGCCCCCGCAGATGGCGACGACGACGAGCCGCACGAGTCGGGGGATGCTGAAAGCGCGCCTCTTTTGGATGATGGCCACCACGAAGCCGCCCCGGGCCCGCTCGGGTGATGGTTTTGGGCGGCCGGTGGCGGGCCTGTCGGGCGTCTACTGCACTTCTTGCATCTAGACGCCCTACTCGTCCCTCCGCTCGCGTGGATCGCGAAGGTCGCCGGGTTTCTCAGTCTGCGCCAAAGGCGCACTACCCCTTCGTCTTGAGCTTCTTCGTCCGTCTTGCCATTCCTCCCATGCTTCATCCGGATCTCGGTCTGCTCGTGCTTTTTCCTTGGGTGCTCGTGCGTTAACTTACACGTCTGTGGGTGTTATTCGAACGTCTCTCCGTCTTTCCCTGGGCATTGCTCCTCTCGCATCATCTTGATATCGTGTCTGCGCCAATCACACTCTTATTTTACCACGCCCTTCTCAGATCCTGTGCTATTGATTCAATCGTCTCCGCACCCTTCACCTCTCCCAGAACCATCACATATGGCAAAAGGGAGTGCTGTTCAAAGTCCCCGTGTATCCACCCCGTTCAACTTCGAACTTTCCCGGAATCTCTCCTCATCTCATATACTCACGGCCACACTTATCATCATCTGTTCTCAGCTCTCATACCGCACACGCAAGCATCGTCCTTCTCATACATCACACACACGCATTTTTTGGCTCTGTTCTGACTTTGTCTTGACGTCCGTACTACCATCACGATATGTGTCCATAGCTACTCGATTAGATATACTACGGGTTCAGAATAGCCCAGTCATATTCATCTTGCCTTACTGGAAAACGCCGCCGCGTCAGGATTGCGTCCACGGTACCCTCGACGGTTACAGCCTGCTTGTCAAGTGGGATCCTCACCAGTGATTAGGCATCGTCATGATACTGAAAGCAAGCCTAACTAGGCAGACGTTGCATGTATACGACTGTCTCGCGCGGGACAGCAAGTGTTGCTCAAGGCACATCACCCAGCTGTAGGTTATGTAGGACGAAGCGGCGCGTACGGCGGCAGATGCTATCCCATAGCGATCGAACGCTTGCTGACAAGTCCTCAATCACTTGCTTTCCAAGCCCTGAACTATCTCATACATGGTGTAGATGATGTACGCGATGAAATAGACCCGAAAGGAAATTCGGTCCTATCAAATACACGGGGATCACTCGAACGATCTATGCCCAGGGGTTCTCCTCCACCGGCGCCGCAGGGGAGCTAGACGAAGGTCCTGCATCTGCCGTGCCCTGCGACGTCGCCGTCCCACCATCTGCGCCACCCTGATGAACGCCAGACTCGTCTACGGCAAACTCTTGTCCCTGTTCTGCAATCTTCTCGGCATTTGCTTCTTTGCTCTCGAACCGACCGCGTGTGCGCATCAGAGCCTCTCGGATGAACCCCGCGACGGCCAATCCGAGCTGATAGTACCCATCGTTGGTCGAAGGCTCAAACATCCCGGTATGAGCATGAATCTCATCCTCCGCGAGCGTGTTGCGTGCTGGGACGAAGTGGTTCGCGGCGGCGGCGGCCTTGGGCAGTACGCAGAACGTGCGTGCAGTGACAGTTGTGGATATATCCGGCGGGATGAGTGTATAAAAGCTGTGAGTGGATACTTTGAGCCCAAGCGCGAGGGTATGGACTGGTACTACGTACTTCCTGAAGATAACGCTATGTTGATCCTCGGCCTTTAGTATGGCCTCCAGTCGTTCCTCCATAGCTTTCTCCTCCCATAGATGACCAACGTACTTCATGTGATCCTGCAGATAATTATAGCTGACGGAAATGTCGTTTCGTCGGTAGTAGGCAGTTCCAGCCGCCGCTCCGGCGAGGAGGGTACCTCCTACCGCGTACGCGACCGGTGCCCACTTCGCCCAACCACCAGCTTCAGATGCCGCGACCGGTTCCGGCGCTGTGAGTAGTCCTGCAGGCGGCTTCGAAGTGGCGGTGGCGGTGGACTTGCTGTAGTCACTAATTGCGCTCCATATGTCTGTAGCAGCCTTGCCGACATTGGCGATGGTCCCGAAAGCCTTGGTCGCAGAGTTCTTGAAGACATGCGGATGTAACCCGAGGTACTGAGCAGAAGTCAGCGATGGAATTACTGGTCTCAGGTGACAATAAAGCGTACAGGAGTATCAAATGCCAGGATCGCGATGATATGCGGCCATACAGGGGCGGACGGATCGACTCTGTGTTGAATAATCGCGCGGAGGGTATCTGCGACGAGGAGGCCACCCATACTAAACAACGTGTCGGTACGAGTCACAATGGTCGTTTAGTCTGCGCACCTGTGCCCACACAAGACCAGCTTGGCCTTTCCTGCACCTCCTCCAGCCCCATGCTGAACCTCACGCTCAACCGTCAATGTCGTTAACCAATCCGCGAAACGTTCGACAGCTTTATCCTAGACAAGGTATGAGCACCCATTCCGTTTGACACTCACAGCCTCAAACGAACCAGTTCGCCTTTCGTCTATGTTGGCATCAGTATCTCTGACGTGGAGCTATAAGCTTTTCGTACCTCATATGCGGGAAATATGATAGATTCTACCCGAACGTTGTCGATCGTTTCACTCAGTACGTGCGTAAGCCGGGACGGGAAGCTCCCAAATGTGGTGTCCGTGCCCTTGAAGCTACCTGCATGATATAGACAGGCCTCCCGTTCGGCAACATCATGCTCGCTTACCCGTGCACATAAACGATCAATAGTATCTCTTGGGGCAGCGGCGCCGCCACCTCGCGAGATGGCTCCGTAAGGTCGATGAGATTATTGTCCATGATCCAAGAATATGCTACACGCAGATACAGAAGTTCGAGATATATAGAAGGTTACAGGGACCCTGAGCCAGAAGACTCGTGATAGGATGGTCGTAGTTCGGTACCAACTATGCATCGGCCGCGTCTTCGGGGCTGCGGAACCCGACAGGTATCTCACGCCTGCGGCTCCTCGAGCATGGCTTCGACATTCTGTCACTCGCCACCACCTGCTCACTTGTACCTGGAGTACGCGCACAATGTCTATTGAATCCCAGAAGATGCTTGTGTACCTAGGCCTGTCGCCAGATTATGATCCCGCCCCTGATGTGAAACCTATCCAGTTTCTCTCAATACATCTGCATGAGCTGCCTGCTAGCTTATTGATTCAGTTCACCGACCTGCTCTCTCCTCGACAACGGTCTGTGATACCAGCGATACGCAACCGCCGTCTGAAATATACTCAAGGCAACCCTGTCGAACTTCGCTTCACAGAAGCTCGGCGGACATGGCCTACGCTCTGGGAGGGCCGGGAGCGCAGAGGCGTCGAGGAAGGCGCAGATGAGAGGGCTTGGGCTGATACAGACTTTTTGGAAGGGTCTCAACGACCTCATGTCGGAAAGCTGGGCAAAATGCTCGGTGAGCTTGAGGAAGAGCGCGAAGCTGAACGCGTGAGGACCATCCGGCGAGAACAGGCTACGGCGGAGGAGTTCATACCGGAGGAGGACGAAGACGAAGACGAGTCTGAAGACGATACTCCGCCGCCAGACAATGCCACGCCTCCTGACCCTCAGGCGGACATGGAGCTCTTTTCGCGACGCGTACGAGAGCGGTTCATCTACGGCTTACTCGATGTACGTATCTGGTTCATCTGCTGTGCGCAACTGTTCACTAGATGTTTCATAGACACAGCTCTACGATAAAGTTGACTGGGACGACGGTCTGGATGAAGTAGACCGTGAAGCTGAAGAGCGCTGGTTTGACGAAGACGATTGAACGCCACCATACTGGGAGCGCTTACTGGTTCTTGACACATTCATGTAGTTCGCCTTTATTCACGTCGGGGATGTACATTAGACGAGATTGGACTGTGATCATTGCGAGTATGGATGTTGTACAGCAGACGATTCGTCTGCGAGTTGAGGAGACGAGAGACAGGGACGTAAGGGAAACAGGCTAACGGTCGCAAAACCATGTGCATGTACAGATTGAGAATTAACGTAACACATGAACGTAACAATCGGAGAAGAGATGCGAGAACAGACAATGATGGGGCTCGTTCAGGGAAATTGCGAGGGAGTGAGATCTAGACAGACGGTTCGCCAAACTGGTCCTCGAGTCCGTCGATGCGCACGTTCCACTTCCAGCGACCGTCCAGGTAACCCCTCGCGGTGTCTTCCAGTACGATCTCGTTACGGCGCGATACGTAGACGGTCTTGTCAGTGACCTTCTGCCTGAGCGAAGGGACACTCTCGGGCTCAAGCGGCTGTTCGAGCAACTCCGACAGATCCTCGACCGCTTTCTCAAGGTCACGCTGGTTGTCCTCAAAGAGCTCCTTCACATTTCCCTTGGAGAGGTAGTAGGCCATCGCGTACGTCCATTTGAGAGTTGCGCGGCACTTGACAACTTCGTCAACCGCGCGACGGAGGAACTGCACTTCTATCCAAGTCAATGTCGAACTCGTCTGCATCTCCTCCATCTTCTTCTCCGTCTTGGCGTACAGTTCTACCGAGAGCTTCGCACTCTGTTCGTGATTTGCCCAGCGGTTGTAGTAGTGAAGGTAGCGCTCGAGCGAAGCACGGCTCCGGGACTGCGCATCCCGCGCATCGATACCCGACTTCTCGTCGAAGCGATTGCACGAGTAGAACGCGGTGCCGTGCACCGACCAGTCGCCCATGCAAACCCAGCAGAACTCGTGCTTGCACTTCTTGCAAGTCATGTGGTTGCACCCGCCGTTCTTCTCGATCGTGCTCTGGCATTTGGAGCACTCCTTGGTATTGCTCTTGATCCAGTTAGCCGTCTCACTATCGTCGCGGCACTTCTGCAACCAAAGCTTGCTGACGGCGCACAGGAGGGGGCGGTGATCAGCTTCGATGGGGCACCCGAAGCAGAACTGATGTTGTGCGTCCGCGCCACAGACAACGGCGGGGACGATAGTGTTGAGGCTGCTCTTGGTCGCGGCGGCGGTGCACCGTACTGCGTGAGTGCACTCGGGGTACGGGCAGAACTTGAGAGCGCGCTGAGCCTCGACGTAGTCGCGCAGCAAAAGCTCCTTATAACGCAATCCCGTCTTGGACTGAGGGAGTACGACCTCGAGCACGAATGCGTCCGGGGCGATCAACTTGCAACCCTCGGCCATGCACGTAATCCGGTGCTCGCCCTCGTCGCGAATCTTGGAGGTCGTGAAGGCGGCCCAGCAGCCTGTGCAGAATGAATGGCCGCACGTGAGCGAGCGCATGTCCGTGGCCTCATCGTCGAAGCAGATCTGACAGACGCGCTCCTCTTCCGGTGAGGGCGGGGGCGGTGAGGCTTTCTTGGCGCTGTTGCGCGTCGTGCGCGCTGCCGAGGTCGAGCGCTTGGTGCGTTCGGGACCGAGAGCCGAGGGGGCGGAAGGCGGGATCAGACCGGCGGCGGCAGACAGCTTGGAAGAGTTGTCCAAGTAGGCCTCGATTGTTGGCTCCGTCTTCCACCGCATGTGGCGAAGGAGGAGGGCGGCGGCGTCGTGAGAGATCTGAGCAATGTCGGCGACGTTGGCGATGTCGGCCTCCATTAGACGCTCGATATCCTCCTGGGGAACATCCGAGTAGTCGATCTCGTAGCTCTTCTCTTTGCCCTTGCCGTTGTCCACCCGGTCGAGTTCCATAACCTCGGGTTCCGTGTCCGAGTCCATGAACACGTCCTGCTCATCGTCAGAAAGGGGCTCGTCGCTGATGTCATAGTCGGACATGTTGTGATAGTAGGTGGACGTCGTGTGGAGTGTGGTGATAGTGGAAGTAGGAGACAAGACGCTTCGGGCCCGGTGGCTTGACCTCGCGGCCCCCGGAAGATGCCGTGATTCGATGCGAGTCAGCTCGCGACACAGCAGGGCTTTCCCCGCCGTATGAAATTACCTTAACTAAGCAACGTCAGCATCCCACCCAATGGGACAGAGAGTCCTTGGTATGGGGCGGGTATTGCCACTGGTAGCGCGATGCTCGAATGATTGGCGGTACAGGGAGGAGGAGCACGGCAAAGGCCGAGAAGCGCGTCTAACGCGCGACGCGTCTGATCGCAAATCATCTCGCGTTCAGTCTCCTTGCGTCCTTACGCCCATCTCCGCGTCCTCTGTACTCAATGGCTGAACTTCCTGCGCAATCCGCTTCATCTGGGACGAGGGAGAAGAAGAGGAGGTCGCGTGAAGAGGAGGGCGGCGAGCGAGATGGCAAGCGGAGAAAGCGGGACTCGGACGCACCGTCGCAGAAGAAACACAAGAAGAAGGATAACACTGAAGACGCGCAGGCAGATGATGCTGAGGCTGCCGCCGACGACGCCGCCGTCGAGGCTGCCCTCTCCACGGTCACGCGACCAGCCGGTGCTATGCAACCGACGCGGTCTCTCGAGGAGATTCTCAATACCTCCGGCGGCGATTTGATGGACGTCCTTCAGGCTCTCGACGTCTCTCAACTCGGCGGAGTTATGAAGGGATTGAACAGCACTGCAACAGCGTCCAAAGTGCAACTGCATCCAATCACGAGCACTATGCCCACTGGTGCCTCCGCCCCTCGCGCGACCAAGGCAGCTGCGCCCTCCAAACCGAAGAAGGCAACAGGAAGCAGTGATAAGAAGGGCGCTTCGGGTATCCGGACCAAGGCTCCTCCCGCATCGATCGAAGGTTATGACGCCTCGAACCCTGCCGAGATGCTCGCCACTCGTTGGTGGAGGGCTACACAGTTGAATCAGTTGGCGAAAGAACACGGTGAGGTTTTTCTCCGCGAACCGAGTTTTTCGAGTAATGCTCAAAAGTATATGCCAGGCTTGGTCTTCAAGAAAGGAAAGTTCACTGCGGCGGAAGAAAGACAATTGAACTCCGCGATGGAACTCGCTGCTAAGGTATGCTCTTGTCATATCAAGATGTTTACCTGCACGCTCATTCCGATGCGTATCAGGAGCGCGGATGCTCAATAGAGGGACTTGACGCTGTAATTTTCCCGAAATCAGACGAAGATCGCGACTCGGCCTTTTGGACAGCTCTGGGTGATCGCACACCTTCCCTCAAATGATCTTACCTAATTTACGTTCAAATAGCCCGTGCCGTGCCGCAGCGTCCCCTCAACTCTGTATATCATCACGTACGGCGAAAGCGCAATCCCCTGGCCGGTCAAGGTAGATGGACTGAGGCTGAAGACGATGCTCTCAGGAGGTGCGATCAGATTTGACGTTATCTTCTGTCGTCATTAACATGCCTTCAGCGCTGTGCTCGAACACGGAGAGCAGTGGGAGAAGAAGGTCAGCGCCGTGGTTGGACGTTCCGCTTCCGACTGCCGTGATCGATGGCGCAACCATGTCAAGCACCGCGATGAACGAACATCTGGGCAGTGGACGCAAGAAGAAGAGGACAACCTTACGCGTATCATCACGGAATGGAAAGTCGAGAATGGAAAGGAGGACGATGAAGACATACCGTGGACACTTGTAGCGGCAAAGATGAAACATGGACGCGGCCGCACTCAGTGTCGTATGAAGTGGTCAGTGTTCATCATGCTTAGGCTGTAGTCGACAATACCGACCATGACGTTTGTCTAGGACTGAGAGTCTACGCTTTCGAGTGGCGAAGGTGGAGAAGAGGTGGTCTAAATCCGACTCATTCATTCTTGTACAAAAGTGCGTTCATAACGTGCTTCATGCACTTCCGCGCCTCAACTACGACACCTCTAGGATCGATTCCCTTGACGTAGAAGATGAAACCGAGATCGACTGGAACTCGTTGGCAGACCCTGACTGGAATATGCACAGCGGCCACACCATGCAACGGCGCTGGCGGCAAATGAAACAGAAGATCGACGGCCATGAAAAGATGTCGCATAAAGGTCAGCACTTAGTTTGTCACATCATAGCGAACGGAAGCTTCATTGTATGGATAGAGGTCATGGGCGCACTTCTCTCAACCGTGCAGTATGTACCACCGTCGAAGCCATCAAAGCCCATAGCGCAACCGACACCTTCTGCGATATCAGAACCGTCCAAACCGCCGAAACCAAGGAAGAGAAAGCTCTCGGCCAGGGGGACAAACTCTCAGACCTTTACCAGCAAGGAGTTCGTGAGCGACTCCGACATGGACTGAGGGACCGCATGACTGTGATGTTGCTGCCGCGCTCCTACAGAAGTGCGCAGCCCCCCGGCATCTCGGCTACCCTCTACTGTCCCTCCAACAGGTTTCAGCGTCATGTGTTTGAACCAGCCACCTTTAAGTCTAGGTTCTGCCACTTTTTGCGCAGTATCTACTTCTCGTAGTGAGGAACAAGTCTCGCCAAGTCATCTGGATATAATTATATATCCCCATTCCTGTGATCTACTCTCAACTTCGCGGCCACGAACACCGCACAATCAGTTGAAACCCGTGGACTAAAGGGGTTATCATCAGCTTCAGTCACAGAAGATATCAAAGCGCCTGCATGCCTTGTGATAGGCTTCTAGCGGTAGCGTCTACACTCAAACGCGAAGTTTCGTCTCCCAGTATGCTGCTAGTCCACTTGAAACAGATTCCAGACGTGTACTCCATTGCAGTATCGAACAATCTTGGATATGGCAGACAGATCGGTCGCCAAAGCACAGCTGTAATACTGCTCACGACCCGCCTGAATTCATCCCAGCGGTGTATCAGGATGATTTGGGCTTGGTTCATAATCTCCGCAAGCCGAAGGCCGTTCGAACACATGATGAGGATCCAACGGACTCGAACGATCATTACGACGCACGTATAGGCTAGCCATATAGCCCTACGAGTTATGTCCATATTGCACGGCCTGCGTGACAGTAAGTCGCAGTACTACTTGTACCATGGACAGAAGCGCCCACGCTGCGCCAGTACAACAGCACACATTTGCCAGTGAGTGGGACAAAAACGATCTTCGCTCGAACTCGTAAACGTGCAAGAAGTTCATGTCGTATTGATAATACCGTAAAACTCGATAGCCTATTGTATTCAAGGTAGAGGCAGCAGAACGGGGCGATGAGGCGAGTGGTGTGCATATGGGGATAAAGACGCTCGGAGCGGAGGCGGTCCAGGGGATATCAGTAGCGCGCCCAAAGGAAGCGAAGAGCCAAAAGAGGACAAGAAAAGGAGAGGCGGGCGTGATTACGAAGGCGCGAGTGTATAGCAACAGAAGGAAAGGGCGAGCGACAATGGACAGACAACAGGGCGGGGTAGGCGAGCGTCTCATTAATGTGGTGCGTGAAGTGGGTAGCGGGGTGTGCGGATGTGAATGTTGTGATGATGTTACATGAATGAGGTATTGCAAGAGACAGGAGCCAGCGCAAAACGGGCATGGTAGAGCCCAACGCGCGCAGCCGCGTTCATGAGCAGAGAAGAAAAGAAAAGATAATTGACGGAGGAAAGCGTGACAGATGTTGCGGGAGACCGAGAACCGATGGGAGTCCATATATATAAAGATCGGGACGGGAGTGGATATGGGCAAAGAGAACTGAAACTGCTACAGGTTGTGGATGACGGTCACTGAAATGTATGTACGGATACGAGTATGAACATGTGCGCGTCGCTCAAGCAGAGGAAGCCGGCGGCGATTGGGGTTGTTGCTGCTGTGAATCAGAGGATGTGGAGGGTGTGATTTGCTGAGAGTGAGGGCCGATCTGCTCTTGCTCGGGTATCTGGGTGTATGTGTTGAATGCGTGCTGCGACTGATTCGACGGGAGATTATGAAGACTGAAAGCAGAGAAGCTCGACGGCGGCGAAAAACCGCCCGGAGCCTGGCGCGGGGCGGGACCAGCGAAAATCGAAGAAGGCCCTACAGGTGGAGGCGAGACGAAGCGCGGCGGTGGCGATGACATGCCCATGCCATACTGCGAGAAACCCGCAGACGTAGGGGAAACAAGGCTGTCGCGCTGATGACGGTACGAAGCCTCGTTCTCGGCGAAGCCCCGCTGAAATGCGTCGATAGGGAAGATAGACCCTGGACCAGCCAACGGCTGTTGCTGCTGAGCATTAGTCGGCGTTCGAACGCCGAGTGGATTCTTGCTATACGACAGCCGGATACCACCGCCTTTGATGATGCCATTCAGCGTCGCACCGTACAGCTCGTCCAAAGCCTTCTTCGCGAAGTTGACGTCTACGAACTGCAATAAACTATCAGCTTCCATTTGAACGATGGATGGAGGGGGGAAATACCTCGACGAAGCACATTGGCCCGTTGCTCTTCTGACGGAAGCAAAGCTTACGGAATCCGGGCTGCTGCGAGAACAACTCCCGGAGGCTTTCCTCAAGGTAGCTATGAGCATGTCCAGACGGTGGTGGCGAACTTGGGAGGTTGCCGACATAGAGCGTGTTAATCTTGTGGGTCTTGTCAGTGATGAAATGGCAGGTCGAAGTGGATCCGAACATACGGGTGGATTCTGATCAACAGCGCCGCCGCCACGACCATTGGAGCTCTTGTCAGACGATGGGCTTGATGCCTGTGGCGATGTTTGCCCCGTGGCGGGACCCGAGCTGGGGGCAACGGGGTGGGGTACATTCACGGCGAGGCCGCGCGGCCCGCGCCCTTCGTCTGCGCCGGCACTAGTATCACTCGAGTCCGAGTACTCCCCCCTGGTAGGCGAGAATTGACGAGGTCGTAGAGGGAGCGACGGGTGCGGTGGGAGCGATTGCCCCGACAAGGGTGGGGAGAAGGCACCAAGCGCATAGATGTCCTCGTGACTCGGAGGAGAGTACTGAAGCTGCTGCCCGGTAGAGGGTGGCCTTTGGGGCAGACTCGAGGGTAGAGTGGCCTTACGAGGGGCAGCAGAACCCCACGACGCCGACACAGACGCGCGATGGACAGGCACGCCTTCCACACCCGCCGTCGACATCAGAGAGTTGCCGGTGGGTCGCTGAGAAGAGGGTACAGAGTGGAACGCCTCGTACATGAGAGCGTCGCTGCCGCGAGCCCGCGAGTTGACCGGATCGGCACCTTTCCAACGACGGTCTTCCTCTTCAGCACGCTCCCGAGCTCCCCTTGCGAAGCCGCCACCAATGATGCTCGCCTTGCGCATATCGAGTTCATCTTCGACGCGCATGTCCAAGCGCGCGTCACGACGCCCACCAAGGCCGCTCATCGAGCCAAACTCGCGCAATTCGCGATCGCGAGGAAGAGCATCTGAGGCAGCCATGCCAGACGGGCCGTTGCCGGTAGGTGCACCATCCGCGGGAACAGGGCCACCGTTCTGGAGCTGGAGAGGTCCCAGTCCACGTTTGGTATGCAGGTTCTTCTTCGCCATTTCGGCCTTCAACACGGCGCCTTTCTCGATATCGACACGACGTCCCTGAAGTGTGTCGCGCGCCTCAAGCGCTTCAGCGCGAGTGCGGAACTTGGCGAAGCCGATGATCTGCTTGCGGTTGTTCGCAGCACCATTGGGACCGTTGAGCATGTGCGAGAAATGAGGCTCGTCGTTAGGCTGCCAAGACGATGTTGTTCCATCACGGCCATTATCTACGACGACGCCGCCCTGGTTGATCGTGACGAGATTGTATGGGTCATTCGGCCCGCCGTGAGTCTGGCCGTACATTCCCTGGCGGAAGCCATTGGCGGGTCCGCCCTGACCGTAGACGGACGGTTCTTTGTTAGGAATCTTGAGCGTGGCAGCTTCGAAGCCGGGTGAGAAGGTGAACATGTTCTGGAACTCGCGTTCCTATTATGCTTAGTCAGCCAGAAGCACTTGCCATTTCGGGCGGACAAAAACGAACCTGCATGTCGTCGGGGAAACCAACTACGAAGATGGTCGAGATTTCTTCCTGGACCGAGGATTGAGCAGCCGCGGCCTGGGTCGAGGCGAGCTGACTGGGCGGGAAGGCCTTGTTGGCCGTGGGAAGATGAGGGCCGTAGGGCGTCTGTGACTGCATCGAGTGATGCGAAGCACCGCCGCCGTTCATGTAGGGCGCCGGCGCAGTGTGAGGAAAGCCGTTGGACTGTTGCTGCCCGAGAACGTTCGACTGCTGGGCAGCGGAACCGGGGAGGCCGCCGTTGGTCTTGTGGGTCGGGAGCATTCCGGAAGCATTGCCACTGGCAAAGACGTCTGTGTTGAAGGCGGGCTTGTTGAAGAGGCCCGATCCAGGAGCCTGTGCAGCGCTTGGCTGAGAAGCAAGAGAGATATCGAAAGCAGAGTGCGAGGGTTGGAACGAGTCATTGATGGGCGGATGTTGCTGAGCGGAAGGCTGGGTATGGGCGAATGAGTCTACGGAAAAGTGCTGGGCGAAGTTGGAGGTGTCGCGAAGGAATGCGGCCGGGCCGGGCTGCACGGGCTGCTGACGAGATCTGTTTGCGTTGGCAAAGGCCGAGTTGAAGGCGGTTGAAGTTCGGTATGGCGCTGCCGAGGCGAGGTCGCGGCCGGGATCGAAGTCGACGGGGTTGTACATGTTGGTGAGATTAAAGGAGGGAGAGCTTGTGCGATTTCGAGAGCGATTTGAGGACGGGTGGTGGCCCTCGTCCTCGGAACCAGAGAAAAGGGGTTCTGCGTCTGCCTGTTCGTCGAGCGAGTCGAGGAGGGAACGATTTATAAATTCCTCGTCGATCGAGCGTGGCAAAAAGGGGGAATGTGTTGACACGAGGGAGGACGCCAGGATGGGCAAACGACTGGGACGCGGACGGGACGGGGCGGGTGATGACTGCAGAGAGGCAAGAGCAACTACCGACGGGCCCGTTCAACCCATCCCACGCGGCCAGGACGTGCCTGGTGCACGGACCATGTCTGCCTTCCCACGCCTCACACAGCCTCCCCTTCCCTTGCAAAAATCTCGCAAAAATTGCGCAGACGACCGGTGTGCTCCATGCGCGTAGCCATGGTCTCCTACAGCTCCGAAAGAGATATGGGACACAGCCAGTGCGAGACAGGTCAAGATGCGGCCAATCAACAGTGACGTCACAGGTCGCACGTGCTCAGCGGCCTTTCGCGCGTCGGGACCGCAGGCGCAGGCAGCGAGGAGAAGGCGACGCTGGAGCCCCATGGAAGCCCGGCGAGGGCGTTAACGAACGTAGGCCAGAGTCCTCCAACAGTCACAAGTGGCACTCCAAGCGAATACCGTGTCGGCGGTCGGTGGCACGTTCTGTCGGAAAATACGGTCAGACAGACGCATCAATTCGCACAGCGTACCTGAGCGCGCATCCCGGCTTGACCCTCAACGCCTACCCCGTTCCCAGCAAATGTGTCGCCGGCGTGCACCGAGGGCGGGATGGAGAGAGCGCCAGGTCGAGGGTGTCGTTAAAGTCTAGACGACAAACCCGTCTGGCCGCAATTCTAGCCACGCGCCCTGTCACCCTCGGCTCCCGCGCCTTCCTGTCAACCACCACCATGCCAATTGTGATGTTCGTTCCCTCGTCAGAGCATGCTTCCGACAATGCGGCCGTGCATGAAGCCACAAAGAGTCTACCGTGATCTGCAACAACCGGCTGCTTATGAGTGGACATCACGCACCGCTCTCTAGCAAGACCCTAAGCACCTCTTACCTGTTCGCGTTATCCTCTATCAGAGCCCGTAAGCCCATGCCGCAACCGAGCCTCCCCTTTGACCTCGATTTTATTCCGGGGGTCGATGATTGAAGTGATGGTGAACGCAGTGCAGAGCACATCTCGACGAGTCCGATCCGCCTCGCAGGCAAGAGAGCGAGGGAGGCATACGAACATCCTGGCGGTCAGAAGCATCCCTTGAAAGCCGTTTCGATCGTCGTTTCGAGTACATGCAGTCACTTCCGTAACCGGACACCTGTCCGATGTGTCGCCTGTGCAACATGCCCCTTCGGAGTTGTTCCTCGAGCCAAGCGTCATGCCCAACGCAGCCACTTCATCCGGTCTCGGCCGCGGATATATATGCCCCTTGGCTCTCACATATCGGGAGGTGTACCATCTGCGTGCGTGCGCCCATACTGAACCTACATTTGTACCAGACGGATATGCGAGATCGCTTCCTGTACAACTGCCCTCGCGAACATATGATACACGTTCTCCCCGTTGAATCTTAAGTGCACCCTTTGACCTCTCCTCTCCCGAATGGCGACTGACGATCCTCCATAGGTGCATATGGCACCGGCTAATCTGATTTCAGCCCCCATTCCTCTCGTCGGCCTCGAACGACAACGCGAACGCATGTATGCGACCTTTTCATGCGCGCTTTTAGACTATTACTCGGCAATGATCCTTTCGCTGATTCTGTGCCCACTAGACACGCTGCCTGCCAACATCAACGACCAGCTAGTTGATGCTTTATTGATTAGAACGTGGGAGCTTTGAATAGAACCCATAAGAGCGCGCCTGACCCATAGTATCTCGAACTTCCGGCTATGAAAGAGCGTGCGTCAGTCGTAATGATGTGAAACGACTGTACCATCGTGGGCCCGGGACCCCTGCAGGGTTGCCTCGAAGAATGCCGGGCATCTAAGGAGCTAACTCACCAGCCGCACGATCTTGATGTCCCGCGGGCGCAGCAAGACGAATCGAGAGGAATTCGAGAGATCTGAGCGAGGGACCGTGCCAGTCGTCGCATAATTGGCATCCAAATGGCATTCAAATTGACTTGGGTGGAACATTTGATCCATACCCGTAAACTACGTATCGGAGTGGTACACTCGGAATGAGTTCGGCACCTCCATCGCTCAAATGCATGGTGGTCAGCACTTACTGTGAGCCGGTCATGGTCAACAGTGTAGGTCGACGCGCCCTAGCGTGCGCGCCCGCGCCACAGCAAGTTGATGGGCAGGGACGCGATCAGCGTTCACTTGACAGTCACTCCAACTGCTCTTCCCTCTTCCATCACCATCTCTCAGTAATGGCCGCCGCTTCGACCGAGGTAGAAGGCAGCTACAGGCGAAATACCTTTGTGCGCCTAGCTCTTTGCCTGTCAAAATGCGCCGCCGCCAAAGCGGGAGAATTCGGGCGCGGAGCCACTGAGGAGTGGCTGCTTGTAGAGAGATGACGCAGATATAGACCTGGAAGTACCGTGTCAAAGAAACTTTGTCTGCGTATCAACATGTTTGCGCTGCTGAATAAGCGACAGTGTCAACGTCGGGACTCGCCTCCGTGCCGGGAACGGTGACGTTTTTATGACGGAGGGTGCCACTGGCCTGGCTGTGATATATATATATGTCCCCAGTTCAAGTTTGCTATGGGTTTGTGCTAGCGCGCTCTCATTGACACGGGCTTCAGTCCGTACTCAAGCACTACGTCTGACAATCCTTGCGGTCTCTTTACGGTCACTCCAAACCATACGACCTGCTCTGCGATTGATCGACGGTACCGGCCATGACTATCTTATTCAAGCGCATCCGGATCGCCTACTTTTGTGCGCCTGCCTTTCCCAATACTCGACCAACTTGTATTAACTCTTACAGCCACGATATGCATCCTATCGGCCGTCGTGTTAGCCGCGTCCGCGTATTTCGCGAATATCTATCTCCCTGACAACAAGGCTCATGGTGTGTCAACGCACCTTTCATCAACAAGTATTCGACAGGCTGATCACTTGGTGACAGCGGGGTTTTCAGTATATGCTCTAGTCATATCAGCTCTTACCATAATATCTGGCTTCATACAGTACGTCCTCGCAAATGCGCTCAACTTTGGACGGCATCTCGTTTCTCAACCTCTATTCAGACTATTCTCTCGAGCGCAACCCCGTACGGAAACGCCGTTCCTATTCATCGTTGGCGTATTCTGGCTCAGTGAGCACTCACGTTCTCTCTTGTTTCACTAGCGTCATTGACAGAACTGCACAGGCGTGGCTGCATGGGCACTGTACGTCGCTATATAGACCCCGCTAGGGCTCTTTGCCAATCACTCGCAGAGATCAGTCAGTCGATCAAGAGTGTTATGGGTTAGGAAACACGCAAACGTCAACAAAACATGGCGATGGTACGCAGATACTTCACTGCCTAACTCTTCTGATGGAGTTCTCGCAGTGTCCTCGAGGGCCATCTGCTATGCGACGAAAATTGTGGAGGCGTTCTCTTGGACGGTATTCGTCATGTGTACGTCTACCAGCAAGGATACGGCCGCACTGGCTCACACTATATCACCAGTTGCCATTGCCTTCATCATCGTCATCAATCGCACAGCAACTGCAAAGGTGCTGGGGCATCCCGATATCTGGGCAGAGCCCATGGACAACCTGCCTTGGTATGACGAGCTGCCCGGCTATCCGGGCGAGTCGTGGTTCGGTAGCGACTTCCACCGCTACCACCATCGGTACGGGTACGAGCAGGGCGCGCCCTTGACAGGAGCAGGGCGTACAGCTGCTTCCCGGGCGGGATACGGGCAGCTGTCGCCTACCATCACGGAACCGATGATGGAGAGGCAACCGAGCCCGCCCGAGGATCACTACACGCGCGCACGTGAAAAGTCCTCCCGTCGCAGCCGGAGGGCAGCCAGTCCTCGGACAAACCCCTACGAAAACGGTACATCAAGGACGCACGGTAGATCGCGATCGATTAGGCAGCCCACTGTGGACGTCGACTATGGGCAACAGCTTGCTTCCGGGGTGCCTATGGCTACCTCCCAGTACGCGGAAGGGTACGGACATGATCAGGCCCTTCCAGGTATGCCTATCGCCACGACGACACAGCCCGGTGTGGGCGCTACCGTCAATGTAGGAGGGGCTCAAGTTCAGCAACTTCCTGGCCATTCTATGATTATCAGAGGGGGCAGCAAGGGCGCTCCTCCGCAGATCGAGCAAGTCCCCGGCTATTACAACGGCCCTTAAGTCATCTACTTCCTGTGTACAAAGGACCGCATCATGAGCTAAGGACTACATCGCTTACACCATCTGTATCCCTAAGAAGCCTACTATGTACTGCTGGCGAATCCCTCGACCAAGGCGTAGCGGGCAGAGGACATTCGTGGTATTCCCCGATTTCGAAGATGCCGCAAATAGATTTTGGAAAGATTGTGTGATTCATCTATGTAATATCCCGAGAACGCAACAAGAGATAAGCGACAGTGTAAGTCCAGGTGGCAAGGCAATACGAGTACGAGTACACAAGCAAGCGCAGAACCTCGATAGCGAGCGAACAAGCGACGACAATGACACCGAAAGCGAAACAAAACGGAAAAGGTAGCAGGCAACGATATGTAGGGCTCAGCCGGTATCGCCATCTTTCGCGCCCGCTTCTGTGCTGGCAGCGCGCTGGGCACCAGCACCGAGCTTCAACTTGATCCGCCTGGGGCCTGAACCAGCCTTGGGCGGAGCACTCTCCTTCTCCCTCTCTCCCTCCAGACTCTTACCCAAAAGTTTGACTCCACTCGTCGCCTTCGCAATGAGCCCCTTAACGAAGTCGGTACTGTCAGGCTCGCTTCCGTTCTCGCGCCGTCGCTTCTCCGGACGGAATGGCGAGTGTCTGCCTGCACCTGCACTGGGCGAAGTAGGGGACGCGGACTTGTTGACAAGTCGATCCAAGGCATCGTCCTCGTCATCCTCCTCGCGCGCACGCTTCGACAATCTGCTCCCGGGCCGCGGCGGTATCTCGTCTTCGCCTGCCTCGGAGCTCTCGACATCTACAGGCACCAAGCCCTCCGCGATGGCATCCAGGGCAGCTTCCGCGCTTGCATCCAAGTCTTCTGCACCCGCGTCCTCCTCCTCCCCGTAGTCCACGAGTGAGCTGATAGGCGGCGTCCGTGGGATCGCGATAGCCTGCGGTCGTGGTGCGCGCGGTCGTCCACCGGCAGCACCACCACGCACGTTCGTGTCGCGCTTTCGTACGACACCGACGCGCACGGGCGGTTGAGGTCCCTCGTCATCATCGTCATCGGCGTGAAAGTAAGCGTCTTCGCTAAGATCAAGCGCGCCGCGCGGAGGTGATGATGATGCGGGTATCGCTTCCTCCTTCTCCGGATGAACGTTGATCTCGTGGCGCTGGGCAAGCGAGCGGAATGTAGGACCCGCGAGCTTCGTCGCTTGTAGTTTCTCCACGAGTTCGGCGTGCGCAGGCGCCATGATATGTGCGATGGCTGGTCTAGGATTCTCTCGTCGCATCGTCTCGAAGAAGTCGAGGCATGCAGAGCCGACGAGGGTATCGCGTGCGGTCTCGCGTAGTGTGAGTTCCAGCACGGGTCGGAAGGCGTCTAGTTTGACTAAATGGTTCATGAACGGCGGCTTGGCCGGCCTCATATGTGCTCGGAAGTACCGCAATGCCGCTAGTGTGCATATGAGATAAGACACCTATCCGCATGAAGATAGCCATACGCACCGAGGCGAAGATGCTTGTCTCTTGAAGTAAGCAAGCTGGCGATGTGACCGGATACGGATGAAGTGAGCATGAAGAAATGGGATCGAAATGAGTGTTGGACAACGAAGCCGCTGAGCAAGTCGCACAGCGACAGATACAAATTCGTCTTCTCTCTTCCCAGAGCAGCGACGAACTCAACCGCAGCGCCAGCAGCTTGATTATGTGCGGGGATTTGCATAATGGGCTCGACTAGTGGGCGGATACACGACTTGTAGAAGTAGTCGAGGAACTTCTCTGTCTTGCCCTCGTCACGCATGCGTGAGAAAAGCTTCGTCGGTATGATCGCCTCTTGATTGCCCTCGCTTGGCATCTCCAGAAGAGCACGGAGCGCGTCGCAATGCAACGTTTGGACCGCAAGATCTGTGCTCCGCACTAGACGATTGCAAAGAAGCGAGAGCAAGCTCAGATCGGGTTCCCCCCGGCTGGCAAAGTATTCGCATTGCCGTAGCACCTGTTCTCGCACGCCGTTCACGTCATGATCAAGCAGCGTCATGAGAACTTCGCCCGCGATAGCAATGGTCTGCAAGCCCGAAGGCTCGTCCTCGGGGTTCGTGAGCGCCCAGTGTAATGCGTGCAAGATGCCTCGGTCAACGAGCATCTTGAAGAGCTGCATTCGTGACGGTAATTGCACACCCTTGCCCATGACGCACAACTGTTGTATGAGTACGATGACCTCACGTCGGCGTTGCAATAATGCAGTATCCGCGCGTCCCGCCTCATCCTCGTGGTAGTCGAGGGAAACGACGCCTGGTGGTGTATGCGACGGCACTCCGTTGGGCTTCTTTGGTGGAGCACCCTCTACTGACTCGGGGCGGTCGACGTCCATACCGTCATCCGGAGGTGGCGGCGGTGTCGGCAAAGGCGGTATCGGTTCGCCCTTGATAAAGAGGCGGGCGATGTCGTGGAGGAATGTCTCGTCATTCTGGATGTGGGAGATGATGTCGACCTGGTTGAAGATGATGCAGCTGTTCAGGACGTTGAAAGTGCTGTCGTCTAGCGCCCGAGCCAGGACGACGTCTTTCAAGAACTGTAACCGGTACGTCTGGTGGATCTTTCTGCGGATTACGGGATCGTGCACCGCGATAGGCTGGTGGAAGAGGGTGGATTCCTGGATATACTGGCGATAGTTGGCCTTGTGGTTGGGGAACTCGGGATCATACTCGAGCATGCCCATGACGCCCATGAATATGTCGTCATCGAGGATATGTTCGCACATGCTGTGGTCGTTCATCATGACTGAAAGGGGGGGACATGTGAGCCGGTGGCGTCGATCGCATGGGTTGCGAACGCACGTATGGTCTGCATGAGCGAACACAATGGATGCAGATTTTCGAGGCTTTCCAGATCCTCCGCGTGGTGCATCACGTCGATCATAGCCTTAAGGTATTCCTGGGAAAGGCAAGCACGCTAAGTTTAAGTGTGTGTGTGTGGCGGGCGAGAAGGCCGAGACGTACGGCGCGTTGGATGTACTCGCAGATCTTCTCCTTGATGCTCGGCGTTCTTGCGAGTGCCTTGATGGCGCGGTCGATCTCCGGGATGATGCCTAGAGTGGGATGGGGAAGGTGTCCGGAGCGGATGATCTGGGCTGTGGTGATTGTCGTAGGTTCGCCTGAGAAAGGTGAGGAGGGACCGCCCTGGTCTTCTGGATAGATGTCAGGATAGATATTGCGCGGGGGAGCGAGAGTGGCGAACCTGACTGAGAATGCATCCTCTGCACCTCTGTGATGAAACTCCAGACTTCGGCGCAACCTTCCGGGTCCTGGAAGCTGAGGGCATAGTCGACGCCGTTCGGTTCCGTCCAGACGATCAGCGTTTCTATAGAGAACGTGTAAGGGTGCAGTAGGGAGGCAGGCAGAGACCGGGTACAGGCCTTGTTGTCGCTGGTAGACGTCCGAGGAGCGGATTGTGGTCTGGAGGACGACGGAGGAGTAGTCCGACTCTGCACGTGCGATGAGCATGGCCTCGTTTGCGGCCTCGTCGTAGTGGCCGAAGCAGAAGGCGGTGCCCTGGTCGACCCAGCGCTGGCCCTGGAGCTCGTACACCTGCCCGCGCCTCAGTGGACGGAAGGGGAAATCCAAATAAATACGAATATACCTTTACGCGCTTGAGCTCGTGGTTGTCCCCCTCCGCCGTCCAGGGCGAGTCGCCCTCGCCAGTCTCCATCACGATTATCGGCTCTCCGCCGCCGTTCTGCAGCGAAACGCCCTCGTGACCTCCGCCCGCCGCCTCGTCCTGCCCGCCCTCGCCCTCTCCGTTCGTCTCCAGCACCACAAACGGCTTGTCCAGTCCATCCCCGTAGTCCGCCGGCGTCGTCGTGTCCGAGAATTGGATCGTGTTATTGTTATTGGGCCGCGAGAGCTGGACCTCGCCTTCGCTTTCCCCCGCCGCGGCGGCCGGAGGCGGCGTACTGGGGGAGGGGTTGGTCTCGTGACTTTGTTCATCGTCGGACGCGACGACGGCGGGGGTTTCTTTGGCGTCGGCGTCGGCAGGGGCGGGGCCGGCTTCCGCGGCAAGCATAGCACAGGATGGCCGTAGTCAACAAACGCGAAGCGCGCACGCGCCCGCGACTCCGCGTCCCTCTTTTACCACGCTTTTCTGTCCCTCGCCGCCACCGTCATCGTCCTCGACGGCGCACGGCGAGGGGGGCGCACATCTCCAAGCCCGGTCCGAGACCAATTGAAATGAGAATGTGACATCGACTGGCTCGAATGATATCCGAATAGAGTAATACGATCTTATTCCCTCTTCGTCCGCGTCGATCTCCGCGTTCCTTCCTGACCTTCTCCTGCCTTGCGTTTCCGGCTCGCCCTCTTCGGCTCATCTTCACCCTGATCTGCCTTCTTGGGCTTTCCACTTGCTTTAGACTTCTTCCCTGCATCTACATCCCAGCCACCTTTCTCTGCCAACTCCCGGATCACTTCGTATGCATCTTCTTCCACGCGCTGTACGCTCAATCGGCCGCGCCCGACAAGCTCCATCTCTGTTTCCCGTCAGCGCCCTCGAAACCTTGTGTAGCACCGCAATGTACCTTTCACTGCTTTTGCGCCATCCTCGCTGAGGTAGCCCACAGCCGCATTACCGGCGGCAATTCCCCGCAGCAACGCCAACGGCACGAAGTTCTTGCACCGTGCGTCGAAGTCCAGATCGACCATGTGCCACGTCGGCTTGTCCTTGTCCGTTTTCTACCAATGGCACTTAGTGCAGCTTTGTCGTGCCTCGCCTACCAGGAGACGTACCTGGTCGTAATATGGGTGGTCTCTGCGCGATCATACATATGAGCGGACCGAGGAGGACGAGCTGCTAACGGAGACTCACGGGTCCCAAGCGGTATCTTCGTTCGATCAGCGTTTAGCCTCGCTTGGATGCGTTCTAGTACAGCTTACAGTCTGGATACGCTTCTCTGACAACCTATCAGCGATCTTGAGTACACCCACCAACAAACATGTACGCTTATTCAACATACGTGGGCGAAACCGGCGATGCCTGGAGTGATGTCTGTTTAGTATGTGATTCACCGGGGAGGATATTGACTCGCCTGGTTCTTTGCAGTTCGAGTGATAGAAGAGTATCTGACAGTAGACGTTGAGACTGGGGTTAACATAGTGAGGATCCATTCGCAGATACCTTGTCCCCGACATGCATACTCTTCATGTAGTTCTTAGCTTGATGGTTGCGTACACCCTCCCACGCGGTTGTCTTCGCTTCTTCAAAGTCGTCAACGCTAAACTATCGAAACATCAATACTGCTAGGGCCTTTCAGATGACAGGACACCGCTGTCGCGTCTGGTCGCACTTTAACATCTTTACCCTTCACTACGCGAGAGTCGGGTTCGGCTTTCATTAGCCAGTACTTTTCTGTCTTCATGTCGAACCCGGCTAAGTAGGTGTACAAAGAAGACAGAGGCAGGCTGCCGTGTGGTTCGTGATGAACGGCTTCGGGGCCGTTGCGCCTCTGTAATTCGGATCAACATGGCCACGTGCGTCAGTGCTACCCAATTCAAGAGCTCGAAAGACTTCTACAGTAATCATTCCCGTACTTCCACGACGGTGTACCGGACCTTCATTACTTACTTCCTCCACTCCGTGAGATGACCTTGTAATGACTCCGACGTGTGCTCAGGAAGTCGGCTGCCGACGAGAATGGCAGAAAGGTAAGAGCTCAAGTTCCAGCTCTTCGCCGGCGAAGGATACCCTTGTTAAAAGGAATAGCTGCTACTGGTGCTATATCTTCGTTGGATGAACAGAAAAATGGACGAGGAATATCCCCGCTGATGGCCGCCTGCACTTGATGCGCGAAACCGTAGCATCGATGAGTTGGAAAAAGGGCAGCTCAATTACGACAGCATTGTCCTGGACACACAGGGCTGTAAAGAACGGGAGAATCTACTAACAGTGTGACGGAAGAAACGCTTGACCGCCCAAAGACACTAAGCAAGTCGTAAACTCATCAAGGCTGAGCCTCAAGAGGCTTCGTTTCCATGCTATCCAGTCGCACGCTGTCCTCACTATTCGCCTTGTCCGCTGTCTTGTTGAAGAGCAACAGGCCCGGGTGAAAGAAGTTCAACGTCCACAGGGCCAGTACAATCATCGCGCCGTCAAGCACATTGAATAAGACCTGTGTCTGAATGATCGGGCCCTGGAAACCGTTGATGAGTTCGATGGTACGGTATACCGACCGGATGAAGATGAACACAGTCATCATCGCCAACCCGACGAGCATTAGCCGCATGCGCGTTGAGAGCGGCGTTCGAGAAGGCGAGTTCCTATTCCGACTGTAGAGCGACAGTGGACGATCCTTGAAGTAGCGAACGAGGAACTCGGTGGCAAGCGTCGCGTATGCGACAATCGCGGCTGGAAAGGTCATCATGAGTCCATGTGCCAGCACAGAATGCTGAAAGAGACAGACCCATCTGGAAGACAATGCCACCGAGCATGATATGCCCGCCCTTCTCAGGATCTTCGTTCTGACGCACGGCTTTCGATGCGATGGCCCCGCCAACGGCTTGAACGATGAGCGCAACCGCATCGCACGAAACGAAAACCACCGAATCTATCGAGGGGATTGAATTCAGTTTTGCGAGCAGTACAGACAGACACGTCAATCGGCACGCACACCAGGTCGCGCTCAAACGACTGTATTGGCTTCCTAGGCGCTGGATGATGCGCCCGAGGATGATGAAGTTCGCGGCCACCAGAGGTGTTGGTGCGATGATCGTCGTAACGATTCTGCCGGTCAGGAGTCAGTGCGCACCCCAATAGATAGCCAGACAAGCTCGACGTACTGGATAAGGTAAGGATTGAAGTTCGGCTCGTTTGGTATTCTGCTCGCCCATTCACGCGCACCCCAGCCAATGAGCTCAAGAATACCCGCTGCCACGGCGGTCGGCAGAAGCCACCACAGCCTGAAATAGATGGCCTGGCACAAGTGTCCAACTAAGGGTAGCGTGAGTGCGCTTCCAAAGACGGCATGTGAAGGTGAGAAGTACGCGTAGAAATACCGAAGAAAACTAGGAGCACTATGCAAATCCAGCCTGTCGGAACATAACCGAAGAGTACGGTTTGAGTGACATTGCTGGCAAGTAGCGCGAGAGGTTGCGGTGCGTCCATATTCGAGCTTGATAACAAGTCAGTATCCAATAGTGCAGAACATAGCGAGCAACACTCACAGGATGAGGTGCCTGGAGCAAAAGAAACTGGGGAAACCGCTTGACCACACCTAGCCAACTTGAAAGATCTTATACTCTGACACCACCTGAATCAGCACCCGCCTCTCCCGGCACCACTTTCTCGACAGAGAAGGACACATAGCTTGACAGCGAAGTGATGAAGGGCCTGCTGAGAAAGTTGTGTCTGGCGGCTTCCGCGTGCTCCCGCGGGTGTGAACTGTGTCATACCCACGGTGTAAGTGCTAGCGCGCCACGCGCCACTCGTCGGCCGGATGTTGCGTACACACCTGTCGAGCCGACGAACCATGAGAAGAAAGCCGGACTAAAGCCCGTATGCGAGATATCACTACTCCGAGGGTACAACAGGGGTTCGGACTCTCTCGTAGCAATGGCGGCAAGATCATGATATTGCGCAGATGAAGAGGATAATTGATGGACATTCCAGATAAGAGCAAGTGTGTATCGAAACCGACTGCGGATCCGTGAACGCTTGTCACGGAAACGGACCGAGCACGGAGGTGAAGAACTTCACCGGTTGACCGGACGAGGCTCGGAACCCCATCTGACGAGCTGACGCTTCGTCGGCTCAAGCTCAGTGATAACCTTGTTTGGTAGGTATCGGAGAAGAGGACTTCACCCAAAGCACGCCTATCGGGGTGAGTTGAACATGACGTGTTGGCCTGTTAGCCACGTGTACAGGCCGACAAGCGCTAAACCGAGGACGGCTGGCGCAAGGTCAAGCTGCACGACAGTATATACCCAAAGGACGCCCAAAGACGGAGTCTGGGATTCAATGTCAGCGTGGTCACACGAGCAGAGAGGTCAAGCTCGCCTGTTCCATGTTCATCTTCCAATTTCCATTATTGATCACCCAAACCATGCGCGAGCCGGCAAGGATACAGAGCATGAAGAAGCCAAACTGCATCCTTCGATGTTGTTTATACCTATTGGCTGGGGAGAGATCAGGAAAGAGCTTACACGCTGATCGAACCTATGCACGTACTATAGAATGTGAACACGGAGAGAACTTGACATGCCAACTTTAATGCAGTGAAGCGAGGAAGTAGATGCAAGACACGAACTCGGCACACTACTCCCCATACGTTCGGCAATGACCCAGTAATCCGGACGCTGTTGGTATTGAACATGACAGAGACTACATGCTGGAAGTGAGTAGATGCACAGGGCACAGAGCGCGGACGGACATGTGCATGAGTAAGAGCAGAAAACTGAGCGGCATCACGATGACCACGGTAGCAAATATTTCGTCCCAGAATGTCCATTCGGACGTACGGGAAGGCATAAGCAGAGAGCCCTTCTGCGAGGGATGACTGAGTGGGTCGGTGCTTGGTCGTGCAGCGTACATCTCCGAGGCGCGTTTGAGGATGCCAGTTTGGTCGATCAGACGTTGCTGTTCCTCCTCTCCGAGCTCGAGCGCATCCGACGGCGATTTTGGCGTAAATTTCCGCTGTTTGGCCTTAGACTTTGCCATGGAGGTTCGTGTAGAGATGTGACAACGGCCAGGGGCCGCGGCGATCCTCGGGTTATTCCCGCGTAATCGAACTGATAAGTTTGCCTCTTGCCTCGCGCCATCATCTACTGGGCACCACCACCCCATAGCGCTATAATTCATTATGCTTAAGAATAATGGGGACCTTCTTGCACTTCTCAACGCGCATGGGCAGCAGTTTCTATCGACATTCGCTTCGCCAGATCCCACAATGAAAAAGCGCAAGACCGCCCCTACCGCCGTTTCCGCTCCTACATCAAAACGAGTGCGGTCGGAGAGCAGTGAGCTAGAAGAGGAAGAATGGACTGGGTTTGGAGCGAGTTTGGCCGGCGGAGGGAGTTCTGGAGAGGGCAGCGATGAAGATGAGGATCTTATCGGAGGTGCGTTGCCGATGTATATCTACTGTCTATGTATGACATATGAAAAATTGCATCTAGATGATGGCTATACCGCCTGTGGGAGCGTCGCGCAGCCCGAAGTTGTTGTATTCTCCGAGTCGCAGGACGCTGCAGCCCCTAGACCCACAAAATCGCAAACGAAAGCATTCATGTCTTCCAAAGTGTCCAAGCTACGCACAGCTGCCGACCTCGAATATCCTCCTATTACACAAAACAGAGAAGATGAAGACGACGAACGCACAAATGCGCAAAACGACGCAGCGCTGCACAAACTCGTGCACACCCAACTGCTCTCCGGCTCCTTAGACCGTTCCCTCAATCTTACATCCTCGCAGCGGAAAAAGGCTCTGCAGGGCAGAGTGCTCGAACTCGCTGGTGCTGCAAAGTTGGGAAAAGGGGAAAAGGCCGTCCGCAAGAAAGAGCATGCGCGCGCGTCCAAGGCCGTGCGAGATGGTATGGAGGATAGACGCATCGAGCGCAAAGGCAAGGCGTTGGCCGAGGTTCGTTCTCATGGCTTTCATGTCAAACTTATGCTAATAATATGAAACCGCAGACCAAGGATATGGGTAATTGGCATCCCAGTATCAAGAAATTACTCGCAGACGAGGACGAATCATCTCATTCTCGGAAACGTGAGAAGGGACTGCGCATGGGTGTTGGTAAGTTTGAGGGAGGCGTGCTGAAACTTAGCCGGAAGGAAATATACTCTGTAAACGGGCCGACGGGCGGATTATCCTCTCGTGGAGGCAGGGGTAGAAGTAGGGGTGGAGGTAAAGGAGGAAGAAGATAGTGCCATGGTGTCGCCGCATCTCTTGCCCATCGAGCACATCGCTCCCGCCTTCTCTTGTTAGTGATGATACAGTCAGAATCTCATGGCTCATTTCGTAGTCTCTCGAACTGGATGTAAGCATTGTTTCATTGACGGTCTAACCTCCAAGAGCGAACATTCTCGATTCCCAGGCCTCATGCATAATGCATAAACCCCCATACGTCATACCTTTGATGCATTCTAACCGCAGTTTTTGTTCCGTTCTCATCTTTTATATGTCGCCGAGGGTTGGTTGCCTATCATCGTCAGAAAGTGTCCCTCCGTATCCTCCGAAAGACTCGCCGTTGACTAACCGCTCGCGATGGGGTGTTCAGCGCTCTCGCATATGTCGACATGAGAGGTAAGATTGGACGGAAACGAAAGTGCGCATTTTGGGCTACAGACATGGGCGCGAATCTGTATCAGAAATCTAAATAGTCAAGTCTCGCATGGTCGACGATGAAAGCGACAAATTAGATGTGAGTTCATCGCGCTGTCTTGACAGCTAACACAACGTATTCTCTCGAAGTGAGGGGTGCGTGAAACGCAGCTCCGAAAGAATAGCCTCTAAGACTAGCGACTAGGATAAGCTCTCCGAGAGCCCGGAATCAATATATGCCCGATGATACGCCGACGTCAGGTTGTGGACTAGAACCTGGCCGGCACCTTGTACGGGCGAAGACGTGCAGAGCAATGAGACAGCATGATACTGTCAGATCGTGGCCAGCTTGAGGAAACGAATCAGATGCGATGCCTTAGACTGAAGTCCCGGCCTATACACCTATTCCTCGATCAAGTGATTGTGCTAGACTTTCCACCTTGCTCTATCCGATGGTCAGTTATGACAGCCATGAGATCACGAGCCTGTACATACACGCCAGGTCGTTGTACGCCCTTCCAGCTTCTCTGCTAGTACACGTATTTGCCATTTCAGGCGCTTGCTCCCTCGAATCTGTATTCGATCATTGTGGCGCTCAATACGTTCCATAAAGGCCTTGTAAACCCTGTCGTCACGCGCAAAATACCAAACCTGGCGAAGTGAGTATGGTATCAAATGCCACCGAGCCATGTACGCACTGGGATGGGCTCCTGATCATCAATGAAGGTTGCCGCTATGGACCATGCACCCATCATAAGGAGATCGCCAGTGGCGTTTGCTACGCTGTGGACATTTAAGAGTTGCAAGTGATGGACCGAGGTGACAGCGTACTAGTCTTCCAGCGAGGCAATGGTCTGGCCTTCGCCAAGATTCTTCAACTGTTTCGTAGCAAAGCTTTGGACCGCTGACCGCGCTGATTGAACAGGTTGCACAATGTTCCCTGCACGCAACGCTGTGCCAGTGTTGGATATCTGCTCATGAACCCACTTCTCCCCTTCGCTCATGATGAGAGTTTGCATGAAGGACGAGATCAGATCGTTCTGCGCGGATTGTAGGCCGTAATCAATGGCGAGCTTGAGATTTCCGCCTAGTGGCCCTGATATTAGACAATACATGTATGAGCTATACAGACAACGCACGGAGAGCTTTGAGTAACTCCTTGGTCTTGGGCCTTGAAAAGTCTGCGTCCTCGAGCCGATTCACAAATTTGGAGAACGCCCCTATGAGTATGATGGCCACATCCTGGTGGGATTTGCCTTGCTGCATGGCGTAAAGTAATGGGGTGGTGCCATTCGGTGTTTTGCGTAGGAGCATCTGCAGCGAGTCAGCCTCTCGGTGGGCTAGCATGTCAAATGTCCGCGTACTAACTTCGAAAGCCTTATCTCGTACCTACGAGCAGGTCAGCATCTGCAAATCTGCAATCGCGGAAGAAATTGAGGATAGAGCGAGATACATGTGCTCACCTCCATGAGGAATATGATATCCTTCTTATCGATAGCGCTCAGCACTTCAAAGGCCTTGTTTGTAGATGAGTACCATACACACGGGTAGTATCCTGAGGGCAAACCTGAGGCGTCCTCCACACTTTTGTAGATTTGAGGGAGCCGGGCTTCGCAAGTTGAGCTACCCAGTTTAGCGATGCACGACGCAGGGAGCTCGGAGGGGAATGCTGCGCAGGTCTTGACTCGGGTTCAACGTCAGTCTCGCGTTCTGGATCTGGGAACTCGCTATTCAGTGCGTCGAAGAGTGCATCACGCGGGCTGCCCGGGAGTGATAGTGACAGGTTGGCGCTCTGGCTAGCCAGGGTTTTCGGTGCGATGCTATTCGCTTCGCGCCGTAGGAAACCTAAGAGTCGTCGTCAACGCAAGCGGTATAATGCTTGAATGGAAACGTGCCTGTAGAGGGTAACCCGGCTGGTAAGCAAGGGTCAGGAGGTAAGCACCGCCGCTTTGGACGATGCGTGGTTGGATCCGAGGACCCGGCGCGGTCGGGGTCGATGCGCTCAAGGACGAAACGGTTATTCACCATGATAGTAAGCGCAGCGTGGAGGAGGATCCAGTCATTTCAGAAGGTGTAGAATATATTGTAGTGAAGATTGCAAGCGCTGCCTGTTCATGTGCATCAAGCGATGCGGGCTAGACGAGAGAGAAGGTCAACCGTGGCACGCGTGAATTGCGGTTTCGGACAAGCGGCCCGATTACTTTCACGTCGATCATGCGCACATCCACGCTGACCACCACCACCCGCACCCGCACAGGCCACTCTCAGAAGACAGCCGCCAATACGGAAATCTCTGGGGATAGTGCACAGGAGTCGGCCCTCGGTGCTTAGACGCCACCGACGATGCTTAAAATCTGGCAACAAGCTTGGTCCAAGAAACCATCGCAGGCAGACTCCGAGAAAGGTCTTGACCAGAGCAGTGGGCAGAACGGCCAATCGGGCAAAGGAGATGCCGAAAGGAACTCGTCCGCGTCCACTACTGCCAGCGTCATTTCTAGCTCTGAGGCAACTCTACCTAGCGCGTTCCCTCCAACGCTCCGGCACAAACGAGATTCGTCGACTTTGAGCATACCCTCGACCTCCCGATTACCCAAGAAGCCACGCACTAGATATGATCTTGCTCCTGGGATGTCTTCCGAACCTCCAGGGGAGCTTGTGGTTTTCCATGAACGTCTGAATCAGCTCCCACTTACACCGTTGTATCGGAAGCTGCATGAGGCGGACCCGCAGGAGCAGTATCTCCGTCGTTACTTCTCTGCATCGCGGCATGTCTTGGTGGAAGTTGGCTCATGTGCTTCCGAGCTTGTCTGGCGACGCGCCGCTAGTGACATAGAAGCCAGCATCGTTGAGCTCGATGAAGATGTGGAACCCCACCCTGAGGCTCCTCAGATGAAGGAACGCCTCGCAAAGCTTGAGGTTCTGAATGTCATCAAGCACTGGGACTTCTCGATGCCGAACCTCGATCCATCTTCTCGAGGGTTCAACGTAACGCCCAAATTCTTGAAACTCGCTCAAGTCATGAAATCCTGCCAGCCATATGGGGAAGACTTCCGGGGCATTATATTTGGTAAGCTAGCTAGACTGTGCGGTCACTTCGATGGACTGACTCAACGCAGTACGCAAAAAGGCCGTGGCTCAAGAGATGGTTGACCTCATACGCACAATTGAAGAACTTGATTTTCTTCGTCCTCAGTTGCTGGTCGGGCGGCGCATGCACAGCAATCCTCAGGCGCAGGTACGTCTTCTTTCTGCAATGTCAGATATGCATTGCATTGCCTCAAACATATACAGATCGACGTATTCCAGATGTTCGCATCCGGCTCGTGTAACTTGATCGTTGCCACGAAACGTGCTGAAGATCTTGAGATACCTTCTGCCACTGTAGTTCTACGGTGAGTATAGATACCTCTCTACCCGGACTCAAACCTGATCCAACCCCTCAGCTGCGATATATACGACAGTCATCTCTCCTACGGCTTGGCTCGTGCTCGTACGGCGGGCAAACACTCGCGCTTAGTGCACATGATACCCCGAGGAAGTGACGTTCATCGGCGGCGTCTGACAGAGATAACGCAGCTGTCAGAGCCCGTCCAGGATTGGCTCGGTACACTGCTCACTGGATCATCTGCCCGCATACCTCCTTACGACATCCGCGAGACCAACGACCCGTACATCTCAGATAGCGAGGACGAAGACGAGCCTGACACTTGCATTCTCGATCCTACGACCAGCGGTCGGATCCGCCTTCAAGACGCCACGAGAATCATATATCGTTTCGCATCTATGCTTCCTCAGGAGAAGAGGCGCCTATTCACGTTCCAAGAGGCCGACGATGATGATCAGGGGCGGCCGCAATTTACGTGCGCCGTCCGACTTCAGGAGGACTTTCCCATCCCGGTCATCATGAGCCCGCCCGCTCTCACACGTTCGCATGCACGACGGACAGCCGCATACATGCTCTGTAAGGAGCTGTTTAATCGCGGTTTGCTCGATTATCACCTTTTTCCACGCCCATTCGACAACGCCGCCCCACGTCGACACACCATCAACGACACGGGCTTCTTAGACCCCGACGATGCCGATGCTGCACCTCAGCTTCCACCCAAAGGCTCGAATGCAAGCGCTACGGGCACCCGCTGTTATTCGTGCAAGATGCCTGAATTCTGGAAGAACTCTGTGCGCGCACCAGTCACCCGCCTGCACCCTACAGTGATATGCATCCGAAATGGCCTGGGATATGCGCCGATGATGTTGATGACTCGTCAGCCCCTCCCACCTCTAGCCGACTTCGACCTTTTTGTTGATGGCATGCCTCTGCGCATATTTCTTCGCCGCGGTGCGGCCTTTGACGTGAACGAAGAGCAACAACACCTATTCCATCGCTTTACGATGCGGATCGTGCGCGCTATTCAGAACAAAGCCTATACCGTCGAGCTACATAACGCGCCCTACTTCTTCGCTCCTCTCAGTCTGCACAGCAAGTGGGCCGACCGTATCGGCGTCGAGGGCGAGGACAGTATCCATGATAACCGATGGAGTCCACCGACAGTACTGGAGGATATACCGTGGGCCTTGATACGAGAGATGGTCGATCATACCTTTTCGGAGCTCAGATCCGACTCGCACGAATCCTTGCAAGAGGACCTCGTGGACGCGGTGGTTCAAGACCGATGGATAGAGTTCACTCGTCGCTTCTATGCGCTGGGAATACGCGCAGACTTGACGCCGTTGAGCAAACCAGAGGAGGGCATCGTGAGTGTCCTTTACGCACTGATGGGTGACGTTCTGACTCTTTGTGAAGAGAGAGGAGTCTTATGCGACGTATCTGGCTTATGTGGCTGAGAATCGCCACAACTTTGAGGGGATGAAGAACGAGAACCAGCCGTTGATACAGGTGTCGCGTATCATGCCCGTACAGAACCTACTTGCGCCGTCAAACAAGAATGCTACGGACCCTAGTCAGACGCTGCCCACAAAATGTGAACCCACAATCGTCCTATGAGATCGTAGTGTTAACCGATGATCTAGATCTGGTACCGGAGTTCTGCGCCAAACTCACCATTCCCGCGAGGTCTGCTTACTATACTTTGTGCTTGCATGACCACTCACGTGTATCAGCGTTTTTCGGACAAGCCTCCTCCTCCCTTCTATCACGCACAAGATCGACGCACTCATGCTCGTCAAGGAACTCAATGCCCGACTCTTTGACAACTCAATCATAGAGGATTACCTACTTTCCGCCATTAGCTCGCCTGCTGCAGCTTTCCAACAGGACTACGAGCGCCTAGAGCTGCTCGGTATATCTTTTCCTCGCGTATCTGTGACTTCTTACTCATGCTCATTCGCTCAGGCGACGCTTACCTCAAGTACCTCTGTACAACGTATGTTTTCGTGATCAGCCCCGCTCAACATGAGGGTGCCCTCCATGCCGCTCGTCTACGCATCATCAGCAATCGAGCCTTGTTGCTCAATGGCGACGCTGCTGGTTTACCTCCGTTCATTCAGTCTAAACCGTTTATCAGCAAGCTGTGGACGCCGCCTGGTTACGTTTTGGAGTCGACGCAGCCGCCAATTAAGGAGAAGCTGCAAGGAAGTGTTCACGTCACCCGCGAGGTCGATGCCTCGACCATAACTGCGAATTCCGGGAACGATATGATTAGTGCGAGTGGCGACATTCCTCGGCCAAAGACAAACGCGGACGTCGAACGGGCAGACCTGCTGCGACTTCGCACGATGGAGGTAGAGGTCAAACTTGAGCCCTCACCTGACCCATTACTACTCCCTTCCTCTGCCTTGGAGGACGCGAGTAGAGCACCCGCCGCTGCCCCTGGAGAGACCGCCAAGGTCGGTGACAGCGACAGTGCACCGAAGAAATTAGGGAAACGTGCCCGAAAGCGCAAAGCGGCTGAGCAACGGGACATCCACTGGCTGGGTGACAAGGTAGCTTCGTCCGGGTCCACCCGTGTAATGGATGCTGACGAGTTGCAGGCTGTTGCCGATGTTGTTGAAGCCATTATCGGCGCGGCGTACATGACAGGCGGACGCGAAACGGCATTGAGGGCCTGCAAAGCGCTTTGCGTTGGGGTGTCTCGCATCGACCGCTGGCAGGATTTTGCAAAGTTAGCCCTCGCACCTCCCCCACAGGTCACGAGCAAGCTTCGGGCCGGTACCGTTCAGGCCATTGAGCGCATTCTCGGCGCCAAATTCGCTCGGCCGCATCTGCTAGCGCAGGCTTTAGTACGTTGCACAGTACGGCATACGTCTTCGTTCACCAACCTGCGTACCAGACACACGCCTCCATTCAAGGGTACGAGATGACATGTTATGAACGTCTCGAATTCCTCGGGGACGCCATCCTTGATTTTCGTTGAGTCGTGCATGACAACTATCTCCCTGCTGGTGACTAAAACGCCATTTAGTTGTCGTAGACCACATATACAACAAGTACACAACGATGTCTCCCGGTGCCCTGACCATGCTCAAGGTGGGCTCAAAGCAAAGAATCATGTTCATTGACGTGCTGATGCTGATGCTGATCGCAGAGTTCAATGGTTTCAAACTTGACGCTTGCAGCCGTTTGCATAGAGGCCGGGTTGCATGAATACTTGATGTTTGAGTCTCTCACGCTTGCGAATAGCATGGACGCGTACGCGGCAAAGATCAAGAAGAAGCAGCGCGAGGAATACTTTCTGGCCGAGCGCGAGGGCCGCACTCCTGGCCAATACTGGCTTGACGTCGAGGGTCCCAAAGTGAGCGTCTATGTGCCCGTCTGACCGTAACCTTTTGTTGAGCACCCAGGCAGATTATCTCTGACGTGGTCGAGTCCATTATAGGGGCCATCTACATCTCAGATAACTTCGGCCTCGAGGGATGCACAAAGTTCTACGATCGCGTGTTGCGCCCGTTCTTTGACAAACATATCTCAATGCAAACGCTTGCGCATCATCCGACCAAAACGCTCTTCGAACTATTCCAGACGTATGGCTGCCAGCGCTTCGAGGTCGTCCGTCGCCAGGAGCTCGTCGAGCTCCACGGCGACGTCCCTGTACAAGGCACTGTCTGTGAGATGGTCGTCCACGACATCATTCTCGCGCGCGGTGCGGATACGACTAGCTCGAACGCGGCCAAACGCGTCTCTTTACTCTCGCTAGACGCGTTAGAGGGCGACCCGGGCTTCATGTCGCGGACATGTGACTGTAGGCTGCAATCCCAAGCCAAAAAGGCGCAGAAGAAGGCGGTAGAGAAACTTCTGGACGACCTGGACGTGCCGCGACCGCCAGGCGAGACCGAGAAAGAGAAGCAAAGAGCGGAGGCAGAGGCTGTGAAGTTGGCAGCTAAGGCGGCCGAGGCTGAGCAAGCGAAGGCATCGGAGGGTACAGGAACAACGGAAGGTGACGTCGCAGGGAAGCAGGAGAGGGTTGCGGCGGCCGCAGACCCTGCAGGATCGACGGAAAGGAGCTCATAGACACTCATGACGGTGGTCTCTTCTTGCGTAAGGCGGACCCTGCTTTGAATATTATTGCGGGCTTACCCCGCTCAAACGACTGGGCGCGTGCGGAGGGTTATGCACGCCAAGATACGGTTCATGATAAGGTCTATTGATATTGCCTTGGAAATGACTATAACGCGACCAAAATGGTTCTGTGCCGTAGTGTACTCTAGTCCGCAGCGCCCAAAGCGGTTATGCACCGCTCTTCCAGCTAAGGAGAAATATATCAGAGATGTCTGCATGAAGGCAAGGAGACACGCACATCTGGTAGGCGGCGGCAATGCCAGGAAGGGTGAAGCCAAAGAGGAGGTAGGAGGTCATCTTGAGCGCGAAGCGGCCCTTGTGCTGGTACTTGAACGGGATGGGCTGTGGGAAGGTCAGCGGGTCTGGTGACGACGCTTCTGAGCTACGAGAAGTACGCACGTCGTACCCATGGTGCGCGAAGCGAGCCGGCTGTGCGCAATTAACGCGGGCCGCGGCCTGACGGAGGGCGGGGCGGGTGGAACGCGCGAGCATAGACATCGTTGGTGGATGTTTGGTGAAGAGCGTCGGCGCGCCCCTTCCGCCTGCACTTCACGTCCGCGTCCCCGGTCCGATATCTTCCGACCTGGCACTCTCGATCATCCCAACATGATATTCGACGTCTACGTCGGGCTTATGGCATTTTATATACATACAAGAACGTGAATACCACCTGATCGCGGCAACCCGCACCCAGACAGTATCTAAACAAGTACAACGCAGTATGCACCACAGGAATGGTCACGGAAGAAATGGTTGCGCGACAATATCATGAAGAAAACATGTTCGGCCATAAGCAGAATTGTATGCATGTCTCGGAGAGATACAGCCAAGGCATGGAACACTGAACACCCAATCAACTGCCGTCTAATGGCACAATGATCACATTGTCACCCTGTGGCGCTTGGGCGATGTGCGGCATCTTCTGCGTCCTCTGGTCGCCATCTTCATGCCGCGCAGAATATTCGCGCTGGGAAATCGACTAGGGCGTCATCGACGACAGACAAAGACAACTCGGCATCGCTCACCTGAGAGTTCGAACGGTGCCGATGGTGACTTGGAAATGGGTAGGCGCGTGCCAGTTCGAGCTCGGAACTCGGCGAAGCCGCGGCAGGCGTCAAGCTCGCTTGAACAACCATGTCCGTAAGCTCGCTCAGCGAGATCTTGCTGTATGCTCTTGACTCCCTAGAATGCGTGGTCGGAGGTGCAGGGTGTCCATACGGAGTGGGTGGTGGTGTAGGAGGACGATCGGTTTCGGAAAGCGCCCGCCTGGGTCGCAGTGACGACCGTTCACTGGTGCTATCTAGTACAGGTGCCGACGCAACTCTGGCACTCAGACCACCCGTCGGCGCCTCGTGGGACTTTAGTGCACCGCCTAGGGGGACGAAGCCTTTAGTGAACAATTCCTCGGAGAATCCCTTGGTGATCAGCTCGTCGAAGGGTGTAGAGAAACGCGGACGGTAGCGCGATGCACCAGCTGCATGGCGGTCGAGAGCGTCTTTGGAAAGCACGGCCGTCCTGCGGGCAAGAGAAGAGCGGGTCGGCGCAAAGACGAAGGAAGTGGGTGGCGAGGACGATGTGGCTGCAGTTGACGGGGCCCCAGACTGGTCCGCTCGGGACGACGCCATAGTGCCCCCAAGTGCCTGATCGACGAGTGTCGATAAGTGCGTGAGGGCGCGAGTGAAGCTTTTATTCCTGGAGTCGTTCGCCCCGTGTCCGCCGAGATATTCGCCAACACGGATCACGCCCGCATTGGAACTGGAATGGGAAAATAGGTACAAAGATGACGATGAGTGCATGTACGGATAGCCCATGCCTAGACTGTCATCCTCGTGCGTAGCCTCGAGGGGCCTTACATAAAGTATGTGGGAGAGTGTGTGACACAGGATAGTTACAGATCGATGTGTTGATCCGGACTCAAGATACAAATAAACGCGCAATGATACGATATATCGCCGCCACTGCGCTCTTTTCTCTTGCCGAAATGTTGACTGTACAACAAAGCTGAAGCTCTGCGCGGCGACAGCACGTTTTTACATATATCCGCCATGGTCAGAGTTGAGGCGCCTACTGAACGGTATGAGGTCCTTCTTCACACCCAGATGCGTCGTCGCCGGCTCGCCCACAACAGGTCCACGTAAAGTTCTCCGGCCATTCTTCCCGGTGTTCGTCTGTATCCATCGGTCCGTGGACGTCCTCGTCCCAATCTGCCCAACCCTCTGCGTGATAATCGATTTCTAGATACCCTGTGCAAAATCGATCGGAATTCCCTTTTGCGGACATTGGTCAACGTACCAGAATGATATGAACATGATTCGTCGTCGTTATCCGGATCGAACTCCTCATTGCATCTCGTACAAACTTCGTACTGTGGCTCATCCTCATCCTCATCATCCTCCGAAGACTGATCATCTGCGTAGGGTACCGGTTGGGCATTACCAATTCCCATGCGCTGATAATTGGCGGGGGCCGGGATGGGGGGATCCATAGCGTACGCAGCATACGGTGGAAGTTGTATTCCGGGGGGAGGGATATAGGTGCCTGGAGGACCCTGCAAAGCCGCAGGTCCAACAGAAGCAAGGAGGGCCTGATATACGGCAAGCTGAAGGGTCGTATCTTGACGCTCGAGAAGACGGGAGAGCGCGTCACGTAGAAAGTCCCGTGGATATATATTGAGCAGGTGTTGGGCCATCGCACGCTGCTGGGGGTCGAGACCGGTTGGCGCAGGAGGGTCATCCGGTAGGTTGGTCAAGTCGATGACATCCCCTTCAGACATTTGAATATTATCAAGTGTACTTTCGATTGTCGAGAGCGGGAAGGGAGAGTAGTTCACGTAGTCGGGGTGGGTCGACGGAGGAGATGATGATGGTTGTAACTTGCAAGCAGATCCTTGAGACGACGCGGGTTAGGATATGATATATTAGGGCCAAAGGGCTCCCCTCCGTTGCTCAATCAGGGAATGTCTGGTAGGGTCCGCTGCAGTGCATCAACTTTGCACGCGACCAGAAGGAAGGACAGACGATGGGGTACATGGGTAATACTCGCACACAGTGCTCCGAACGATTGTGTGACGGACGCGTTGCGTCACAGTACCGGACGCAGAGGTGCGGAAAATGCGAGTCGGATCTTTCTCTACTACCGCGACAGCCTCCTCGATCTACAACCTGTTCTCTATCTGTACGCAAACCTCATGACGGGAAAAAAACGTAGATGCGACGCCGTGGACGACCTTCTGCGAGCGCAGGAAAACTCAGCAAAACGCCGCCATTCTTCGCGAAACTCTGAAGAAGATTCTCCTGCGGGCTCGGGCACGGAGGGAGACGGATCTGATGTGGGAAGCGAAAGAGTGGAAACAAGTGATGAAGAGAAGTCATCAGAGTCTGTGGGCCGCCTGAGCGCTCAGTGGGAGGGCGAGGACGCGCACCCGCTAATGCAGGATCCTTCTACTTCTCGTATCCCATTGAGACACACGAAAATCATTGCGCATTCCAGCCCACTGCCACCTCAATCTATTACCTTTGCCTCTTTGGGTATCGCGCCTCCCCTCATCACGGCCATGGCCGGCATGTCAATCCGTGCCCCGACTGAGATCCAAAGCGCATGCATACCACCACTTCTCTCCGGCAAGTCCGCACGTACCGCGTCACACACCAAATAGCTGAAGCCGTCGAAGGTAGAGATTGCATTGGAAATGCGAAGACTGGTTCTGGAAAGACTATTGCGTTCGCGCTACCTATCCTGCAAAAGCTCTACGCAGACCCTCACGGTATCTTCGCCCTTATTTTGACGCCCACACGGTGAGCACCCACAATGGTACCCACGTCTCACTCTAATCATTCTTCTACAGGGAATTGGCTTTTCAGATATCAGAGCAGTTCGCAGTTCTGGGCGGACCGCTGAGCGTTCGCACCGCCATCATTGTCGGAGGAATGGACATGATGGCACAAGCCGTAGAGCTCAAGAACCGTCCCCATGTTGTTGTCGCGACTCCGGGCCGTCTGGCAGATCATCTTCGTAGCAGCAGTGCCGAGTGGGATCTTTCTCGTGTGCGCTTTCTGGTACGTTGGCTCCACCCTCAATTACGCTCCACATCTGCAACTTTCTCGCAGGTGCTTGACGAGGCCGACCGTCTGCTGACCTCGACTTTTGCGGATGACCTCGCTTCTCTGTTCAAGGTGCTTCCGCGTGAACGGCAAACTGCGCTCTTCACTGCGACTTGGACGCCTGCTGTCAGCGATGTCGCCGATGCACCGCCGCGGCCCGGTAAAGAAAAGCCATTCATTCATAGGATAACCTCATTGTGAGTCTATCTCGTGTACGATCGCCCGCTACGATGGTGCTGATTCAGACAGGAGCGAAACGGTTGAGACCCTCAAGCAATTCTATCTTCTCGTGCCCTCGCACGTACGCGAGGTTTATCTATTCTATCTGCTTACGCATATCCCGAACGACATCTCACATCTACGAAGAGCCGTTCCTGAGCCAACTAACGAGAAGGCCAAAAAGGAGCCGAAAGCGAAAAGGGCAAAGAAGTTGGCTGATGCGGGAGACATGTTCGAACAACCTCCGCCAACCATCATATTCTGTGCCCGGGCCAAATCAGCAGCATATGTGACGGGCTTGTTGCAAACCCTCGGCATACGTTCGACAGCACTACATTCAAGACTGACGCAGCGCGAGCGCCTGACCTCGCTACAGCTCTTCCGGTCGTGTGTAGTACCGGTACTAGTATCCACCGATGTAGGGGCTCGAGGCTTGGACATCACAGATGTGGCGCTCGTCGTGAATTGGGATCTCCCGGACGATGCTGAGGAGTATACGCACAGAGTAGGTCGTACAGCTCGCGCGGGGAAGACCGGGATGGCTGTCAGTTTCGTGTGCGAACACGATGAAGAACGGGTGCTGAATATCGAGGGGCGTATTCGTAAGTCGAGTAGTATGTCTTGGCTATAGGAATGGGGTACTAACAATTGTTGCCGCCAGAGACCAAACTTATGGAGATGGAATTTCCCGAGGAAACGGTACTGGAAAAGCTGAACAAGGTGTCCACCGCTAAGCGCCAAGCGTATATGGTCCGTTGAATTCACGTCGCGTGTTGGTGACACGTTTTGACGGGTTTGTTGGCAGGATTTACACGACGGTGATTTCGGAAAGCGAGAGGCGACACACAAGGCAAAGGCAAGGGCTTGATCATGAGGGGCGCATGTCGTGTACTTTAATTTACTCGTAACGTCGTCGATCGGGTAATCTAGAACGAGATCTGATGCGCGTCAAGGGCGGGTGCAATGGGCCGGCGGCATCTGGCGGCAAGCGTGTGTCTGTGTCCAAGTTTGTCGGTAGCCATGTTACCGCGCCCTACTTAGTCGCGTCGATCGCATCGCTCGGTGTTCTCTTCTCCGCCCGCCATGACAGGCGACCATCTTCTACCTGCCCCGCTCTCCCCGCAAGAGTGGGACGCACTGTTTACTATGGCTAGCCCAGAAACAATAGTAGACTGGCCAGCCAAGTCTAAGCCGCAGCGTAACGCTCAGACTCTGCCTACGCCACCCGTAAGCAGCCGGAGATCGTGTCCCGCAGTGAGCACAATCTGACTACCACACAGTCATCGGATGAGGGCGACGAAGATGAAGACAAGAACACGGTCGTCTCCATCTCTGCCGCCTTTCATCCAGGGGCCCAGCTCGACTCCGCGCCTCCTGACATGATCCTTGTCTCGACCGACTCGGTCTGGTTCTCCGTCCACACACACAGGCTCGCGCTCTCGAACAACGACTTCAATGGGGTTTTGCACACGCCGGGCAACCCGGAAAATCCACCAACGATCACTGTTCCCGAGTCGTCTGCTGAGCTCAACGTCCTCCTGCATTGCTTGTACAACATGTCCGCCGCACAGTACTCGCCTAGTCCATCCCACGTAGCGGCGGCTCTCGACGCTATGTTCAAATATGGCCTTAATCCCGCCATATTCACCACCGCGCATTCCCCCCTCTTCACGCTCATCCTCCGTATGGCAGCCGCGGAACCATTTGAATGTTTCGCCTTGGCTGCCGAACGCAACCTGCACGACATCGTTACAGGAATATCCGCCTATCTTCTTTCTTGCCACCTGGCGGATATCACGGATGAGCAGGCGGTACGCATAGGTCCATTGTACCTGAAACGCCTATTCTTCCTTCATCTTGGCCGTCTGGAGGCTCTCAAGCGTATTCTGCTACCACCGCCCATGTCACACACCCCATCCATGACCTGCGACTTCGTTAACCAGAAACAGCTCACGCGCGCCTGGGCCTTGGCTACCGCTTACCTTGCATGGGAGGCCAAACCCGGTGCGCCATCCCGTCATGCAGTCCCAAATACGAATACTCAAGACTCTGTTCAGATATCTCTACTTCATCCATCGAAGCAGCGCTTCGTCCCCTTGGCGAACATATCGGTTGTGATCAGTGCCAGAACATTCTACGAGAGCGGATCAGCAACCTGGTCGTTCAGTGGTCTCTCGTGAAGGTGCGTCTGGCAGCAAGCCATTAAGGTCGTTCAGCTTCTCATTCTCTTTCCGCCCAGCGCACTATCTGATATCTGTCCGCCCTGCCCTCTGGCTAGTCGCCTCATCAGGCCACAGGAATATGAGTTGTGGATGGTGCATACACGATCGCCTTCGCCTCCCCTTTCCTTGCAGCTATATGAATATATGAACATTAGACTCATGACGTAGCAATGTATTGTAGTTCTTTGTACCACCGTCTTGTTGATCGCCGCCGTCATCTCTTTCTTGCAGTTGCTTGTTGTCTTCTTACTGTATAGCATCGACCCCTATCAGACTTCTCCCCGCCCTATCCACCGAGGCAGACGAGCCCTTCCGTCTCTACACACACGCTCGACCTCGCAATCGCTTGAATTTCGTCGTCGTCGCCATCGGTATAGCGCGTTTCCCCATTCCCGCACCGTCTCGCACCACCGTCGCTTTCGCCTTTCACCGCTTTGCTGCATCATGTCATTACGCCCGTGTTTGTCTATATTACTTGTACGCTTATTCATGTAAGCCTTGCATTCAAGTTTTACTGGTGTGCATGTGTGGTTGAGACAAGCCGTACAAACACGAAAAACCGCGTACATCCTCACATGCACGTCCACTTCTGTTGGCTGAACGACTATCCCTTCGGCACCACCATGGCTAGGTGATGGAAGTCTCTCCGAGCAAAGGGTGTCGTTCGCGATGTTATTACTATGATACAAATGCGTACTGATGCAAGAGCGAGGGGGCGAGAGGTTCGCATAGCAAGATAACAATACTGTCACCGGGCCTTATCTTCGGCCAAGATAGCCTCGTTCAGCTCGTCGAGAGGTGCCAGCTCTTTCTTGTCGACGAGATCAAACTGAGTAACGTTGGTTAGACTCTCATCGTGATGAATAAGGAACCAAAAGGAAAGAACCTCGTGCACGAACAAGAAGAAATGGCGATAAGAGGTATTCAGATGCGCTTGATGCCGTTCAGAGGCATGACTGAAGACCCATAAGACCGAAAACGTACCTTCAATGCCTAAGGCGCAGATCTGATCGAAATGGTTGCTGTAAATGTGCGCATAAACGCGGAACAGTCGGCGCACGATCATGCGCACGGTCTCCCTAAAGTTCTTTGGGAACGGCACACCTATTTCAGGCATCAGCCGAGCCTTCATGGCTTTTGATCGGCACAAGGAGTTACCTATGGTATTTGGGAACATGGCTTCATCGTCAAGGATATTCTGTGCCCAGTTCATGAGCGCGTCTACGTATTCGGGAGCAGGTAGCTTTGTTGGCCGCTTGTACTTCTGACCGTCCTCCCAGAGATATTCATATCTGTAGGCGCTAGTCAGTGGAAGGGACCCAAAGGTGGGGATCACTGTACCTTGGTCCTGCCGACATGATGGGGCACTGCGAGGCGAGGATGAACATGCCGCGCGTAGATATGGAGGGATGCAAATATACCTCTTGTGGCGTACAGAACTCGGTCACAGTACCATATAGCATATTGAGATGATTGAAAAAGTCGACAGCTGAAGACGATGAGCTTTTGTATTCGTGCTGTAAGCCGGGATCGCACGTACCGTGCACTGCGAGCCACTCGTTGAGATCTTCGCCTTCTGGTAGTTTCACCGCCATCCGCAGGTTTCCGGACCCCTGGGACAGTCCTTCAGTACAGCTCTGGTAACGAAGATGACATTACGCACAAGCGTTGCCTCCGCATATTTACGCAATTGATACTGCTTCGTGCCCTCAGGTACGTCCCGGCGCGGTTTGAATGTGCGCGTCTTCCCTCTTCATGCAAGCTTCAGCAGATCTACTAGCTGCCGTTCAATTTCTACCTACAGTCCAAAAAATGCAGACATGATTCAAGCGTGATGGGAGTGATATGGGAGGGATCAGGGTCAAGAGATGAAAGGCGCTACTGGACAAGCGCGGACGCCACGCTTCCGAAGCGCCAATGGCAAGGGCCGAACCGCAGAATCCCACGTGTGCTGCCACAAGACGATCCGAGAACGCGACGCTCCCACAGCTTACGCAGCGCGCTCGCCTACGGTAACTTCGGTAAGTACTCTTTTTGGTCGGCCTTTGATTGACCCGCGCGCATCTTGGGACATGGGGCGGGCCAATAAAGCCCGTGGTGAACCGGGAATTGCGTCACAGATCCATTCTGGCACTTTCTGTGCAGTCTCCGTGTCGGCGATGCTTGACCATTTTGGAGTGGATGCGCCCCTCCTGCAGAACCGGGAGTTGTCGGTTTATATAGCTCCCCTCGCAAGCGTGAAGTCCCGCAACTTACCCCACGACCCGCCAACTACTCGAGTGATACAATCCGCCGTTCTTCGCTATGGTCAATATCCTTATGGTATACACGTCTTGCAATAAGACTCTCACGGGTGGCGCAACGGTGAGACTACTTTAGTGTTCAACGGTCTTCGTCTCACTGAAGCATACTGAATAGGGCTGGTACCTCCCCGAGGCCGCGCATCCCTACTATTCCTTCCTAGACGCCGGCTTCAATATCGATTTCGCGGCTCCGGCAGGACCGAATCCCCCGGTGGACGAATACTCCGTAAAGTCGTTTACCGACGACGAATCGCAGAAGTTCCTTAAAGACGAGACGGTGGTGAAGAAGCTGGCCTCTGCGATTCCGCTCAAAGATGTGGACGTTGCCAAGTACGATGCGATTTTCTATGTCGGTGGTCACGGGCCGGTCATTGACCTTGCAAATGACCCGCTGAACATTGCACTCGCTGGTAAGTTCTGGCAGGCGGGCAAAATCGTTTCAGCTGTTTGTCATGGTCCCGCGTGAGTCCCACTGGATACTGAGCACTCGTGCTTTTATACTGATATCTTTCTTCAGTGCCCTCGTCGGAGTCACGGATGCGGATGGCAAGAGCATCTTCGCTGGCCGCTCTGCAACTGCTTTCTCGAATGCGGAAGAAGAGACTGTCCAGGCCACACAGGTACGTTCCATACCTTCCGAGCTGCCCGCAGGTCCTGACGGTCTGTTTCAGAGCGTTCCATTCCTGGTCGAAACACGCATCGTTGAACTGGGTGGCAAATATGAGAAAGCAGAAGAACAATGGGGAGTGAAGGTCTGTGTCGATGGCAAGCTTTTCACAGGTCAGAACCCTGCGAGCGCGAAACCGCTTGGAGACGAGATTGTCAGGGCTTTGAAGGCCTGATCCGTGCGCTCCCTGTGGTAATTCCTGAGTGTATTAAGTGTATGGTCGTTCCAGTCGACTGGAGACTACGCTCGTGACTGTCCGGCCTACGTGGTTGCAGAATCGGAGGCACCTCCACTTAGTCCTCAGATCGAGGTTAGCCGTTAATCAGTGAATGTGCGATGCCCCACTTGTAACATAAAGCCGTTCAACATTCAACGTTCAGCGCTCTCGTCGCGGGCAAATTAATCGTAGAGTGCATGCTGCCAGCCTTCCAAGCCGACGGCCATCTGAAGTAGTAACAGTACCAAGTTATATTCAGATATCGACATATGGACTCCTTCATTGATGGAAACAGGATCAAAAACGTCGATTGCGGTGGCACATCTATGCTGCTCGGGAACTGGGGCCAAACGGCCGCGACAGTCTGGACCGTGACGGTTCCGACCGGCGTTCATGATCGATGCGTCTCTGCGGTAGGCATGGATCGCTCGGATATCTGGGTAGGGCGGTTCAGTCAGGCGAAAATCGCCGAGATGCCCTGACTGCGCGAGATGCATGGATCCGTGGAAGTGAGAGAGTCCATGTAGACGCGCGCGGACACCTGCAGGCAAATTAAAAACGGCGAAGATGATAGGGGCACTCAGAAGGTTGTCCGATCTGTGGCTCGCGCTCACGGCCGGCTCTGACGTGCACATCCGGGCCCGGTCGTTTGTTGATGCGAACGCTAGTGAGTACATAGCAGCATTGCGCAAAGTTGGTGGCGCAAGAACATCTTCTGTGTCTGCCACCTACTCGCTGGAAGGCGTCGCTCGTCCCCTCCAGGGATAACTGTGATGAAGCGGAGACTGTCCGCGAACGATCGGGACGAACGGACGGGATCAGAGCGCGCGCGGGCTCGCATCGGCGAGGAGGGCTCGCTACATAACCAGGACGGTGTCTCAACGAACTGCGCCGAGGACGACATGGCCGCCCTGCTCTCGCTGCTCGCTTGCCCGCTCTGTGCTCGACAAGTGGAGCTGCCCGTGACGCTGCTGTGTGGGCACACGCTCTGCGCACATCACGTCGAGCAGGACGGCCAACTCCGCCTCGCGCCCTGCCCGCTTCCAGCTTGTCTCGCTCTGTCCTCTTCGTCCACTTCTCCCGACATCCCCTCGACCTCTCGCGTGACGTTCATCCCTGCACCGCTTCCGCCGCCCGATGCCGCCCCCGCTCCGTTCGCGAGCATTGATCTGCGCACCGACGTCACTTCGTCAAAGGTTGCAGCTCTTGTGCGCCGTCATGCATCCGGAAACGCCATCGCCGCCCCCAGCCCATACGCTTCAGTCGACTCGTCCGATGCAGAACCTGAAGTCGACGCGTCGCTTTCGACTCCGTACGTCGCCGAACGACCGAGGAAGCGCAGGCGACGCCAACAGCCGTCAGACGAGAGTCGTGCTCTCCTTGACAAGGAACTGACGTCTGAGCTTACTTGCGAAATCTGCCTGTTGCTGCTATACAAGCCGCTGACGACGCCGTGCCAACACGTACGCCGAGTCCGTCTCATTCCCATACCCACCTCTTCATTGACGCATTGGCGCCTGCGCAGACGTTCTGCGGCAAGTGTTTACAACGTTCCCTCGACCACAACACTCAATGTCCGCTCTGTCGGCATGATCTTGCTGGGTATGCTTATCATCCTCAGCAACCCTGCAATAAACTCGTTCTCTCCATTTGTGCGTGAGGCGCAATCATTGTTCATACCTGTCATCCTCTGACATCCGCGCGCTAGTGCTCCGCGTGTTCCCAGATACATATGCCGAGCGCGGTCGCCAAGTGGAGCAAGAGGAGCGTGACGCTCGCCTGGATACTCCCGTCTTCGTCTGCCAGCTGACTTTTCCCGGTATGCCGACACTGCTGCACGTATTCGAGCCTCGCTACCGGCTCATGCTTCGACGTTGTCTCGAGTCCTCGACGCCCACATTCGGGATGGTCATGCCCCCACGCCCGACCCAGTTTGGGAACGGCAACGACTTCGGCACGATGCTTGAAATCCGTAGCGTGAAGATGCTTGCCGACGGCCGAAGCATGGTAGAGACATGGGGAACACATCGCTTCAGGATCCTCGAACGAGGTACGCTCGACGGCTACATGGTCGCGCGCGTTGAACGGTACGTGGGTGTCTCATTCGCCAATCATGCGAAAGTTTGAGATCCTCTCCCTCCAACAGCATCGATGATTACCCCGATACATATTCCGGGCCAGAGGACGATATACCCGCGCCCCTTACAGCGCCTGTAGGTGCCTCGCATATCTTAACCCTCGACCCCGACGCTCCACCCTTATTCCCTGCGCTGCCACCTTCGCCTGAACAGCCAGATGTACTGGTCAGAATCTGTCATGCATTCTTGGACCAGCTGCGTCAAGGTGCTGCGCCGTGGGTCGTCACACGACTTTCTCACACGTACGGACCCATGCCCGCGGATGCAACAAACTTCAGCTTCTGGATGGCCATGTTGTTGCCGATCGACGAGTATGAGAAGGCAAGGCTGCTGCCTATTCGAAGCGCGCGCTTGCGCTTGCGTCTGGTTGTGTATTGGATTGAGCAGCTAAACAGTAATTGGTAAGTCTGCGCGCTCTCGTTTTTGCGCGGACGCCTGTGCTCATCGTTTCAGGTGGTTCACAAACGGATGCGTGATTTCATAGACTCAGCTTCAATTCTTCGCGGTGTCGTATTGCGATGGTACTAATTTGCTTGTTCTGAGGGTGGACTCTGCTTGTGACTATAGAATCTGTATCATAATCCGCACGCACAACTACTATCCTTTGTAACATACCTCACACTCCGGCCACTCGTCTTCGTTTACGACACAAAGTCTTTCATTTCCACATCCTACTCCTTAATAATAAAATGACGTGCTCAAATATAGTTCGATCCCGCCCCGCTGCCTCTGACACTGGCTTATGCACTCCCGCGCCTCGAGAGCAAACTCCGCTGCTCAATGGAAGACGTGATAGGCGTACTCGTCGGCATTGCCCTTCGAGCGCTCTTAACCCGTCGGTTTGGCTCAGGTATCGGGTGAGCCGTCGGATCTGGACCGCGATTGCGCGCTCGTTGACGTCACCGCGACGTCGTGAGACGCTGTTGAAACTTGAGCGTGAAGTGGCCGACCGTCTGGAAGATTCGAGCGAGGACATACAGCAACCCCGTTAGGCGACGAGAACGTACACGGTTTGATGATTGGTCGGGCTTCGTCTACCAGAGCTTGTATGCCCCGCAAAGGGTACGGGTCGCGACCCTTATCGACTCGCGAAGGCAGAATTTGGGCACACCCAGTATTACCTGCACATACTCGCCTCACGATCGCGCCCTCCATCGAGAACCTCGGCTGCCGCGGTTGTGCATTCTGACCCTCACCTTGCCTTCAACTGCCTTCTTCTTTCTGAAGTTATACTCCCCTTCAGGGAGCATGCTAGTGCTCAACCAGTCAAAAGCGCACCCAGCGCGAGTCTGATATCTTTCACAACTTCCTCGGTTGACCGATGTCGGTGCGTACAGCAGACCTTCACGATATATATGGCGTCGGAAATAACGATTTGTTAGACGCCGCAGCAACCTCCGACCGACTATGCTGCCTTTGTGCTCTCCGTGATCTCAGACGCTTCTCGACGCACTGCCGCACAACGCGAGAGGTCCCCGCCCGCGTCCCCATTTCCAGAACCCGATCCGGAGAAGCCTTCCGCCCCGGTGCCTCTCGACCAAGCCGCTCTACGCTACTGCCTTCACCTGTCCTCCACGTACCTCGTTTCTGATGCGACGACGAACCCCGCCGGCGGGCTAACGAGCTGGAACAGCGGGTTCAATCGAATCATAGACGTTCTGGACGCATTGCACGCGCGGGGCGAACTTGAGCTCGAGACGGTGAATGCCGCCAGCCGCGCTTGTTCAGAGTGTTGGACCGCCGCTGGTAATTGGCGTACACTTGAGGGTTCTCGCGGTGCTATCCGAGCCGTCGCTGGGCGACTCAGACGTCTGTTGGACGAGAATGGGAAGACATTTAAGGGATCGAGGGTGTATGTGCCATGACTTGGGCCTGGCCGACGATTGGCGCCTTCCCTGGCGCCTCATCCTTTCCGGAACGAACTTGTATCCGCGTCGCTGCGTTCCGTCAGCACCACAGGCGCACATACCCTTTACTTTCTGGCATCTCCGACTGGAAGTCCGAGTCGCATGCACAGTCATTCTCCTGTGTTATCTTCTGTCATCATGCCTGCTTACGCCGTGTAGTATCATCCTCTGTATCATCACCATACGTTTCGCAGGAATATGCCATGGCCTCGTCTTGCGTATCATAGATTTCTATTGTCGTCTGGTACCGCTCCGTCCTGGTCGAGACCGGGGCGCTGGCAGTGGCCATCCTCGATGACACTGAGATCTTTTGCTCGTACGCAGAGGAAATCCTACGTGCTACGGCAAAACGCATCATATAGAGACAATATCATAACCTCGCAAGCACTCTGACTCGTTCATTCGAAGACGCTCACGTCCAAGGCCTGAGCGACAAAGGAGTCCACGAGACTGGGTCCCAAATTTTTAGCGCAACTTGCACGTATGATGTGTAGCAGCATAGATCGAACGAAAGGCATGCAGTAATGTACAGCTGGTGGCAGATGCGGATCGGTAGGCACTGTTGGTCCGAGACTCCTGCTACTCTGGCATTACCGGGGAAAACTCTTGTCCGCGACCTGCTGCTTAGCAGCCGTCGCAGCTCAAGCCTTTGCGCCCAAGGTAAATGCTCATGAGTAGAAGGCGCCCTCAGAAGCACCGCGTCACAGTGAGAAGACAAGCTTCGGACTTCCTCGACATTCCCATCCGTCCATCTAAGACACTCAACATCCGCTCGCCATGTTGATATCGATGTGATGGGTGCACGAATATCGCCTCGGACGTGAACAAATGTATGAGCTGGCGCTGGACGCGAAACAACCCTGCAATGCCTGCACCCCTTGAGCGACAACGCGTCCCGCGGGGCCCACCTTCGAGACATCTGGCGCTCGAGATCAGTCGGTGACGGGTTTCATGAACGCAGGGCAAGCGGGCACACACCAAAGTCTTATTCCCGGAAATGTGACAGCGATGTTCTGGACGAACAATCATGATTAGAAGTTTGGTATGTGTGTGGAACCCCAGATTTTGGGCGTGGAGACCGGCCTACTTTTGAGATTATGGCTACAATATCGGGTTATAACTTGACAGGTACACAGGATGGCTCGACCAGTATGAAGAAATGGGATGCGACGGACATGCGGGGAATGGATAGTGGCAATATGCAGGTTCAGAGGTGTGCGAAAGCGAGAGAGGTGTGAGCAAGATGCATCGTAGCCAAGATAGCGGTTACCGGGAACCAGCAGGGCTGGGAGAGGTATCGCTTGGATTGTGGCCTTGGGGTGGCCAACTGCCAGGAAACATAGGCGTGCCTCCACGTGCGCTGGCACTTGCACTGTCGTCGGTTATCGCGCCACTAGTCATGTCATCTGGAGGGGGCGGGGCGACGGTGCCGAAGAAGTTGTCCTCATCAGGGACCTCTTCGCCTGCCGGCCATGTGCCGTCGCGGACCCAGCCGGCGTATAGAACTTTGTTCTGTAGGTTTCCGTGAGAGTTGGCGCAAAGCCATGCTAGGTGGTAGAATGCACGCACAACAAGAGGGAGAGGGAGATAGCTGCGTAAGCGGCCGCCTGAAACGAGGCCTTTCCATACACGGCCAAGGCCTGCGTGCCAGACCTGGTCGCTCTCGAGGGCGCCGGGTGTGTGCAGGAGCTCGTGCAAGCGTGCCCGCGAGGGACTGGCCGGGCGCGGAGGGCGCGGAGAGCTGCTGGACGGCGTGGTCCACAGTCGTCTTCGAGCCTCAAATAAGTCCGGACCGGGAGGTGGTAATTGGGGTCCCGCCACTTCGACAAGTCGAGCAAATGTCGACGGTGGCGACGACGATGCGCTGTATTGCATTTCAGCTGATGCTGACGGTCGAGAGTGAGAGAGCAAGGTACGGTGGAGGAGACTCGGCCGGCTTGGAGAGGAAGGCGGAGTACCAGGATGTCATCGCGGCGAGAGGCAAACGGCTCGCTTGCGCGCGTTCACCTGCCAGAGCGTGCACTTGTACAGCCTTGCAATTGCACCCTCAATCGTTCAGTTTCGTTCCATCGGCATCTATCGATGTGTATGGGGACGACAGATATGTGTCAAATTTTTTCTGTCACGCAAGGGGATCTGGCTCTCGTGAGCATTATTTCTAGCCTAACCTTCCTTGAGTCTTGACTGGCGGCCGTTACATACGGAATCTCGCGCCAAGCGATTGACTCCGGAAACGAAGAGGATTTATTCAGCAAGGGTCCAATAATCTACTACATTGTCTGGATGTGTTGCGATATCACAGTATGAGTATTGACCGACACAGTGCGTGGATGTTGAATCGTGAGAGATGGTATGACGCTACACCACAAAGGGTAACGGTGGATGACGATAATCTAGGAGCAAGGGTAGGAACATGAGGGCGGGAGGCAAGGCGTGCAAGACGCGTGCGGGGCGAAGTTGTTCCCGAACGACGAGGATGTATCAGTCTCCGAGCCAGAGCACGACCAGTCTCGAGGATGCGGACGACCTGGACGTATTCGTACCCGAACCCGCCGCCTTCGCGCGACAGAATGCCTCGAGGCCGCTGGCAAGCGGGGCGTCGCCGCCGTCGATGCTTCCGCCAGAACTAGTGATCAACATGCTCAAGTATCTAACCTCGCCAAGAGATATTCACTCGTGCGCGCTCTCCCACTTGTGACCCGTGATGAGGGACTGATCAGATATCGTCGTAGCTGTCTACTTGTATGCCGAGCCTGGTGCTCGTGCTCAGTCGAGCTCCTCTGGCACAAGCCACTCTTGACGTCGCCGCGGGCCCTGCAATCCCTCATCAACGCACTCGCTCGCCCGGACGCCAGCTTCACATATGGACAGTTCATCCGAAGGCTGAACCTGCTCTCGGTCCCCAAAGAAGTCAACGACTTGCATCTGGCCAGACTGACTCGTTGCACCCGGCTCGAGCGACTAACGCTCGTCGGGTGCAGTGGGTTATCGGATGATGCGGTAGCGAACTTGATCGTGCATTTACGAGACCTCGTCGCTGTCGACCTGTCTGGTGTGCATCGCGCGTCGGACAAGACCGTCTACGCCCTCGCAGACAATTGCCCGAAGCTCCAGGGAGTGAACTTGCAGGATTGCAGCAAAGTTTCATCGCGCGCGGTGCTGACTTTGGCCTACAACTGTCCGCTACTTCGGCGGGTCAAGCTCGGCGGTGTCGTTGAGCTTGAGAACGAGCCCGTACGCGCGATCGCCGTCCATGCGCCGCTCGTGCTCGAGATAGACCTCGCGCATTGCGCACGCGTCACAGATCATCCCGTTCGCGACGTTTGGACCCACTCGCACGCAATGCGCGAGATGCGGCTCACCGGATGTATCAAACTTACAGACGCTGCCTTCCCTGCACCTCCGCATCGCGCACACGTATCTGTCGCTGATTTACCACCCGGAACAGTCCTCGACGGTTTACCGCCGCTCGTAATTACGCGCCAACTGGACCAACTTCGTCTTCTTGACCTGTCCGGCTGTGAGAAGCTGACGGACGACGCTATTGAAGGCATCATTGCAGCCGCGCCTCGCCTTCGCAACCTCGCCCTCACCAAGTGCAAGGCAATAACGGACCGTGCGATCGAGGCCATCTGTGCGTTGGGCAAGAACCTGCATTACATCCATCTTGGGCACTGTGCCAATATCACGGACCGGAGTGTGAAGAACCTTGCACGTTCATGCACCCGCATGCGCTATATCGACCTCGCCAGTCCGTAACCTTTGTCCTTACGGATTACGCAGTGCTGATAGTACTTGACAGATTGTGGACGCCTTACGGATATGTCCGTGTTCGAGCTTAGCGCTCTCCCAAAGCTTCGACGTGTGGGTCTCGTACGAGTACCAAACCTCACAGATGAAGCCATTTACGCTCTTGGCGAACAATACCAATCGCTTGAACGCGTTCACCTCTCATACTGCGACCAAATCTCCGTCCTTGCCGTGCATTTCCTCCTGCAGAAGCTTTCCAAGCTCAACCATTTATCGCTCACAGGCGTGCCTGCCTTCCGTAAGGCAGAGCTTCAGGCATTCTGTCGCTCACCGCCGGCCGACTTCAATACGCCGCAGCGCCAGGCATTCTGCGTCTATTCGGGTGATGGCGTGAAGCGCCTTCGCGCCTACCTCCAGGACCTCTTCAACTCCATCAACGAGATCACCGAAGACGAGACCGAGACGCTATCTGAACCTGCTACCGATATCCCTTCGATCGACTTCCTCCCTGCCACAATGGCCCATGCCCCCGTCACTTGGGGTAACGATGTCCATCCCGGGTTCGGCACTGGAACCGTTTTTCACGGTGGCACACAGCTGGGTACGGGGTACGGCGCGCATCAGAATGGCCTCCCGCAATTCGTCAACATAGAGGATGACGAAGACCCAGAGGACGTAGACGACTCGGCCCACACTCTTCGTCTGAGCGCAGAGGATGAGGACGAAGATGTCCCGCCGGGCCCACCTGACACACCGCTTGTGCCAGCGTATATACCCAGTGGCCCCGCATCGCGACGAACTGGGACTAGTGCCAGCTTCGCGGCCGGCCCGAGTTACAGCCATCTCAACCCGCACCCGCAGCATGTTCACCATACCCATGCGCACCATCCGTACCAGCACCCCTCGAGTTCTCGGCACCGCGATCGTGCGAGTCCGGTACCGAGTGACGGCTCCGGCTCAGCAGGCGCCTTCTTCCGTACCTTTGCGGGGTCGGTTGATAACCCAGAGGAGCGTGATAGGCATGGCGCGCTTACACCGGAGCTCGTATTCGCTGAAATTGGACATGGGCGTGGTGTGCCATATCCATTCCCGGGTGGCAGTGGGGTATACCATACGAGTCAACCTGGTGGAAGTGGAAGTGGGAGTGGAGGCGTGGCTCGGGCGTCTGAAGGGAATGGAGACAGGATCAGGATGCGACCTGAGCCTAGCCCTCGTACGTTGAGCGCAAGCGGGAGCGAACCGGGCGACACCGTCACCTATCCATACCATCCGATGCAACGGACTGGTGAGCGGGACACTCGCCGTCCACGTACAGCAAGTCGGAGCGGGCCTCCAGCTGCCAATGGTTCTGTGCATACGAGCGCTTACGGAAGTGCAAATGGTGCAGCTGCACATAGCTACCCAAGCGTCATTGGTGCTGCACATGACTATGCCAATGGGACCGGGAACGGTTACGCCAATGGCTCGGCGCATGTCTATGCCTCCACATCTGCATCTGCTCCCACATCCGGCACTGCGAGCCAGGTCCACCCGCACCGTGCAAGCATGCCAGTGCTTGTATCCGGTGGACAGAGCAATGGTGTAGAACGTGGGCGTACGCTGGGCGTGAAAGGCGTCGGCGAGCCAGGAGGGTCTGGCAACAGCGTACCCAGCTCTGCCGAGCCCAGCTCAAATGTAGGAAGCTCCGGTGAAGGTCGCGGAGCAGTGAAACGTGCTTTTCGGAACACCTTCAACGCGCTCGAGGGAAGCTTCTTTTTTGGCGGGCGGGGTAGTGGAGGCGACCGCGAGGATAGCGCCCGCTGAACGGTATCTCTTGCATTCTCCGGCGCCGTGGCTGAGTGTATGCATCATTATGTTGTTGATTGTTATGTTGTGCCTCGCTTTGTCTGTATCTGATGGTATCGGTCCGTGATTATACAGATATACTCCAGGACTTTTTCTCGTCCAGTCGCATTTTATAGCCATTTTCCGCATACTTCTCTCGAGTGTATGTTCGTTGTGACTGTTGGCATGAACCACGCATAACTTAGCTATACCGCGATAGTGACCCTTCGAGGCGGTGCAAATGAAGACGTCACAACATCGGAGTTTTCTCAGCCCGGCGTTCCGGCTGCTTAGGCCAATCAGCAGTGTTGCGCAGTATGTTGTGACATAAGCAAGCACTCCGTCACTCCGTGTTCTACTCAAGCAGCGTTGATGCCATAGCCCTCGTTTGCTCTCGACCATCATGTCCGAGGCTGGCCTTCTCACCACGTTAACGGCTCATGGTCGACCGACATGGAGCGCATTGCGCTCAGCCTCCTCTATACTATTCCCTAGACGGCTTCTCCCATCGCATCACGCGCCGCTCAACGCCGTGCAAGCGGATACCGTGGACCCGGAACTGAGGTTACCCAAGACGAGCTCGCTGGTCATCACGATCATGTGGAATGTTCTGTCTCAGACGAGCTTCTTCATCATCGTATCCTCCGGCAGCGAGTACGCCAAGTTCCTAGGAGGCACGGATACTTTCGCCGGTCTAGTGCTTGGGATCCCGACTGTCTGCTCTGGTCTAGCGCTTATCCCGCTCACGCGATACGACCGTGGTCGCTACAAGCTCCCCCTCGTCTTCTCCTGTATCGCCGGCGTAATCGGGACAGCACTTTACGGCCTTGCATACCGCACGCACTTCCTCTACCTCATACTCATATCGCGTCTCGTACTCGGTCTCGCTTTCACGTCCTTCCTCTACACGAAACGATACATCACGGATGCTCGCCTTGTTGGTGCTCGTCGGCGGACTACGTTGGCCGGATGGCTTGTGATCGGACAATGCGGAGGATTCTCCGTCGGTCCATTTGCGGGTGGATTACTCTACAAGATTGGATTTGGGAACGATATATTCAATGGCTACACCAGCCCGGGATGGTATGTAGTCGACACGGCGCCTAAGCACTCATATTCACCACTGACTGACATTGATATCAGGGTCATGGCCGCGTCATGGCTAGTGTTCACTGTCGTGTCAATATTCTGGTTTGAGGACGTACAGCCCGTCCGCCCACTGTCTTCCTCGTCTATACTCCTGCAGCCAGTTCCAGCAGGCAATCTGTCAAAGGAACAAATCGCGGAGATACGGAGATCTTTTGAGGAGGAACCGGGTCGCCCCACCCTTGACGCAGTCCCAGAACCGCTGCCCGACACGACGTACCGCCCATCGGTGGCGCAGTGGGGTGTCGTCGCAACCATGTGCTGGTTTGCCATGACGTGCTTTTTCGTGTTGGGTGGTTGGGAAGCCAATATACCCATCTACGCCGCTCAGGCGTTCCAGTCGTCACCCTTCAGATCCGGAAATTTAATCGCTCTCGGTGGACTGTGTACCTTTCCCTTCATCTTCTCCAACGTCCTTTACGCCAGACGCTTTCAAGACCGATATATACTCGCCACCGGATCCAGCATTGGGCTTTTGGGCCTACTCATCACGATCGCGACACTCGCCACGGGCAAGATGACATATTGGGCCCTGTTCGTGTGCTGGTTCCTCGTCGCTCTCGGTTTCAACCTCGCGACCACTGTCACCCTCAGCCTCTTGAGCAAGCAGATGCCACATCATTGGAACGGGCGCATGAGTATGTTCATCCAGTACAGCAATTTTGCTGGTCGTGTTACGGGCGCCGTGTGGGGAGGTTCCGGGGTCACGGTCGGCATGTTGTCGTACGTCGGATTACAACTGGCATTCCTTGGCATTGGTTTTGTGATGTTTATGGTGTTGTGGAGGGAACTCAAGGCAAAGGCGGGTTAGAATAGATCCGTAGCCTACGTATTACACATCCCTCATGAACCGAACGCGGGCACGCTGAAGTGCCGAAGGAACTCATACTGTACATTGTAAACGAATACTGCGCTCGTGGTGTAAGTGTGAAAAATAATCATAATGACCAACCTCGGTCGCGACGCGACGCGCCAGAAGGCAAGCAGCCAACGTGACCGCGCATCCTGCCGCTGCCTGATCTGCATTTCGATCACTGTCAACAGACGACACGAGCCAGCTTGCTTCTCGCCGCCATGCATATCCGTCCAGCAAGAGTGCGCGCGCTCTGTCTCTCGACTATGCATTGCCGTCTTGATGAGGGCGCCGGCAGGTAGATGATCTCACGGGCATGCAGGCCTGCAACTTGCACAACCTTCCGGAGAATTATACAATGAAATACTGTGCGTACTGCGAGTATACTGTGTGGTACTTGTCTTACTGGATACATCTTAGATCTCTACCATGCTCTCGCATGGCCCACACTCTCTTATGTTGCGGAAGAGGACGGCCGGATCGTTGGGTACATCCTGGCGAAGATGTGCGTCCGGGATTTGCCTTTGGAGTGATGCTTAGACTGATACTAAATTATCAGGGATGAGGATGCGGCCGAGGGTGACGACCAGCACGGACATGTAACGTCCATATCGGTTTTGAGGTCACATCGTCGGTTGGGACTCGCGAAGAAGCTCATGATACAATCCCGTACGTCTAGCCCGACGCCAACCTCAGCGCAGGCATCTTGGGCTCGCTCCAGGCTCTATCATTCATACTCGGGCTGACATGCTCTCCCTCTCAAGAAGAAGCCATGGCCGCGAACTATTCTGCTGCATACTGCTCTCTACATGTACGAAAATCGAACCGTGCCGCGCTTGGCCTTTACCGTGACACTCTCGGCTTTGAAGTCCAAAACATCGAGAAAAAATACTGTGCGCATCTATCCTTTTTCTCCCACGATCTCTTTTATTGACTGGCTCGTATGCAGATGCAGACGGCGAGGATGCGTATGCTATGCGTCTGCCTCTCAAAGCCCACAGCGCTCTTGTACACACATAACACTTGAAATACTTACTGTAGACCCGATTTCTGTTTTGCCGGAGACTGAATGTCGCCGAGTCCCGGTGCATTAACGTGGACTGTCTAACACACTCCTGCTTGGTATGGGTTCACCGCCTCTGAGTGGCGAAACGACTATCCCAGATAAAGGTATGCGCATTTGCGATGAGGCCTCGGAACTGGGATTCACGCTGTGCACACTTGTTATTTTTCAACCGCCCGCTTGCCGGACCACCCGCTGGAAAGTGTCGTCATGTATCTGTCTTCACACCTCAGGGCCTGATGGGCTTCCTGAGGGAGACAGTGAGAGGGGAAAGTACAGGCGCGGCGAGTGAGACAGGGGTCTAAGATGGATTGGGACCTGCCGTGTCCGCGACAGTTACATCATACTGGTCGTGCTATCGGTTCTATCCTGGGTATGCGGTCATCGCGCCTGGACAACAGGGGACTATGCAAAAGCACTATATATATCGCACACACCCGCTGGTCGATAATCATCAATCAGCCAAGTTTCCAATATCTCGCACCTTGCCACGTACTCCCCACTCATCCAGCCCATCCACATCGACATGTCGCAGAACATCCGCTCCGCTGAGACTTTCTCGAACGCCGAGATTACTCGCGTCGCTGGAGGCCACAAGGTCAGTCTGGGACTCTCACGGATTGGCCACGCTAACCGTTGAAATTTATCGCAGGCTAACCTCTCCAACGCAAAGACCAGCGAGGAGAGCAAGCAGCATTCCCGCGCTCAACTTGATGAGATTGAATCGTCCGGACGACTCGATACGGCAGGCCGTTCAGAGGGCGACAAGAACTTTAGCAACGTCCTTGGCGGCCACAAGGCTACCATTAGCAGTGTGTGCACTTGATGCAATTGACATTTGCACAGCTAACTCTTTCTCAGACCCCAAGGTCGGTGAGGAAGCCAAAGAGCATGCCCGCGAGGTCCTTCGCGAGCATGACGCGCTCGACGAGCAGTATGCTTGAACTAGATACCGGCGCGATCTCGAACGCGGACATTTCGCGTATCGCTGACGGACATTTCTACGACTGAGGCTTACCACATGTACAATATCTGAGGTGTAAATTGAATGAACGCTATGAGTTTGCCCGTCAACATGAACATGGCAGTGACATGGTTTCATGACCCCCTCGGAGAAGCCTGGGTAAGGTACCTATGTTCTAGCTATCTTCATTCTCCTTTGAAGATTGGGACGCGTTTGTCCTTGAACGCTTGCAAGGCCTCCATGCGATCTCTGGACTTCAGCAGAGGCTCATAAGATGCCCGCTCGTAGTCAAGACCTGCAGAGATTGTGAACCAGGGAATATGGAATGTGATGCATTTGTGCACTGACCCATCTCTAATGACAACTCGGCGGCTCTCGAAATGGCCTGTTTTGCTGAACGGAGTGCCAGTGGCGCTATGGTCCATTAGCATCAAGTAGTGCAAGTGTGCGACCGGTACTCTCACCACTCGTTAATATCTCGCTAGCCAATCCGAGCGCGCGCTCTACGGCCGTTTGCCCATCTTCAGAGATATAGTTCACCAATCCTGTACGATCAGTCATCAGCGCATGCCTTGAGCTGCAGATACATCACGCACCCCAATCTAGCGCTTGTTTTGCTGTGAGCGTACGCCCTGTGAAGATCAACTCTTTCGCTTTGGATACTCCCAGAAGCCTGGTTGCTCGTTGCGTCCCTCCGGCGCCTGGTATGATTCCCAGCTTCGTCTCTGGTAATCCAATCTTGGTGACCATGTGCCCTGACCATATGTCAGTGAACACTGAAGCTCGTGTGATGCGATGTAACGTCACCAGCTACCCGAAGATCACATGCGAGGGATAACTCGAGGCCACCTCCTAGCGCAGGGCCGTCGATGGCCGCGATAGTTGGGACGGGCAATGTTTCGAGTTTGTGAAGAGCGTAGCGTAGATCCAAAAGGAATTTGGCGACCTGTGTCTCTGACATCGTGCGTCTTTCGGTGAGGTCTGCCCCAGCGCAGAATGACCCCGCGCTCGACGAAGAAACTATCAAGACCCTAAGGCTGAAGACATGATACGTTCGCGAATGCCAGAATAGAGTCTATGGTTCAACTTGATACTGACTTTTTGTCAAAGCGCGCGGCGTCGAGACATTCCATGAGTTCCTAATAATCGCAGTCATGAGTACACGCCATTGACCTGTGAAAGTTGAGGGGGCCTCACGTCGAGAAGTCTCATGGAGATAGCGTTCTTCGCTTGAGGGCGGTTGAGTGCAAGCATCGTCACACCGGAGTGCTCGGATAGCGGTCTCAGGAAGGCTTCGTTGCCAGCCGTGGATATCACTGACAGGCGTCTGGCATAGAGCCTGGGATACAGCGCATATGTCGAGATTCGAGAGAGATTACGTCGGAACACTTGAGCCCAAAGCATCCTGTACAGTGAGATAAAGTCAGGCGGCGACAAAAAATTATAGAACTCCTGGTAAGCGAGCCGTCTTTGGCTAAGCCTGGCTGTGGAAAGTGGTTGTTGTTGATGAAGGCTGGACTCGCGTGGCGGCTGACCCCCATCAAACGCGGGGTAACCGTGGAGTCGCGATCACATGGCTTGACAGTTGGAATGAGTGACGTGCGACAATCTAATCATCGACGGCGGCGCCTTCGCGCTCGAACGCCGCCTTTGGTGACGAAACCGCACATGCCCTCCACTTTCATTCCTGCCATCACTACTGTGTCGTCGCACCCTCAGCATCGCAAACTACTACACATTCGTTTAAGCTATCAAGTATCCCCACAGCATGCGTTCGGACACCTATATGACTACTACGTCGGAGGCACCCCCAGCACGAAAAGACCCTCTCTGTCTTGTATCTCCGCCGTACTTGGGTCCTTGTAAATGGCACCCTACGCAAATAGGCAGTATCGTCCGGAAGTGCACAGACCTCTGGTTTCATGACGGCAACATAGTCATCTCAGCCGGGGGGTTCGGGTTTTGCGTACATCGCGGACAACTACAACGGCAGTCAGACGTCTTCGCGGATATGTTCGAACTACCGGTCGTAGATGATTACGTTCTGCTTCATGACGAGCCGTCGGACGTATACCACTTCCTCAAGGCGTTGTACGACGGAGCGTGAGTTATTGATTGGTCGCATTGTAGCTTGTCACGCTAGCTGACACAGAGCTCGCCTTTAGACCTGTTCTCAGTCAATATTCCTCCGTTGACTTCGAATCCGTTGCCGCTGTTCTTCGACTCTCCAGCAAGTACTTCGTCGCAGCGCATCGAGCACAGTGTCTGGCACGTCTCAGCCAGGACTATCCCACCACACTCGCGGAATGGGATCGGCGTGAACGCTTTGCCATGGACGCCAGAGGGCGTTACCTGCCACGCGAGCTGATCGCTAGTCCTATCCTGGTCATCAACCTCGCCCGCGAACTTGACCTCAACACCTTACTCCCATCGGCGTTCTATGACCTCTCGCGTTACGGACCAAGCAAGACAGTTGGTGGGACAGCTGCTCCCCCTGCGCTCAAGCTCAATTTTTCGGAATCGCATGGAGGAACGCAACCCACAGTCCCAATAAGGATCCCAGATTCGACCGCCCGGGCCAATCTATCTCCGGCAGACCTTGTAACGCTTCTGGCTGGTCGAGAGGCTGGACAAGCATGGCTCACGCACTTCCTGGATCTCTCTGTGGGCGCGCGTTTACCGTCGCTCGCGTGCGTGTACAGGCAGGACGATTCTCGCGCCTGCCGTGATTCATTCACGTTCCTGTTGCTCAATACACGCCGTGCAATCGGGGGCATCGCTATCGGGCGCGATGCAGATCCTCTCTACACGCTGGATCAAATGCGCGAGATGCTACATCGTTCCGACTTTAGCGACGGCGCGCGATCGTATGGGCTTCCAATGTGTTGTCTCTGCAAGTCCGACTTCCTTTCTGCCGTCGACCACGCTCGAGAGGAGGTTTGGAAGGCGATCCCACAGTGGTTTGGCCTCGCCCATCGCTTGCACGCAACGACAGGGGGTATGCACCCAGTGGTCATGCCGGGACTGCCGGTAGAGTTTATTTGATGTATGGGTCTGCTTGACGACTTTATTGAGCGGAGGATCGGCTACCCTACGTTAGTAGAGGTTGGTGGCCATTGTTCTCCTGAGTGGGTGAACGTGCAGCACTCGTCGCTCCTGATTACAGTCTCAACCGTATATCAGCGTAGTTCAGATAGGAGCTGAGGTCCTCCGAAGCGTTATGGTATGATATGACCTACTTCGACGAACAATTCAGATGGATAAACAAGCATTACAGACCGAAAATCCGGTGTTAGAGGAAGGCAAGGGTGTATAAGACGGGAAAAGGCTATTTGGAGACATGAGCACTGTGGGACTGTTCATCCATAGACACGAGCTGTGTGGGAAGGAATGACGGCATGCAGTATAGCGAAACTAGGCGAAAAGTAATAAACGAATGGTGAACGCCGAATCGTAGCGAAAGAGAACAAAACATTGTGGTGAATGTTCAGTCTCGGCAGTTGAGATCATTATTTCACAGCACAAAAACAAGAAGACATAAAGAACAGGTAGAGACCAGACTGACGAGAGTGGTATATGGGATGTGCGCTGCTATAGCAGTACACAGTGACGAGGAAAACAGTACGAGCAACTCGAGAGGCGCTAGTGTGCTAGGTATTGCAAAGCAGGTAAATATGGTACTATTCACACCGGGCATCCTGGGAGACGGTCAAGCAGCCTCGCGTGACTGGCGAGGAGTCTGGTATGCTCGAGCGCCAGAATCGTATGCAACGGTGTTGGGGTTTGCTGTTCGCGAACCCTCGCCGAGGAAGAGTTCGATGAGCTCGCGCTCAAGTCCAGGGGGCGCGACGGCCTGAGAGGCCCTCTCCGGATTGATGGGTGGTGCCGCCGCAGCGACGCTCGCGGCATCGGAAGGAGACATGCCGAAACCGGCGCGCGCCATGAACATGTCGACGAGAAGCCGACACTCGTCAGCAGACGTTGCCCTGGCCAACATTCGACGCATATCAATCGCGAAGTTCTCCGATAGAGTGGGCGCTGAGAGGGCACTGTGGTCGGGAGGGAGGATAGTTTGTTGCCTGCGTGCGCGCTTCTCCGAATTCGCCGAGTCAGGGCGGCCACCACGAGACGCAGATGGTCTACGCGGAGCACTCTGGAGGACTACGTCCGGCGGGGAAGCTATCCGATCGGCACGCTCGGGACGTGGAGGAGGAGAGACCGGAGAGGCAGGCGACACTGACGGGGCATGGTTCGCGCCCGCCAGGTTATCGCCTTTCCTTTCAGCCTTATGAGCGGGTAGGCGCTCGAGCTGTCCATTGACGACCTTCAATGGCGTTGGTTGTATCCATGAGCCTGCCGCAGAGTTCGGCGTGGCACTGGGCGTGACACTTGGCGACGGCTGACGTGATGTTTGCTGCGAAGAGGCTACGGTACTGGGCGGCGTCGAGCTCAGGTTCGTGAGCGACGGATTCCAGACAGGAACAGCTTTGCGTATCGTCTTTCGTGCCCCCTCCGACCCAATCGGGGCGCCTTCCACACCTTCAGTCGGGCTATCTGGAGGAGAGATGAGGGATGTGGGCGCTGGGCTATACCTCGGCGGCTTGGGCATGACTGGTACTGGCAACGGAGGGGTGTAATGGGCCGCGGGCGTAGAAGGCATACTCGCGTATCCGTTCGCGTTTCCACGTTGAGGGCTCTGTTGGCTCTCCCTCTCCCTCTCCGCGCTGAGACTAAGCTTCGAGATCATGCGCTGAAGACGACCCTTCCCGGATTTAGGTGACGCAACGGTTTCTATCGGTGGGAGATCAACAGGCGGGCGGCTGTAAGGATCCACGGGCGGGCCGTCTTCAAGGAATGCGATGAGGTCGCGAGCTGACTGTGATATGTGTCCGCCAGTACCGCTGGGTTTGGCAGAGCCCGGGGACCGCACCGACCTACTCGGGGTCTTTGGTACTTCGGCCACGTCTTCGTCCGACCCATTCATGATATCGTCAAGGTCCATAGACTCTCGGTTGCGTTGTATTTTGCGCGTCTTCTTGGGCATACCGAATTCGTCGATGGTCTGGCTGCGAGGAGGCGGCCCAGTCTGGGATCGCAGATGGGTCGGCGCGGTGGAAGTAGACGACTGCGGCAGAGCCGGCGGGGGCCCACTCTTTGAAGGATATGCGCCAGAGGTGGAGATGGATCGGGCACGGGCATTGCCATTTGCGGTGGACATTATAGGGCTCTTCTTCCTCATCGAGCTTGGGGACGTCACGGTGACTGATGCCGAGAGATTACGCGAGGCGTCGCTGTCTTTGAAGGAGTGCTGCGAGAGCTTATGGCGGATGCTGGTAGACCGTTGCACGGGGGGCGCAGGGGATGGGGCAGGCGCGATGTTCACCCTTGTTGGCGTAGCGCCGATGTCGGCCGGCCGTTGTGTCCCATTGCCGAGAGCGCTACTGGTGCCAGGCGAATTGCGCATGCGGTGCGACTAGACAAACAAGGATGAATGGGGATTAAGGCACCCAAAAAGTGGACACACCTCCATTGTTCTTAGCCTGTCCGGGGTCAGCGACATCTTCATCGTCCCCGCCGAGCGTACGAGATCCTCGAACTCCTGGTCGCGTTCGTCCTGCAACGGGGACAAGAAACCGTCAGGCGCGGTTGCACGTGTGCGAGGAGATGATGGGAGGAGGAAACGAACTTCAACTGATGCCGCACTATTATGAGCGTCGCTATGGCCGCTTAAACTCTGAGACTGCATTCCCGCAGCACCTGCATGATCATATCCCCCGCTTTCTGACCTTCGGGGCGTGGCGTAGACGTCAGGGCCGGACTGGACGTCTCGTTCACTCGATGTACGGCCATGCGCTTTATTGAACAGCTTGATGCCGCGAACTTTTTCGAGAGAGCTTCTGGAAACGCCCGATTGGGCGTGGCCAGGTGTGAACGCACTGGGACCGGATGCGGCTGATTCGGAGGATTTCCGGTGGTGAGAATCCTTGCGCGAAGGAAGGTGGAGCTGTTCTTGATTCGTGGGTGATGCGGCATCGCTGGGTTTCTGGCCAGAGATGGACTTGTTCTGCCTGTGCTTGGGTGCCCTGCTGAGCAAGCTAATATGGTCGTAGACTGCACAAGGATCAGCGACCCAGCCCCGTCGGAGATAAGAGAGAACATACTGTGCAGTGATTTGAATAACGCGTACATGGCGTCGTCTTCACACAGCGCCGTGAACAAGTCTGTGACGGTGGCAACGGTCCGACTGCTGTCTCTTGTGGCAACGCGGCCGACGTTGGAAAGAATATGCCTAGGAAGAGGTGCGGTCTGTGAGCGGGCGGAGGGTGAGAGGGAGACGCAAGGAGAGGAAACGGACTCGCAGAGGCATCTGTGGATGGCAACAAAGACGGGGCTGTGAGCGCCATGGTATGTATGTTTGGAAGGATCAATACGCACTCGAGGATGGCCGTCATGTAGAGCGCCGCGGGTGCGACGAGTGCCGAGGAGCAGCCGAGATCGCCGTTACCCATACGTTCTGCGAGCCTCCGTTCGGCCTGTCCGTCCTCGTCCGTGTCGTTGAGAGTGGAGTACGCCACGCATTTCAGCCGCAGAAGCTGTCCCGGATCGTGTGAGCTTTCGACCGTTTTGGACGGCACGGATCACAGACACACACCTCGGCAGCCCACTGCACGTTCAGACGGTCCGAATCTCCAGCGGAAGGCGCTGTCGCCTTGGTGCGCTCCCAGTAAGCGCGAAGTTCGAGTTCGGCCTCGAGCAGCGCCTCCTTGCCGAGCGGCGTGGTCAGGATTCGAAGCAGTGCCGCCTTCAGACGGTCCGTCGCCAGAGAACGCGCGGTGAGGACGACGGTGGTGAGGACCTCGTCCAAGACGGCGTTGAGGGATCCGAGAGCGTCCTGCGCTAGTTTGACTGGTCTAATATCCGAAAGAATGACATCGGCAGAGTGGGATGATATAAAGACCGGGCCTGAGAAAGGGCGTTAAGCGGCGGATATTAAATCGAGCGCTCGAGAATACACCCACCAGACGGCAGCGAGGACGCCATCTCGACGCTGAAGCCGTCGCTCGTTGACGTGGTGGAAGACGGGAAGCCGCACAGTCTTCCTCACCGCGGCAAACGCCGTGTCGTAACAGAACGGTCTCTATCGCAATTGATCCCAACTCCCTCGCTGATTACGGCGTCTGCTCCCGGCGGACACACCGGAACAAAACGCGCGCCCTTGCCTCTAGCGAGCTACAACATCGTTCCTGCCGACCGTGTCCTTGCCATGACGCTCTATAGCCACACCATGTGCATCATTCGCCATCCTCAGTACACGTTCCATCCCAGTAAAGGGATAGACGACCCTCTCTGAACATCAATCGTTGCAGCTATCTCCCCACTGACGTCGTAGCTCCTCGCCTCGTTGGCGACTTCTTCTGCTCCTCCGCCTCATGGCTTTACCTATATATACCGATGGCCCAATAACGAACTGGTCTTCAACATCATAGGGTATCAAGCGACAACACCTACGATTCACACAATGAGCGTTTTGGCGCATTATCGCGATCGTCTTCGCGGTTGGGGCTCGCAGGACGTGCGTCTCTGCACCCATCTCGGCTAAATCGTGGATTCTGACTTCATATAGATGTCCTTCTCGACGCCGCCCCCGCTCTCCTACTCTCCTAGACCGCACTGTACATCCATCAGCACTTCCCTTTGATCTTGTACTCACTTGGCCTGCAGGGGGAGGCCTACATCACTACATGGCGCATGCCAGCGCCGTCGAACCGAATCCGTAAATACCTTTGATCCTGTGGTGGCGCTCTGTGATAGCTGACAATATGCTACAGAGAAATCTATGAAATGGCTTTGGAACGCGCCGAGTCGGGCGCCTTAGGTGTAGGCCTCCATGAAGCCCGGCATTTTCACCGCCATGCATACGGTGGATTGGTACGTGCTGATATATGATCCTCCTTTCAGTCGCGTCTGAGACTGACGCATCCGTAGATGGATCTTGCTAGGCTCTCCCCGGCCGAAATTGGACATGCCGCAGCCTATGAAGCCTTCCGTTACCTTCTGCATCATGAGCCACTCTACGAGCCTCTGGCCGATGAAACAGAGCGCGAACGAGAAGTATTGGTATCCCTTGCCGTTGCCGAAGGTATGATCGCCCTATCACAATGGTAGTGCGTCTAGGCTGATATGATATCAGCGACTAAACTCTGGAGAGAAGCTCCACGCTTTAATGACGAATATGGCTTGCAGACAGCGTGCTCTTCGGCAGCTGCGACCGCCTCACTTCTCCACTCCCAGAAGTGCGACATAGGCGAGATCGGTCCTGATTATCTCACCCAACGCAATGCGTCACGCCCGTACGGAGATACGTATGCTGAAGACGACTCTGCGTTATGTCAACGCGCCGGAGTGGCAGAGCCACCGCGCGGGCGCATGTATGGTCGAGATGGGTACAACGGGTCAGTGTACGGCGGACGAGGTGCGCGTGCACTCTCGGAGGGACCTTCATACGGTGGTCGAGACTACACAAGTGGCTACGGCACGGGAGGTGCAGGGATGGGCGGCTTCGGCGTGACTGGCTCGAGAGATCCGCGCGGATTGACTTCACCCATTGGTGGAATGGACGACCGTTATCCTGATGGTTTGGGTGCTGCATCGACCGGCATACCGGGTCCCCCGATGCCTCTTCGCGCGTCTGGACCCTCAGCTGGAATGAGCGGGGTACCCTACACTGGTGGCGTGGCGAGTTCTTTGTCGGATGACCCTCGTATGGCTAGCGATGCGGGCCGCTCGCCATACCCATTCGGAGCTGGAGGGTTCGTGCCCAGCGCCGGAGTCCCAAACATTGAACGTGCAGATTCGCCCATGCTACAGGGTGAAGGATTGGGTACCAGTCACTATCAGCAATCTCTCAGCCAGAGTGGTTATCCTGGATCTCAGCTGCCACCTCAGCCCCTGTACGGTGGGGCGCCGCAGAGTATATATGGTGTCGCGGCTCAGCCCACTTATGCTGGCAATGGTATGCCCGGCACGCTGGCTCATATGGTGCCTGGTGGGATGGCTAGTGCGATGCCTCAAGCAGGCTATGGTGGGGCAATCGGTGGCAGTATTCTCAGAGCGACGCCGGCCCAGCCTGCACCTGGGGGCATACCGGGTGTGCCGCAAGGACCATACGTTTCGGGTCCTACGGCTGTAGTCTCGCAATCGGCATATCCTGGTGCACAGGTGTACCCGCCTGGTTCGACGATCGTCCTACCGTCACGCAAGAGGCGGCATAGACGGCGTGCTCGCTCGCGCGATCTCAACGAACGTGATCGGTACTACCGCGAGAGACGTTACGGAGATGGATACGAGTCGTACTGAAGTTACCATGTTAGCAGGGGCAATAAATGTATCCAATGAACCTGTTATTTTTGTATCTTGATGGTGTCTCGCATCCTTGCTTCTTCTGTACTACACACTACTATATCAACCGAGCTTGACAATTCTTATCCGTCGACGTGATCGTGTAGAAAGGCGTTTCCTGGAGAATTCGTGAAAGCATTGCATCATATGTGTTTAATCAATACAGGTCGTGTTACAAGCGTGAGACGAGTAGTGGTGCCCAAGTGCAAACACAAATAGGGAGGAGCGTTCGACGAAGGTCATCAGTCCTGGTGTGCTAGTTGCCCTGAATGCCTCCTGACGGCGCCCCGGGCAATCTGGGCGCAAGATTCTTCGCTTCGGCTGCTTGGCGCCGTCGACGATGCTCGTCCTGGCGCATGGAGAATATGTGGCGATGGAGAGAATATTTCTCATGCTTAGGCGTAGCTGCACCCGGTGACGCTGGGGTAAGTGCGCCGGGCGTGGAGGACAAAGGTGACTTGGCGTCCTTCGCAGCCGCCTCTTTCCCGGCGCCATCTAGCTCCTTCTCTTTCTCGGCACCTTCTTTAGCCTTCTCAGCGGCGTTTTTCTTCGCTCTCTGCGCTGCATCGTACTCCTCCTTCACCTTGGCGATGGCTTCGGCTGTGCTGACATCAGGCGTATCAGATATTTGGGTCGCAAAGCCGGGGTCCTTCAGATGCGAATTGCAGACGTAGATGAAATCGACCGTGTTCGCTGTGGCGAGAACGGTGGGCGTGGGCTTACAGCACACATAGCACGCGCGGGGAGTGCCTGCAGTCTTCCCAATGCATTCATGCTCCACATATGTACCGCGAGCGGAGGATGAGGAGACCAACGTACCCGCTTGAAGTAGACATTGGTGAACGAACCCGACATCGGAGTCAGAATGAGGATGATAATGGCGATAGCAGAACAGCTGATACGGGTAAGCCAACCGGAAGTATCGTCATATGTCACCGGATAATACATACAGCCAGACCGACTGACTAGAAGAGGCGGGAACGAATACGGTACCGTGGAAGATGTGGGTCGGGAAGAAAGATACGCTGAGCGCGTCGGAGGCCCGCGCGATTGAAAAGGCGCCAACTTCCCACCCTTCCCTGATCGATATACCTTGCGCCAACTTCTCCTCTTTCGTTCATCCACCCATCGCCATGTCCGATACTACTGGAAAGGTCATCAAGTGTAAGGCTGCCGTCTGCTGGGGCGCAGGGGAGCCGCTCAAGATCGAAGAGGTTGAAGTTGCACCGCCGAAAGCGCATGAGGTTCGCATCAAGATCCTCTACACCGGTGCGTATGCTCGTGTCTCTTCTGAGCGATCGAGGCTTATAGCCACCTCAAGGTATCTGTCACACGGACGAGTACACTCGCAGTGGCGCGGATCCAGAGGTACTGTTCTCTGTACTTTTGACCGCCCGAAACGCTTCCTGACTGCGGTGGTCGCTTAGGGCGCTTTCCCCATCATCCTGGGACATGAAGGCGGCGGAATTGTATGTCGCATGGCCCCATCTGCTCAATCAGGTGTCAACTCATACCATACAAGGTAGAGTCCGTGGGCGAGGGCGTCGACAGTGTTAAGCCTGTGAGTGCCCGCAAGCTCTTCGGCCATGGCGAAAATACTGAGTATATGATAGGGTGATCATGTCATCCCTCTGTACACTGCGGGTATGCATCATGCGACATGGCAGGAGTACGTATGATCTGATGACGATATAGAGTGCAAGAAGTGCAAGTTCTGCACTAGTGGCAAGACAAATTTGTGCAGCTCGGTCCGCGCCACTCAAGGACAAGGTCTTATGCCCGACAAGTCCTCCCGCTTCTCTATCAATGGGCAGCCTATCCTCCATTTCGTATGGCTCCCGAACCTGTACAGCTTGCGTGGGTGCTGATCTTACACCAAGATGGGCACTTCTACCTTCTCCCAATACACTGTAGTCGCCGATGTTTCCGTTGTCGCCGTTAACCCCACAGCGGACCTTAGCAAGGTCTGCCTTCTTGGGTGTGGCATTACGACTGGATGGGGGGCGGTCACGAAGCAACCCGGCATCAGTTAGTGAAACGTCTCGACTCCAGAGTTCGTAAGACACTGACAGAATGCGTATAGAGGACTCCAATGCAGCTGTTTTCGGTGTCGGCTGTGTCGGGCTTTCGTGCATCAACGCCTTCGCCGAGACAGGAGCCAAGCGGATTATCGCAGTTGATACGAACCCCGCGAAGGAGGCATGGGCAAAGAAATTCGGAGCGACCGAGTTCGTCAATCCCAAGCAATTACCCGAGGGCAAGCGCATCCAAGATCACCTCGTCGAGATCACCGATGGCGGGCTCGACTTCACCATTGATGCGACTGGCAACGTTGACGTCATGCGCGCGGCCCTCGAGGCGTGCCACAAAGGTTGGGGAGTGTCGACTATCATCGGTGTTGCGGCTGCTGGCAAGGAAATCTCGACACGTCCGTTCCAGCTCGTCACCGGTCGCGTTTGGCGGGGAAGCGCTTTCGGCGGTGTAAAAGGCCGCACTGAACTGCCCGGCATGGTCGAGGATTATCTTAAGGGAACTGTCAAGATCGATGAGTACATCACGCACAGCTTCAAGTTCGAGGACATCATGCAGGGTTTCGACGCCATGCACGTACGTAACCTTCGCTTCCCTCACTAGCCTGACCTGATGCAACGCGATCTAGGGGGGTGACTGTATCAGGGCTATTGTCGACATGTCGTGAGGTATTGTTGAAGAATTGGCAAGAAAGCAGATCGTGTACCATAGGCTGTAGCGATAGTTGAATCATTGTACTACACGCTACGTCACCAAAACCCCGCAACCCACGGCTCCCTGAAGTGACAGCTGACAGCAGCCCAGCGGGAGGACCGTCTGGCTCCTATCTTCGGCGCGGTAGTATCGCAAGGCTGTGCAGATGCGAGGCGACTTGCACTTCAAGAAGCGCTTGTCTCTTCATTGGAGCGTCTACCGGCTCTTCACCGTCTGCTGCGACATGAGAACGGAATGAACTCAAAAGCGACCTTTGCCGCTGCGCTCCGGAAGGAACCCAAAGCATGAGAGAGCGCCTACGCACGATGACCATAGAGTACAGTGCGTTGCATGTGGCACTGTAAAAGTCAAGACCGCCTTAATTATGACCACCCCGAATATTGATGCAAACCACGCACTATTATCCATTATACCTTCGATGCCATGGCATCGCACATGCGATATCCTGACTTTTCCGGCCAGCGCTTACAGTTAGGGTGCGCGAGTCAAGTTGAGGTCATGAGCAGGTCATGAGAACAAGAGGCCTGCGAGAAAGCGATGCGCGGCTGTATAGGAGCACACGCTACCGAACTCTGCTCAAACTCCCACCTACTCGTTCCGCAGTCGCTCAGAGAAGCGTATATAGCGCGTCGAACGAGTCGAGCACACCTCCGGTCTCGTCCATCATGTCTTCCATCGACCGCAAGGACCGTATCCCGTCTCCCACTGGCAGTGGCAACGTTGTTGACCACCATGCGCCACACGGTATGTTGTTCTGAACACGACGGTGCCGTCGGCCGACTGAAGATGGCTAGTCACAGACGAACCTGTGAATGGCTCGGCTTCGAAGGCTCCCGGGTCAGGAGATAAGTCTCATGTCATTAAGGTGCATCAAGTCGTATTGCCCTACTTCGTCACCTAGTAACGTGTCGCTGTCTGGCTTAGGTGCAGCCGCTCAGGAGGAGCGAGATGCAGGTATGCTTCTTACACGTTTCCCCGTACCCGTTGGTGTTGACCGTATCCGCAGCCCTCTTACGCGCAGGATCTGGGCACTGGCGAAGTCACCCATGGTGTCTACGGTTCCTTGCTACAGGTGAGTCGATACCTGGCTAAATTCATGCAAGAAAGATTCATAGTGTATATGGAATGTGCTCGCTACATGACCGGCCCTTGGATAAGTGCCGGATTGTCGAGATGTTCTGAGAGGGCGTCGTCGCGGAGGTGCTGCTCACGACAGTCCACGGCCGCGCATCTCGCCGTCCGACTTCAGAAGATTTGCGATCCGGCTCTTACACTGCGCTCCTGTTGCTGTGCTTTCACAAGGCCATGTCTGATCCACTTTCTCCAGGTTCTTGGCTCATGCGTCGGTTTCTGTGGCGCTATCCCCTGTTGCCCGTTCCCCAACCCATTTAAGGTGCGCGTAGCAGGGTATGTTCTTCAAGCAAGGAAGCTCACATCGCATGCAGGAAGTCAAACAAGGTCCGCACCAAACGATTGAACGTACTTTGGCGCAGCTCATTCTCTTTTAGGGTCTGTGGGCTTAGTTTCGCGATTTGGACAGGTTAGAATATATGATCTACCGGCGTCGCACGGGTCTGACTTTGTATGCTTAGTTCTACCGGTCCGTCGACCCGGGACTTGTCCAGGTCAATGTCTGCACAGGTCAGATGACTGTACCGGAAGGAGGTTATGCGATCGCTGACGGGATTCCAGAGTCACTGCGCATAGTCGATGTGAAGATCCAGATCAGCTCGATAGGTCGGCAGACGTACGTGTGCTCCGCTTCTTTACTTCTGCGTATCTATTATGCGTACTCATCATTGCTTGTGCGTGTAGTGTGATTACTCGGGATAACGTACGTCAGATCATGGAACGCGATCTGACACTCCCAACTAACTATTGCGTCGCCAGGTCAATGTGGACATAGACTCGGTCATCTATTATCAGATAGTCAACCCGTACCGTGCTGCGTTCGGCATCTCCGACTTGCGTCAGGCGCTCATTGAACGTGCACAAACTACCCTTCGACATGTGGTCGGTGCTCGCGCTGTACAGTCTGTTGTGACGGAGCGCGAGGCCATCGCCTTCGAGATTGCCGAGGTCCGTGACCATGCGCACTCTTGCATGTTCGTTCACTCAGCCCGCCTCTGAACTCAGATTGTTGGTGATGTCGCGGACAAGTGGGGCGTAGCGATTGAGGGTATCCTCATCAAAGACATCGTGTTCTCCGCAGATGTGGCTGCGTCACTTTCGTCAGCTGCCCAGCAGAAGCGCATCGGGGAGTCCAAAGTCATCGCTGCTCGCGCAGAGGTCGACGCCGCACGTCTGATGCGTCAAGCGGCCGATATTCTTGCATCCCCCGCCGCGATGCAAATCCGCCAGCTTGAGGCGCTGCAGGCGATGGCGAAAACCGCCGGCAGCAAGGTCGTCTTTGTTCCGATGCAACTTCAAAGTGACGTCATCGGACAGGTCGCAGCGAATGGTGCTGGTTCAAGCGGGAGCAACAACGTCTTGCGCGAGGAGAGTGGTGAGGGCTTTGGGTCGCCCAGTCGTGCGGCGATGCTAAACGCCATGTCAGATCTTTAGGTGCTGTTGTTGGCTCACGATGACTGACTTCACGATGGCCACTGGGGCACCGCCACGTCTTATTCTGTAACATACGATAACCGGAACTCATTAACCCCTTTCATATCCTTTGTTATGATTCGCCTTATGCTAGTGTCAAGTTCACGTCCCTATCGATGCCTTAATCTCGCGACTGTCACGTGGTCGCGTTCGTCTGTTCAAGATCGTGTTCCTGAGCAGGTCTTCGGACGCCGTGATAACGGGTATGACCGTAGACAACCTTGGCTCTTGCGCCGACGTCTCGCACCTCTGCGAGAAATGAGCCTCCAGAGACTTCTTGTAGACGTGCACACTCACGTATACCTGCCACGATATGCGGCTTTACTGCGCTCTCGCTCCGCCGCTCCGCGCATCTACACGCGCAACGCACCTAGCGGTATTGCTGAAGACCGATTGTTGATACTAGACGATGAGCCGAGCGGCGGTCGTCCTGTCGGGCCTCAGGTAGGGACACGTTGCGCAACATTAAGGACATTGGTGCTGAACAAAAATGACAGTACTGGGACCGAGAAGAGAAGCTCAACTTCATGGATCGCCATGGCATTGATGTCTCGTTTGTGAGGCGGGTCTTCCGGGCTTCGCCGTATCGCCCAAATAACTGACGTAGAGTAATCACAGTACGGCCAACCCTTGGTTAGATTTCTTGCCCTTCGAGGACGCTCAAGTCAGTGCCTATGACGGGTCACTGATGAATTACACTCACACATCGCGCCGCAGAAATTCGCTACGGAGTTGAACACTGACCTTGAAACCTATTGCGCAACTGCTCCTACCGTGCGATCTACATCAATCCGTCGCTTATATGGTATCGGTCTGTTACCACTTGTTCCGGGTGCCCCTGCCACCGCACTGCCTGCGGCTGTCCGAGCTCTCGCTTCCGAGCACAAACACATCCGCGGCGTCATAATCGGTACACGCGGAGTGGGTAAAGGTCTTGACGACGAAGAGCTTGAACCGTTATGGAGAGCACTGTCCGAGACTGGTCTGGTTGTCTTCTTGCACCCGCATTACGGCGTAGGCACTCAGGCATGGGGAGAGCGCGATAATGGGCACGTCTTGCCTCTGGCTCTGGGCTTCCCTTTCGAAACAACCACAGTGCGTGTACATGCTGTCATCAAGGAAATGTACTAAGAGGATGGTTCTCTAGGCTATTACTCGCCTCATACTGGCCGGAGTACTTGATCGGCACCCGAACCTACGGATCCTACTCGCTCACACTGGTGCGGCATTGCCACAGCTCTCGTCTCGTCTGGCATCATGCATCATGCACGATCCCGTCGTAACCGGGCGCCTTCAACACGACGCGCGATGGTACCTAGGGAAGCTATGGTTTGACGCCGTCGCGTATGGATCCGCGGAACTATCTTTCGTCGCCGCAACCATCGGCCGCGCCGAGCGCTTCTCCGGAGAAGGCGAAGTTAAGCAGGAAGGCGCCATACTGGTCGAACGCGAGCAGGAGGAAGCCAAAGCGGGCAGCTCACGCATGTTATTTGGCACGGACCATCCATTCTTCCCACCGCTTGGTTCGGAAGACACGTGGAGGAGCGTTGTCGAAAATCTAGAGGCCATTGAGAGCGTTGGCTCATGGGGTAACTTAGAGAGGGATGGCGTGCGCGGAGGAAACGCCCTTAGGCTCTTTGGTGTGTTGTGAACGAAAAGCGATCGCTTCATCTACATTGGCGCACAATACACACATATCCACATTATTTTCCCTTGCGGATAACTGGATCGTCTTTCTGCAGAGCGTAGTGCACGCAAGGGTATCGGTTATCTCGGCATTCGAAGCTCGATCCCCATATCCGGGATGACTTTGTTCACGGGCTTGAGACCGCCGTACAGAGTGACTACATAGTCTGTAACTTGACCCCATATTTTGTGGATGATGGACATTTGTGTCTATAACCGGGTTTGGTCGTTGCGCGTCGTAAGCCGATTGCTTAAACACGAATATCGAAGCCCGATATCGCCGACATGATAGTGTAACATGAAATAAGTACATGCAATGCCGGAGACTGCGCATGATGGATCGGGACAACGGCTTATGTACCTCGTCGAGTCGCCGAAGGTCGGCACCACTTTGCGCATGAACCGTCGCTTTGATAAGCACCCTAGGAGTACAATGAGACAGACATGCGAAACACCGTACGAAACACCGAAGGATGGCGTAGTAGAGGCACAAACGCCGATAGTAATCCCGGAGAAATCAAGCTGCAAACATAGGAACGAAAGTCGGTGTGGCGGACGGTTTGTTGGAAAGAACGGAGGAGGACTGAACTGTTGGGAGTTTCATCAGCGGGAGATTAATGCGCGGGTGTCAGAACGCGCACCTGAGCAAAGGCTAATCCAGGCATTACTTGAACGCGTACGGCGCGTTTACCATCCCTGATTGGAGCAGCCACTGCCCATGCAACGTGCCTGCGCAGAAGGTCAATAATATGTCGCACATTGCAGGCTGTTGCTTGACGCACCTCAACATCCGCAGCGTCCGACCGTTTCATGCTGCTCTCGCTACCAGGAACCTGCGGGGCGGTTGAGTAACTGCCACGATTTGTAAGGCAAGTTGAAAGAACATACCGAGGGAGCCGCGGCGACGACAGCAACAGCAGCGAGCAGGGATGTGAGTGCGAAGAGCTTCATGGTGGGAGAAACTGAGTTGATAAAAACGGCGGGGACGCCTGGTGATTATAAGGACCTTGTAGTGACGCGCCGGTGACCGGCTCCAAGACCCCCTGAGATGCTGCGAAAGGCACAGTTCGCCCTGACTAACTCGTGCCGAGCTTGACCAGCGCGACGGCCACGGCGCCGTCCGTCCATTGCCCCCGAGAGGCGCATGCTGTCTCCAATGAAGCGAGCATTGGGATGGTCAACCAGTCCCGTCGACGGATAGGACGTTGAAAGAGCTTAAGGATCGTTTGAGACGACGCATGCTCCGGGGGCACGCCCAGCTTGATGGTCCACGAGATAGCAGCCACAGAGGCACGCAAATATCAGAGTCCGGGTTGCGTGATGCTGCACGATAACGCAGGTCCACATGTCCGAAAGGAAGTACGTGCAGACCCTGTCTACTGTCAATCCGCTGACCTGCTCGAACTTCCGGGTGCATCGCAAGACTATTAGTACGCATTCGGCGTATCCGAGCTACAGCGAGTCAGATTTACACCGCTTGTAACGGTCCACATCCCTCCATAGACTATTCTTGGACCTCGTCGCGGCGCTCGCCGCCGCGGAACACATCACCCTTCCATGCGGAGTACTCGCCATGATGTCGCGCGGCACAACTGGACATGAAGCCTGAAGGTGGATCTGGGGTACAAAGAAAACACGAATGTTACCCGAAGATGTGCTATAGTCAACATGTGCCCACATCCCCACACTGGCGTGCCTGTGGCCCTGAGAAGTTGAGACAGACGCGTCGCGCGCGTGGCTGGCGCGCGCTTGAGGCCTTTCGCTCCATCCCCCATTTGGATTCTCATTCGCGTATCTGCCTCAACCATGTCATCCGAGGAAGATGAAGAAATGCCTTACGATCCGGATTCGGAGCTTGAATGGGCCAGGGATAAGGTACGATTGCGCGTCGTCCATCTAGAGAAGAGGTCGAAACGCTGATTCTTTCCCATCCAGCTCGAGAAGACTGCAGACAGTAATGCCGAAGTATACGAGCACTTGAAGGATATCTGTCACCGCTTTCAACTCGAGAACTATAAGTTGCGACAACGACTTTCCGACTCTACCCCGGACGCTCTGCGCGATCTACGCGACGAGAATAGGGAACTCAAGTCTCAGGTGGCCTCCTTACATCAGGAGAATCAGAAACTGCAGGTGGAACGTGACGAGAGCGCTCGACAATTGCAAAGGCTTTATCAGCGATTGCAACTTGTTCTCGCCGAGACCTTTGTCCGTGTACCTGCCGTCGCCGCACATGTACCACGGCTAACGACTCTGTTCAGGAAGCCACATCGTACCTAGCAGTTGGACAGAGCAATCATCCAAGTTCTCCACATTCTCCTGCGACGCTTCGGCCTCGCCGCCCGCCTTCCCTTCCACGACCGTCTTCTCGAGCTTCCGTCGCCACAGCAGAGCTTGTAGACACCACATGCCGGACTTGTACCACCCGTACGCATGCCTCTACACCACCCCCGTCGAGACCCGTCCTCTCGCACTCTCCTTCATCGACGACCGCTTTGGGTGCACCCTTCACGGATGCGCGAGACTTGGTCATCGCAGGTCCTAATAGCGCGAAGAAGGGCCACCTTTATGGTGGCCAGCCTCGCATGCGAACTCGTGTCCGAAGTGGGGATTTCGGCAGCCCAATGCGCGTGCCTTCCACTTCTGCTCTGACCGTCACGAATCGCATGACATCGCTCACGAGTAGCCCCGGAGCTATAAGTGAGATAGAGGGACCTTCTGTGCAGTACGACCATGATCATTCACAACCCTCGGCGTCCCCGAGCACCCGGGGTACATCTTCCTCTCGTCCGAAGTGGCGTATCCACTTCGCAAAGGCGCCCACAACTAGCCGTATAGCTACCAGCTTCGTCACTCAGGGAACACTTTCTTCGACCCTTGGATTCGACCGCGATATTGTGCGTACATGTATCCGTACACTCAAGCTCAATTGTCTGACACCATCTCATTTCTGTAGGACAATGTGTTATCCTCGTCAGTTACTCTTGATGCCATTGTCCACCATCATCTCAACGTACTCATACAGGTTAGGTCAGCGCGAACCGAACAGCATGCGTCTCGTCGTTAGGGAAGGTTACGGCTTCATCTTCGACCCTGTTGTTCTTGAGAATCCACGAGCAACATACCTTGTTGATTGGGGCGATGTGATCAAGAACGACGAGGTCACTCGATACATAGCCTCGTTGACGGCCAATGATAGTACTCTGCACACTTTCATATATTCAGCCAAAAATGTTCGTGTATCTGGCTTTGAGATCTGAACGGAAGAGCTCACACTATACCAGCTTGGATGGCTATACCTCGGCCACTGCGAATGGGATGTGACTGAAGAAGTCGGGACCGTGTGGAGCATGCTTAATTCAGCCGTTAGTATCGAGCCTAATACCCCTTTCACAAACATTTCTGACCCATATTCTACTTCGCCAGGCCCAAAAAACACTTGCAGGCCGCCGCGCCGCTCAACGGTCACCTGCTCAATTCTTACACAAGTTGGCACACTCCGAGCTAGTGCAACTAGTCGTCCATCTCAAGCCAGTGGACGATGTTTCGCAGGAACAGGCCGTACTCAGGCGACTCCAGCAGGCCATTTCCGTCACGGCATGAGAGGCACAGCGTAGGAGACGGCGATGCGCCCTTTTACATGATCGGAATATACCACATGACCCAGTCTTGCGATTTGTTATACCAGCTCATGCCCGCCCCCTGTCATCGCACCTTCTTCCACTCTTCCATGGGAGAATTGTATAATGTCCGTGCTAGAGTAAATGATGATTGACACCCTACCACAAATCGATATCGCATGTCTATGAATATCCTGAGCTAGGCATCACGATGCGCTACTTGGACATTTGAATTTTCAGGCTGAAGTCAATGTGCTGAACGGATTGGTGCACCACGCTTGTGCTGAGGATATCGATATCTGAAATGCCAGGTATTAAGATTCTGCGGAACGCTCAGGTTGAAAACGCGTGGTACCGTTGATTGCGCGCTCTTGCAAGTTCCCTTCTGTAATTCCGCCGCTCGTCTCGAGCAAGAAGCGCTTGCCTGCGTGTCGTTCGCGCAGTCGGCGGGCGACGGAAACCAGCTCGGCGCCTTCAATATTATCCAGCATGATGACATCCGCACCTGCGACGATGGCTTCGTCCGCCTCTGCCTCGGAGCGTACCTCAACATCTAGAAGGAGCGAGAATCCGCCCACTGTGCGAGCTCGTTGGATGGCCGAGGTGATGGAACCTGAGTCAAATGAAGAGCAGAGTTCGTGTGAGAGGCGACATCTTACGCACAGTGAAACAAGGCGTACCAGAAGACCAGATATGGTTATCCTTGAGCATGATCATGCTCGAGAGGTCGTGCCTATGGGGGTCTATTCCTCCGACGATCATACCGTACTTTTCAACAAGTCGAAATCCTAGACAATATATCAGTTATCACAGACAGTATAGTTGTCCAGCAGACGGCAATGTGCCACGCACCTGGTGTCGTCTTGCGTGTACCAGCAATGACACCTTTGAAGCCATAGCCAGTCGCGAGATCTTTGACCCGTTTGGACCTGCACTCGATTAACGTCGACGTCGGGCGCTTATGGATAACCCGCCCACATTGTTGCAATCCCGCTACACCTCGCAAGCAGATTCAGCGCCACGCGCTCTCCAAGCAATAATTGCCGCGCGGGCCCGCTCACTGTGGCGACACGGAAGACAGGGTCAAATTCGGCACCCTCCCTCAGATGCCATTCGACTCTGAGTGTAGCATTAGAGTACATTCGTAGGCCAGAAAATGACCGGGGACGCACTCGCAACCAAGTTCACGGAAGATCTCATCAACAAAGGGGGCGCCTGCGAGTACAGCGCGTTGAGAGCCCTTGCCGAGGAGGTATGCTTCGCGATGCGCCTCGCCGACAACGAAGCCCCCGTAGTCGAACGAAGGTGTATCTTCCGCTAGCCAAGCCGCTACTTGCGTTTTCCAATTTGGAGGTAATAGATGTGCATATGATGTTTCTTCCATGATCGTGGTGTGCAATCAAGATTGCGCGCGATTACTTAGGACTCTGCTGACCGTGGCACGGCGGTCGAGATGATGCGGAGACCGGGATCCGGACCGATTCTTAACATACACCCGAACATATTCTCTGACCTGATGAGGGACTGCGACGACACCAGCACATCGTATTCGAAAGTAAATTGCAACCCAAAATTGAATAACGATAAAGCGCCCAAAGATACGACTAGAATCAAAACTGGTATACGACTACGAGAACAGTGCTCAAAGCAACAACGCGCCTCCGGCAGCACAGGCGACCGCAAGGATCCCGGTAGCCGCCCTGTTACTAGAGGCTCCATTGGTGTTCGTAGAGGGCGTCGCGCTAGCCGCCGGAGAAGTGGTTGAAGCAACAGCGGCAGCTGCCGTTGGCGTGGACCTAGACGTAGGTAATCAGATTAGAAACTCGGTCGAATGACGGCTAGGCACTTACGCCGCCGCAGCAGTCTGAGAGGCCGACGTCGAAGTGGACGAGGGGGCAGCAAGTACTTCAAAGTCATCCGACTGCGCAAGGATGGTGCTGAGGCTCTCCGAGTCCTTGACGAGGTTGACTTGATAGTTCTGACTCGGACTTAGCGTATGACGGGTGTGATAAGGGTTGTAGAGTGTACCTTGCCGGCGGTGACGGTGTTCGGAAGACTGACGACAGTCGACTGAAGGGAAGTGTCCACGAGGGCGGAGATGATTTGGGAGTACGCTGGTGTTTGTTTCTAGTAGGAGGTCGATGCGATACTCAGACCTCATGTGATACAGGAATACATACCTGATTCACAAGAACGATGGTGAAGTTGCTCCTGTCGGTGCTGACGGAAGACCAAGAAACAGTGTTGTTGTCCGCGGCGAGAACCCAACTCTGCGAGCCCGAAGGCTCGAGGACGGTGAAGGCGAGGGCCGAAGCGGCGAGGGAGAGGAGTGCAAAGACAGAGCGCATGATGATATTTGAAAGAGTGGACTAGGTAAGGAACGACTGAGCAGGATACTGCAGGTGCGAGGTGGTAACGAGGACGAGCTCGTGGAAGCGAGAAGCGAAGGGCTTCAAACATTTGGCTTTTGACAAGCGCCCAAAGCGCGGCGACAGGCGGCCGACGCCTCTCGATCAGACTTACCTTCGCACCGTCACCATGTACTCTGGGAACGTACTCGGCCGTCTCCATTATGCTCGAGCCAAACCAGCTCTCAATGGCGAAATGTACTGCGGCTGAGTGGCACGCAGCGACTTGGGCCCATTAGCCACTGCGAGGCGCAGTTGGCGCACAGTCCCCCTGGACTAGGCTCTTCGGTATAAATTCACGCTGGCCCCGACCGTCGACAATCAAGCACTCGTGCCATCTGATAGCCTCTCACGATGGCAGAGCCTATGAGATACAGTGAGTGTGAGCTGTTTATCACTATTTTTGCCTCACTAATGATGACGCTTACAGGTACACCACTCAAAACATACGATGTCTTTCTCCAAGCCTTTGTCAACGATCCTGTTCAACTCTATCTATGGGAAGACATACTAGTGAGATCCTGATCGCGGACGATCGTTCGCTATCAGCGGTGACACTTTGTGCAGACATGCCCGCGCTGGAAGACTTGGTTGCGTCAGTGGTTTAGGCGCATCAGGCTAGCCTACTTCTCCATATCGACTCTACACTCGGGTCTGGCGTACGAGGTAGGTGGTGGAAAGGGGTTTGTGCTAGCGTACGCACAATTTTGTCTCAGCACCGCGCCCGCGTTCATTGACGTGAGCGCGCTTCGCTAGGTCTCATGCAAGGGCAGACATGCCTACTGCAAGCAATGTAATACAG